GAGCTACAAATAAAAATAGTTTTGATAAAAAGAATAATTCATTGAAATATGTTACTATTTCGATGGATATTTTCCCACAGGCCCAAAATTGCCAACACATATCTCCTGAATTATTCACGAGGCATACTTTCCACTTGAAATATGCTTTGATGATATGTACACCTGATTTACGCCCATCATAATGCGACCCAAAAAAAAAAAAGGAAAAGGTTTTTGCATTTGCGTTTTGAGGACATTGTGTGTGTGTACCCGCATGTATCCTATCTATAAAATGTGGACCACACTTAGTGCTCGTACGTGTAGTTTTATCCTTGTGCCAGATTGATTTTCCTAGCTGACTTTTCCTGCATGTTGTTATTGTTGTTTTTGTTGTTACTCATTGTGGTGGCAGATTCTGTTTTTATTTTTTTCATACTCCCCAATGCTTTTATTGATTTTTTGCTTTTGCCTCGTCGACTTCTTTTGCCGTATTTTTCCCCTCTTTTTTTCTGTTGCGGTAAAAAGCAAAAGAAAAATCGTTTTTCTGTTCAATTTTGTTGCTGTTGTTTTGCCTTTTTTAATTGCATTATGCAGTGAAATCACAGAGTGACAAAAAGAGGCGGGGCGAGACGAAGGCCACAAAGTTAATTTCATTTGTGAGTGCAAACAGGATGAGTCCAGGGCAAGGATCCGGATTGGGGATCCCATTGTTCGGCCCCGTGGAAAGCTCAAACTTTGCTTTTAACTGATTTGAGAGGGGGAGAATGCTGGAAAATGCAATAGGATTTTCCAAAACATTTCCCCTTAATAGCTTTGTTTGAATTTGGTTCAAGGATTTTCGAATATCTCTTGGGGAAATTTCTATGAAAATAGCTATGAATACAAAGGATTTTGGAAAATAATTCTCTAAGAACTTTTCACAATTAAAAACGTAGAATACTGCACCTTAAGAAGACAATAATCGTGCACGAGAACAGCTCGTTTTCCTTTATCACTTTTCTGCAGTTTTCCTTCGATTTGCTTCACCCTTTCCATTTCCTTTTATCTGTTCGGCCATAAATCTACGTGGGGATCATTAATTTGGTCCCGCTTAAGGGCTTTTTCCCGGGGACTTCATTTCTGTGTGCCACAATCCGTTGCACGTGTCCCACGTTGCCCCCACCCCAGAGCTCTGATTCCCTTTATCACCTTCCCTTATCAGTGCAGTGACAGACAAAGGCGGGCCAGAGCGCCGGGAAAAATGTCGAGAAAATGCCAACTATTAAGTTTTCCCAGCTTAGCAGAAAACAGAGAGGGCAAAAATATTTTCATTTCGCAATTTGAGGAGGACTTTTCCGGGTATTTTGGAGCACCAAGAGTGGCCGCATAAAAATGCTAATCATTTGCTCATTAAATCCGCATCATCCGCTGCCGACATTGGCGTCGGCGTCGGCGTCGCTGCTAGTGTTAATGACAGGACACCAGCCAGCCGGGAAAACTCCGGGCAAAAGGAAAGCTGCCAAGGGGAGCTGCCAAGGGGAGCAATAAAGAGATAGATATATAGAGAGAGAAAGATGGTCCCGGGCAGAGCTGCACAGCTGTTTTGGGAGCCTCAAAAGTTCAACGAGAATTTGGCACAAGCCAAATAAATAAAAAACAAAAGCAGCCAGCCAGCAGGCAAAAGAAGTCCAAGAAAAAAGGAGATAAAACAAGGGGAGAAAATAAAGTACGGAGGAGCAGAACAGAAGCGAGAAAAGTTGAGCGAAGGACAAGTGAGGGGCATAACCAGAACAGTGGTACTCAAAGATATATTGAAATCCTTTTGTAACCAGCTGCTAATTCCCCAATTGTTTATTAATTACATTTGATTGCATTTTGAGCGTAAAATAAATAAACAAACTGCTCGATTCAGGGCTTAAAGCAGCTTGAAAAATATTATACTTTCCGCTAAACAGCTGACGCTGTTCTGTGTGGTATGCGTCAGCCCCACTGTACTGCCCTTGGCTGATAAAATACACCCCATAGTAGCCGTCGTATCCGTCGCCATCCCCTTGCGCAGACATCCTAACAGCCTGTGAAATATTAGGCCTGGGCCTGGAACTCAGATCTGGGGACTGGATAGGCCACCGACCAGGGGTGCCTCTGTCGGGGAGACAAAACAGACTTCAGGGGATACATAAAGCAGAAGGAGGGGTGGGTGGAGGTTCCGGGTGGAAAAGGAGAGAAAATGAGGAAAAATTGCCTGGTGGGGTGATGCCAAATCATCTGTTTTAAATCGATTTTCTCTGTTTTTGTTGTTGTCTCTTTGCTAGGCTCATACTTTTTTCCCTTTCCCTCTTTTATGTGTATGCTTTTTTTTTGCTGCCATACACAGAAAAAAATCAGAGCATTAAAGTGGATAATTTAACCTTGTTAATACTAAATTCACATTTAAAAAGTAAACAAGACTTCTTGTAGATAAACAATAAATTTCTCTTGGTGCATTTCCATGTTTGACTTTATCCCGGCAACTGTAAATGTATCTCCCAACCCTGGGGAATGCGAATGAATGAGAAATTGTGACCCCGTCATTGCCTCTAATTCAGGTCTTAAATTTTCTTTCTGCTAAATAAAATCTGAAAAAAATACTAGTACTAGTACGCCCACAGCCAACTCCCCCCTTCGACTATCTGGCTTTGCGTATCTGTATCTCAGCCGCCGCGCAACTTAATTGACCCCAAAAATAGCTAGCGAAATTGCTTTAAATTTGTTAAACTTCAACGGCAGCGAACCAATCTGAGATCTACGCCTACGGGCCTCGCAGTCAGAGAGAGAGGGAGCTAAGCATTTTTGCTCATTAAATAAATCAAAAAATTGCCTGGGCCTCAGAGTTCGGGCCATAGAAGTCGAATTTCTCGACTTGGAGCGTTTCAAATCGAATACTCGTCGTAATTTATGCAAATTGGGCGAAATGTTGGCCAAAAACTTGAGCAAAAATGTCACTTTTTGTGGGCCAAGACGTAAAAACATTTTCTTGAGAAAAAAGAAAGAAACACTATAAATTGTTTTTAATGGATATGACCAAAAACGCAGAGAGTTGTGGAATTAAGTAAGATCACGCACTTAAAAACAAAAACACTGGGAGCTAAAGCTATTCGATAAATGTTAAGTGCTAAATATTTAAATTAAGCGTGACGAACTTGAATATTTTGATAGTTTGACCTTATTCTTGGGTAGACAAACCAGTCTTTAAGTTACAAAGAAAATAAGACATTTTAAGGGGTGTGGAGTATATGCAGAATAGGGGAGATCCTATGGAGACATGCACAAATTTTAAACGAGATCAAATCAGCACCAAAATCTAGGACGCAAACTGGTTAAACGGCCTTTGGTATATGACCCCTGTTTACCCACAATATTCCCTTTTTGTTGAATACATCAGATACAGGCTTAGCTTTTGATATCAGATCTTTGAAACAATTAAGTCGCATCCCCATTATTAAGCAACTGCAACACCAAAAAGGCAACCGCTGCTCTCAGATCTCCGATCTGGGATTGTTCTCTGCTCGCAGCTCTACGTGATATAGGCTCCCCTCACAGCCTCCCCCCTCTAAATCCCCAAAAGTACACAAAAAACAAACTGTGTTACGTGCCACGAGCGAATAACTATCAGATAAAACATGATCATAACAGCACATATAAAATTTTAACTATTTTCGTGGCGGACCAGTCTCTGAAATTTTATTGTTACGCTTGTGTAACAAAAACACCAAAAAAAATAACAACAAAAAACAATAAGCCACAACAAGAACCAGTAACGTTATGAGCAAGTTGTACAAAAACAACCAAGATAAGTGCAATTGGTAGGGAAAAATGTGAACTCGGAAAGGGGTACCGGGCAAAAAGAGGAGAGCGTGTGTAATTTCCCAATCACTCGCAAAAAGAAAACGAAATTTATGAATGCCTCTTTATAACCAGAGAACCACTCGAGTGAAGGTCAATATAATATGATGGGGTTTATAAAAAGGTGCGATAATAAAAGAAATAAAGTCGTCCAGAAGTACGGGAAGCAGACGTGATGCCATGGCGAATTCATTCCGAATGAGTGTGCTTCATAGGGTCAAAATTCCCGAATTCGTATTTCCTGCTGGCCGATAAAATGCGGTTAACAAAGTCTTACAGTTAATAGACCTTTTCTAAAGAAGTTGGGTAATTTTAATTGGTTGAAAGCAAAAGAAATTTTAATTGTCATCTGCTGTAACCATTTTCTTTTCTTAAATCATGGGCTTAGATTCCAGTGACAAATGCATTTTGTAGAGAAAAGCTCATGTAATGTTGGGTCACAGATTTATGAAATGACAAAGGTTTTTAAAAGGAAACTTTTTTTTTTAACTTTTGCAGAAAGAAAGACAATTTTTTTCTTAAAACTTATTGTTTAAGTTTATTAGTAAAAGGAAATATATAAATTAGCAAAGTGGTAGCTAAGTAGTCCCTACACGAAACTTATTGGAATATTCTGCAAAAACTGGATTCTAATATTATTTTCAAATTAGAACCACAAGCATCTCTTCCAGCCAGCATTTGGAAGATATTTTCTCGATGAGTCTTTTTGAGTCGTTGAAATGATTCAAAAAGGTTTCATATCATGCGGTACTCGAAAATTACCAGTAAATTAATCAAAAAAGACTCGAAGCTGATCAGATCAAATCTGGGATAGTCTTTTATTTTCAAATTGGAAAAATCCACATCCACCTTGTATTTCAAAGTTTCCCCGTTTTAGGGTTGTACTAAATGTGCATTAAGTGCCTATTTTCACGGCGAGTGACCGTGACCATGCCAATTAACGGTGATCAAGGGTTAGGGTTACTACCGCACAAAAGTTATTGGCCATTACACTGCCAATTTGCGGGGGTGTCCAAGGGTGAAGGTCAAATGGGGGACTATTAAGAAGAGCGTTTGCCCCGACGCCACTTTCTGTTCAGTCTTTAATTTTAATTTATTCAATTCGTCGGCAATCAATCAGTTTGTGTGCTTTGACAACAGTGCAATTTACCGTTACTGACCTTTTTCGTGTTGCAATTTCCCGAAATTCGTTCGGTTCGGCGCAATTTGTTTACTTTTGCAATCTATCGTTGTTGTTGTTGTTGTTGTTTTTCGCCGTTTTTCGTCCAGTTTTCGTGCTCCTTTTTTGGGTTGGGTATTTTGGACCCAAAAAAGGACGAATTCTATGTTCACGCTCTCTCTCTCTCCCGGTTTGTTCTCCTTCTTTGCGCGCGCGCTCTCTGCAAATTGATTTTCACTTTTGGAGATTGTCGAAAAAAGGCAATTCAAAATAATAATAAACGAACAACGCAGGAATTTTCACTTGTGCCACTTTTTGCGGCCTCTCTTTTGTTGTTTTATCTGCAGGAAACAGGTTTACTTTTTGATTTTTCGTTTTGTTTCCCTCTTTTCCTTTTCCTTGCGTTTTTCTCCTTCTCGAGATGCTCGCACACAGTCGCACTCACACGCACACACACACACGCACCGGCCAAACAACAAAAATTCTTTCGCTGTCTTTGATTTTTGTTTTTTCCTTAGCTGCTGCGAGACCGGTTTTTGTTGTTGTTTTTGCACTTCACTTTGGCTTGTATTTTCGATTTGTTAATAACAATTGCAGCGCTTTAAACAATTTTTGGGCATTTGCTGATTTGTGTGGGATTTTCGCTGTTTCCTTGCACCGTTATTCCGTTTTTATCCTCTCGCACCCGTCTTGAGCCGGAGCAGGAGGAAGGAGTGTGAAAAGGTGCAAAACACGATGAAAACTATTAATATTTCTATTTCCCGGCGATTTTACCGAATTTTCACATGTTTCGAACGTTGGATTGCGATTCGAACGACTTTCCGCAACCGAACGCCTCGGATTTTCAAAAACAGCTGATTTTCAAAAATAATTTGTTTGTTTTTTTTTTTAATTTTAGGTATAAAAATTAAATCGGTCGAAACAAACAGTTTTGTTTTAAATCAACGCGCAGCACACAACGTCTCCGATTCGCTTTTCAAATTGAACTAACTAACGAATACCCCCGATACGATACGATACGAACTGGTTTCATACGACCTCACCACCACCCACCCCCATTAAATGCTTTACCAATTTCTCTTTATTTCAGGAAAATCGACAATAAAATACTATTTAATTTAATTTTAGCAAATCAACTTTAATTTTCTTAAAATTTGTAAACATTGCTTAAATATGTAATATTAAATAGCATAAATATCGATATCTGTATAGTATTTAAGAACAAACGATAGTTGTAATCGAAATATCATGTGGTTTAAATAACGATTTAAGGGTACGGTCACTTTGATCGAGAAGAACGAGAACAAAGAAGAAATCAATCTTACACGCTAACAGAAAAACAGTGTAAAATTGTTAGTTAACATTTTTTTGGGGTCGAATTCTCATGTAGAATGTAAAATGTTCGAGATCGAACCTGTTGGTTAACAATAGAGAGCAACAGTGTACACAAACTCACCACGTGTAAAAGTAAAATGTTTGCCAGCCATCGATAACTATTCAGCTATTTTCTGGCTATTTTTTAACTTATTTCTGGAAAATATCTGTCATATCGATAGAAATATCGAGCATATCTGATGAAGTCACGCTGAAATGTTCGATGTATGTTGGCGCGTATTTTAAATTTAAAACGCCAAACCAGCGCTTAAATTCGCTAATAGAGTCAACATTATACCTCTGGGTTTGGGTTCAAATATTCCAAAACGAAAACCAAATATGCCAGGAATTTATTATATTCTTTAAATTTGTATTACTTTTTAATTAATATTTTAAAAAGATCACAAAATCTTCCCATCGTTCCCAATGCTAACTATATGATTTGGTCGTCCGATTTTCATAAACTTGAAATTCCAAATAATTCAAAATGATAATAAAATAAAAAAGGAGAAAATATGTTTAAAAACAGTAAAGTATTTATTTTTTATAAATTTCAAATTGTTCCTATTTTATCAAAGCACTCATTTCAAACTCCGTTTTTACTTTTGAATCTCCTATCAAGTATGCATGGAATATTAAGTTAACACCTACTTTGACATAAAATTTTAATATTAAAACATAATGGACATACATTTGTAAAAGCACGACACGTTACATCACAATTACAAGGTGCCACTCGAGAAAATAAATTTCAAGTCCTTTATTAATCATCCTCAGGATACGAGACCACGATCATGTGAGGATTGAGGTCCACCAGCTGGGCGTCGATTATGTCCACCAGGGCGAGACGCTTGCGCTCATCGGCCAGCAGGACCAGCTTGCGGGGCGACTCCTTCTGTCTGAACAGGCCCAGCGTCTTCTTGCCCTCCGCCTTGGTTGTGATCTGTACACCCCGCGAAACCGCCGTCACGTACCGAATCTCGCTCCACAGGTAAGACCAGAGGGACTAACGATGCAGGAGATGTACTAAAACTAAAAACTCTTATCTTATTAGCAAAACTTACCGTCCAGATATTAAACATCTCATTGCGCTGGACGTAAAGCAGGCGGTTATCGGACACTATCATGTACTCGAATTTCTTGAGGATCTCCTCGCAGTGGATAAAGCTGTCTGTGTCTGCATATATACTCTTATCGGCCTCCCTTTAAAATAAATTTATATAAAGTTAATTACGAGTGATTTCTCCCTACACAAACTTACATCAGTATTTTGTTACCCAGGGCATCCATGTAACAGTAGGGTCTTAGGATCATGTCGTAGTGCTGGAAGCGTGGAGGACGCATCCTTCTGATAACCTCAGTCGCCTCTGCGGCGCGTTTTACAGCATCGAAGCTGCCACTGGTAAAGTCAACCAAACCAGCGATGGGGCGAATCACCAGGCCAATTGCCCCCTTACCCAGACCCTTGATGAAGCCCCCAGCGCCCTGTTCGCGGGCTCCATTCATGGGTTTGGTTACAACGCCAGTCGCACCCTCCGCAAAGCCCTGCAAGAAATTTGTAGGAAATTAAATTGGGAAAAACGGGGGTTGAAGAAGGAGTTCTTGGAGGAATCCTGCTGAAGGACCCACCATCACCAGGCCCTTGCTGCTGCGAGCCAGTCCCTCATGAAAGTTCCTGGGCTTATTGAGGAAGCCTCGACGCCTCTTCTTTTGGTATTGCTCGTCAAAGGTCAAGACGGCCAGACCCTTGCCCATGGCTCCAGTGATTCTATTGAAACAGAAGGCATTATATTTTAATATTCCCTATAACAAAGGACATATTACTTGGACATGGCTGCCGAAGCACCGCCCACAGTGTGAGCAAAGAGTGACCTCAAGCCTATGACCAGGCCCTCGGCAAACTCTTGGGGTCCTTGGATGGCACCCTAAATATCAGGAATAGTTACGCTATATAATCATCTTGGAAATGGATTACTTCACCTGTAATGGTTCATAAAACAAGTCCTGCACACCCTTTTTGAGTCCCACCACCAGGCCATAGGGATTGCCCAGAACATCCAGACCCAGGACTAGGACGTACAGCTGCTTCAGCGTCTGACCCGTATAATGCGATTGAATCTCACTCATCAGCTGCGACTGGGTGAAAAACTGATATTCCCGCTCGAAATAGGCGAGGCGAAAGACGACATCGTTGACTTCGGTCAGGGTAACGCCCACAGCACCGAGCACGGAGCCCAGGAAGCCAGGCAGGGTCTTTGTGTCCGAGCCGCCCATGGAGAAACTCAAATGGATCTTGAGCGGACCCAGATGCAGGTTGTCGTAGAAGCTCTTCTGCTCCTGCAAGGATTGATTCTCGAAGAAGACGGAAAGTGGCAGCACAATGGAGTCAACGTCGTCGAGAAACTGTTTGGCCTCTGTCTCGTCGCTGACTTCCTTGGCAAACAAATCGCCAATGGCGGTGAGGAATTTCAGATCCACCTTGAAGTGGAACTCCTGGATCAGGAGCTTGGCGTACTTGAATTGTCGCACCGTAGAATTGGGCATGATGCGCTGGACCATGCTGCACTCAAGGAACGGCTTGAGGGCCGTGGTGTTGGCCATGCTCTTAGGCGGCGGTATGGGGGCCAAGACCACAGCGAATATGGGATCCATGCTCTGATTGTCCACCTGAATACGATTGATCTTCAGGTGGAGCTGGTTCTGGAATGGCGACGACTTGCGGGACACCCAAATGGCGGGATAGAAATTGCGTCGTATATTGCGTTCCACTGTCTTTTTCAAAATCATTCGATCAAAGTCGATCTGAAAGGAAGTCCTTTAGTTTTTCCACCTGCAAGAAACACAAAAACAATAATTACCGGAAACTTTTTGTCCAGCTTGTAGGTCTGGATCTCGTTGGCCTTCTTGTGCGCTAGGTACTTTGTATACTCGGCTTCAATAAGCGCATTCTCATTGATGGTCACCTCCTTAAACCGCTTTTTGCTCGTCTTCTTGGACTCCCAGATGATGCCAGAACTGGTGACACCCAGATATAGGATATCCACCCCCGACTCGTTGTTTATTAGCGAGAAACCTACACCGAGGATGCGCAGATCAATGCTCTGAGTGATGGACTGCAGGGCAGCATTACTCTCGGTGCGACGGGCAATGGACTCGCTTTCGGTGAAGAGCAATACCCGCTGCAGGCCGTCCAGGAAGGATACCCACAAAGCCTTAGAGCCATTCTCTGTGCTGTTAATAGAAAGGTAACCCCGATTAGCAGGCATAATATATATCAAATATAATGATCCTACACAACATCGCCCGTGTTATCCCGCTTAAGATCCGTCTCCTGCTTGTTTGTGCCAAACACCAGCACCTTGGAACCCGTCGGGTCATCCCAGGCGTACATAATAGTGCTCTTGGCGTTCAGGATATGCTCATTATTCGATCCCTTCTCGTAGTAGACAACCTCGTGCTTGGTGTGATTGATTAGCATGCCAGGAGCATCGGCCGTCTTGTATTCCGTGAAAGTGATATAGACTCCCCCCTCTGTGGTCTGAACGTCCACGTTGATGCCGCCCTTCTTGCTGTCCTCCAGTTTGAGCAGCGTGCAGACCACCTCAGTGTAGTCGAAAGCCGGCGTTATCTTCCCTCTGACGCGCACCACCACCTTGCTCTCCTTGACTGTCTTTGGCCAAAACGGCTCGAACTGATTCGTCTCGAGGAGCAGCCAGGGATCCCCCAGGCGGCTCTGCTCTTGCAGTTCAATGGGAAAGCGACACCTGTTGCACACAATGTAAAAGGGTATGAAGGTTACCTGCTTGGTCAACGTGTTCTGCGTCAAATGGTTGTGGACGCCAATGTGGTAGCTTCTGTTGTTTGCATGGCAAGTGACCCAGCCTTTAGCCCCGGCTATATCCATCGGGATCTTCTGGCTCCAGCTGCCATTGTCGATTCGAATAGATGCCTTCTTCTTGTTGGAGAATACCTTGTCCCGGAAAGTCAACAGAATGGGTCCAGTGAATTCGGACGGATGGTATAGAACGTCCACAGAGGTCGATTCCGTCTGGTAACTGAGCATCAGTCCCGTCTTGTTAATAAGCCAGAAGGGGCTAAATAGCGTGAGCATCAAGCTGCCCTCCCGGTTATCAGACCTGCGAAGGGAAAAGGTAAATAATACTTACCCATATCAGATAGCAGCTACTCACTTGACATAAAGAGACTTATTCACCTTCATCGCCGAGTCGTACGATGAGAACACCCAGGTGTCCACGTCGCCAGTGTCCTCCGAAATCTCGGTGACACAGGACCAGTCCTTCTCCAAGTATTGCATCATCTAAGCGGATGATTGATTACTTTCCATTACCTTCCTAGCAAAGGTCTTAACCTACCCTTACGACCAGGAAGCTCTTAGTAGAGGACAACCGGACGGTGGGCAGATGGAGGACACTGCCAGGCTTTATCGTCTTTTCGCCGTAGTCCAGAAATTCCTCCCTTATGTGGCTTTCCCCGCTGAATTGCATCGAGGATTGTGCATTTAAGCCGTCCTTACTCACAGAGCAACCGGCCACAGAGACCATGATCTCGATGGGCAGGGCATTGCGCAGGTACAGCGGCGGGCGCAGGTGAATCGTATAGAAGGCACTGAGTATTGTATATTTGTTCGAGTACTCGTGGTAGATCTCAGTCTTCTTTCGCCGGACATTGATGTACAACGGCTCGTATGTCTTGGTCGGATTGCAGTGCAGCTGGTTGGAGTAATCTGCTTCCGAAAGATTGGAGTTCCAGGCAAAGCCCTGATCCGAGGTCCTGTATCCCCGCATGGAGAAGTACAGTTCTTTGACGTCTGCGTATATGGCATGCAGCGGTACATGGAAAACCTGTCCCCTCTTAACCCGTCCCACAAAGATGTCCTGAAAGTTATCCACGGTGGGATGAGTGTTGCGTCGATATACATCTATGTGACACGTGAAGTGATTGTGTATCTGTGAGAGATTAAGTTTGAGCTCAATAATCAAATGCAAAAATAAACCTTATAGGACTTACACTAACTACCCCATGGATGTTGACCTTGGTGGTTCCGTATACCTGCTTCACCTCGGACACAATACCATAAGGCTCGGACACCGAGCTAGTCATTAGGTTAAAGAATCTGGTATCCGATTTCGACACCGGCAAAGCAATCTCTATGTCCCCCATGTCCCTAATCTGCGGAAACAAAAACTCCGAGCTCACGAACTCTACAAATATCCTTAATTAAGACCACATACCGTCACATAAAGACTATAGTCATCAACATCCTCTTCGGATGTCAACATGCTCAGGTCCTTGGTCTGTAAGTAGGCTCGTCCGCCCGACGCAATTATGACTATGTCAATTGCACTGGGCTTAACGTCAACAGAATAGTTCGACAAGAAAAGGCTGCTAGTGCTGGGCATCACGCTGGCAAGCTGGTTGTGCATGTCGTGCAGCATAAACATGCCCTTACGCAGGTCCAGTTCGACGTCATAGCCCGTGTCATTCTCCAGCATGTAAGGCGCAACAATACCCGGCTTGGTCAGACCCTCCTCATCGATGGCCTGCGAGAAGGCCTCGCCTAATTCGCCCAGCAGGCCCAGACAGGTCTTGCTGAGCGTTATCTCAAGCGTCTGTATCGAGTGGATACTAATGTACATGGCCTGCTGCTCCTCCTGGTCTTCAATCGCCTCGTTGTACACCAGTTCCGTGCCCATTTCAAACTTTAGTTCCCAGGGGATATACTCGCGGACGCCATCGGCGCGCATCACCTCGTTCAGCTCGATAATGGGCTCCCACTCGGCCAGGGTTTGGTTGTAATAGTTCTTTAGGAGGTTACCCATATTATAGATATTATTCGTATTCCCACCCACTACTTACCATGTTCACTGTCAGTGATCCTTGAGCTGTGAGATTACTGCTCCAATCGTTGAATACGGCCGTTAGGCGGGTGTCCAGCGAAATGAGGGGCTTCGTGTAGTAACCAATTCCAGACTCAATGACTAGCGTAACGCTGGGCATCTCAATGACGCACTTCTCAGTCTTGGTCGCCTCAGGAAATCTCTGGTAGTCCATGACCTCTTTCTCCTTTTCCGGCCGTGTGAACCAGTAGTCACGACTTTTCAAGGGTTGCTCCTTCCACAGAGTCGAATAATTGCGGGCAGCCTCGGCCACTTCCTGGCTGATCTCCTTCCCACTACTAATACTCACCATTGCCTTGTTCAGCAGCTCAATGGTGGCCGGGGAAATGTTGATTATGATGTCGCTCAGCTTTAGGCTAATGTGCATGCCCTCCTCCTCGGGCGTAGAGCCCTGCAGGCTAATCACGCAAGGATGCAGGATGTAGTGGCGGGTGGTGTCACGTCGATCGGGCAGAAAGGCGCACATGTACATCTTCAGAGAATCGATTTCCCCATTGATGATCTGCTTGTCGTTGATGCCGCGGAAATTAAGATGAGCATGGGCCTGCAAAGAAAACACTTGGGTGCCGAAAATATTCAAGTTATCCCCCAGCTTACACTGAAAATAATGCAACTAGTGTCCAGTTCCTCCAGACTCTCCACCAATATTATCTCCGGCTCGTCAATGTGGAGAATAAGGTTGACCTTTTTGCTCACAGCTGTATAAGCTGAAGAGCAAGTTTCCTACATTAAGAAGAGACTTTGACATAAGGTACTTGCTCCTTACCCAAGGACTGCTTTGGCATGAACTCGTTAGCTGTTCCTACGGAGGATTGGCGAAGGGATTTCTGGGCCTCTTGCACCGATCCCGCCATTGATTGTCGCTTCACCTTGATGGTGGGTTGAGGTGTCTCGTCAACAGGAAGGCTGAAGAAGGTGGAAAGCCTAAGCAAAAAGTCAATGCAGACGATCAGCCCAAAGCCGCGCACACGGATCTCAGCTTCAAAGATGAAATGACGATATAAAGGATAAAGGATAAACTCGTCAACCCCTACCAAAGGTGTCGTTCTCTTTAAGAACGGCCTTGATATCAATCATAAAGTCACGTTCATTGTAGCAGAGCTCAATGATGTCATCCGCTTCCATTTGTGGCCGCCCCCAATCTTTGCGTCTCAGGTATTGCCTGATCTGAATTTCCGAACTGCTGCGCGTATCGTCCACTTGGATATTGCACAGGACCACAGTGGAGCTCAAGGTGCCATTGTCCAGCTTGCTGCCCTCAATCGATAGGAAATAAATTCCAAACCGAGCCAGTCCTTCGTGTTCACCTGGGGGAAAGCATATAAAACCCACATTTAAGTGGGGAAGCCTTTCGGTTACTCACTCTCCATTAGACTTATGACCACCCCATCAAACTGGAAGTTAAACTTCATGGCCTCGACTATCTTTTCGTTGGGAAGGGTAAGCGAGGGACGAGCTTGGCGATCCATGGAAAGCCGTTTTTCCGATGACTTGGGTTTCGGCTTCTCCGGAGGCTCTTCACTAGGAGGAAACTCTTCCAAGCCCTCGTTCAGATTGTAATTCATCACCAGCATCACCAGGGCATAATCAGTCGCAAAAAAAGTGAGCTGTGGTCATAACAATAAATCCCATGTCTCCACTATATAAAACTTAAATAAAACCTGCCTCTATGGTCTTGAGGTGACCCGAAAGATCCAGCTCGGGCACGTCCTTGTACCAGCCGTAGGACAGATTCCGTTTGACCAATAAAGTGAAGCTCATGGGATTCATTATGTTTGATTTAGACAAATAGCCTACCGCAGAATCCATTTCTAAAAAAAAATGTATTAGTTTAGGGTCTCATTACTAGACCTCGAAATAGATCAATTTTTTGTGAAGCGTTTTTCGCGGGAAATAAATCGATTTTTCTAACAAATTCTATACAGTATATAAATATATTAAAATTTTCATTTATTTTCTTCCACTCACCATCAACAATGCTTTCATGGCCATCCATTATAGTCACCTTGATCAACTTTACATCACATATCCGGAGCTTAATCTCATCGATGACCGCCAGTTGTTCCCTGTTGGCCACCGCAATCTCCACTGTGTCGTTTGTGAGCTCCAGCAGACCCAAGTCAAGAGCCAGGGCATTCAAGGACCTAGAACTGGTGGGTACAATGATAATAGGAGCCTTGATGCGGATATCAAGCTTCATGCGAGTGGCCGTTTCATAGGCATCCATGGCCTTCTGGCGGGCGGTTTCAGCTGCAGCAGCGCTGGCCTGGGTTATGGCCTCCTGAGCCCTGGAAAAGTGGTTTAGAAAATTCTGAAAAAGTCAAAATAGATTAATATTTGTATTGTATTATATTATAATAATATTACCAAGACACCTGCCACGAACCAATTAAGGAAAATAATTCTCAAGCAGCCTATTTCCACTGTGATCTTCATATCGTCCGAGTTGTAGGCGAGGGTCTCCTCCTTGTTGAAGAGCACCACCTGGCAGTTGAAGGCGTCCTTGCCCACAATAGTCAGGATCTAAGGGGCATTAATTGAATATTATTTATATCTTCATGCCCTTACAGTTCACTTACATTCTTGTGTATGGTCTGTGGATTCAGATCCACAATCTGTATATCCTTGAGGCCTAAGTTGACGTCTGTGTACGAGTTCTTCATGATCAGGCTGCACACAAACCCCCTTACGGTTAGACCGGCCAAGTCTCGATTCAGAGAGGTGAGCTTCAGACCCACTTGTTCCAGATTCGCCATCAGGCGAACTTTCACACTCTCCACCCTGCCATATCGCTGATCTTGGAGGGGCTTAGTCTCGGTGGGGGTCATTATCTGTTCCTCCAGGATAAAACTAAGCTTTTGTCCGATGCCATCGCCGCCCCCGGCAGAACTCCTCGTCCACTCATGTACTTGTACACTGTAATTGGACATCACATAATCCATATTGCTTTGGAAACGATTTGCCACTTCCACGAGTTTCAGTAAATACTCCTGGTGCAGGACAATCTCCAAATCCTCGAAATTGGCCACAATCAGCTGCTCTGTGGAGTCGTATTTGGTGCTGAACTCTGGGGATGTCTTGGATGCCATTGTGCAGGTGACGGTGAACAGGTAGTTGGAACTATTCTCCGACTTGGGTGTGAGAATCATGTCCAAGGTATCAGAGTTATTCTCCGGGCAGCCAAACTGGCGCATGGTGATGTCTCCCAGCCTAAAAGGTATTTAAAGGAATTTATTTCCCAAGACCAGGACAATTTAGAATCTACTTACTTGACAGAAGCCACGGACTCGTAGGTTCGCGAGACAAAATATGCCTCCACTCTCAGAATGTCAATTGAGAGAATTTGGCAACCTGTCTCCGCTGGCAGTTCCCCCAGAAAGGACACCTTGGCTCTGGTCTCGTTCCATCTGCTGGACTGAAAGAGAACGAAATATACCTCCCCCAGGCTGAAGTTAACCTCCATATTGGTGTACTGCGTGATCTCTTGAGGGACCACCTCCGGCATGGCAGGCTGTGCCGTGGGCAGGACGATCTTCTTTTTCACCTCCTTGTTGAAATTAGGCGGGGCGGACATCGATTTGTGGGTAATAACTTGAGGGTGTGGCTGTGGATCTTCTTGCTTCGGAATGCTCATGACCACTCTCATGGCGAGAATGACGCGATCCTCCGAGATATTGACCAAAACCGAGGGAAGATCAATGTCGACCTTCATCTTAGGCAGCCGCGGATCGTTGTCGATCACACAAAGTGCAGCAGTTGCTTCCAAGGAGATGGGTCTTAGGACGTGCATCTCCGTTGATTCGGCATTCATTAAAGCCGTCTCCCAGGCCTCCCCAGCCGCGACCACGAGCATCTGAACATCCGCCACCTTGACGGTGAACCTGTCATAGGAGCTGTCCATCACCGCCTTTAGAATGTCGGCCTTCTCTTCGCCGGTGGAAAATATGTCCGTGAGATCACGCGCAGTGCTGGTGAGATGCACCTGACCCAAGCTCACCACCAGCAGGGACGCCTCGTCCTCTCTGTAGACTCCTTTATCGGGCAAAATCAAAGTGTTTGGCATGAGCAGGATGTCCACGTCCAGCACAGTTTTCTGTTCAATCACATAGTGCATCCCGGTGGCCGAACGCTCCTTGAAGTTGGCAATTTGTGAGCTGGCCGCATCCTCAATCCGGTTGACTGTCACATCCTGCGGCCTCTTGAAGGCGGAGATCAGGGCCATGACAGTGGGAGCATCGTAAACGATCTGCAGGGGACGTAGCACCATCTTCACCCGCTGGTCGCACTTTTTGTCCAGGGGATTCGTCTCGAAGAACACATCTAGCAGGTTGAACTCGTCGGTGATCTTTGATGCTATTAGCATAGGTGTATTCTCTGGGGTCTTGAATCCCGTGGCCTTAAGCTCCCTTATGCCGGCGGTAAGGCTCACGGCTCCGGCAGCAGGTCGCTGGATGAGCGAGGCCGTGGCCATCAAGAATTTGAGCAGGACCAGCGAGGGCAGGTCCTTGTATTCCCTAAACTCGCCGTGTGCCCTGGGCTCCTCCTTGTACAGGCCCACTTCCAAGGCAACCAGTTTAAATTTCATCTTGATGGCCTCGTATCTCTCAGGCATATCCGTGGGCACCATATTCTTTTCGTAACCAATGGCCGTGTACATCTTGGCCTTTTCCTCGCTCGTCATGGCTGCTTCGAACTTTTCGACTGCCATTCAAAGGGGGGAATTTAATTTTAAAAAGTCTAGAAGTGTGTTTATGGTACTTGCCCAACTTTTGGCCTTGTGTCTTGGATCCACCACCCCAGCCGCTGAACCATCCCGCCTTCTGCTTGGGCATTGCCTCGCGCTGCTTTTCAATCTCGATATTGACCCGCTCCCTTATCAGCAGGAGGTTAAAAATGTCTATTTTTTGCTCTAGTAAATTGCAGGATTCAATCAGAGCGGGGGAGGGTTTTTTGCTCAGGCATTGCTCTTTGTATTTCTGAAAAGAATAATTATTAATGATTATGATATTGTATATACAATATGATATTATAGATTAAGACTCTGGGAATAACCTGCGCATAACTGTCACATCGATTGCAGTGCTCCTTAATGTATTTCCAAGTCCAGGTCCTTTTAGACTTCCTTACATCCTCCTCCAGAACAGCGGTTATGGCAAATTTCCACCATACCTTGGCATGTCCTTTGACGGCTATTTAAATAAAATAACAAAATAGATAAATAAAAGTATAGAGTGGATATCCAGGATATTTACGTATATCATAAGGACGATATTTGCGGTATGGTATGGCCAACTGTTGGCGATTCATGGCATCTCCCAGCTTGATGAGATTTTCAAATTGTATATTGGTCAGGCCCACATTTAACTTTTCCATTTCTAGGGTCAGATCGATTTTTGCTATTTGGAAAGGCGGGTCATTCTGGTCAGGATTCATGTTTAGCTTTAGCTTGGCATTGCAAGAGATGGGACCCAGGACTGTATTGATAAACATAATAAACATAAAATATATATAAAAAAAGCTGCTAGTATAGACTTATACCGTAATTATATCCTGCTGGCTTCGAATCCTTGCTAGCAATATTATCCTGGAACTGTTCAACCAGATGGCTTGTATTCCTGGCATAAATCTGGCCCCCGCAATTTAGATAGGCGGACAAACTATCGAGATATGCCATTTTGTAGACCTGAGCCGCCTGCTGGGCCATATAGCACTTTTCCCAATCACAATCGGTGGTATAGAGCTCAAGCCGGTGCAGGGATATGCCAAAGGAGAAGGGACTGCCCGTCGTGGTGGTATCCTCGTAGCGCAAATGTACGTTGCTGATCAGCACCTGGAGATTGTTCACGATCTGGGCCGTCAGTTTCTCGGTAAAGCCAGCTTGGGGCTTGGGTTGATCTGAAAGAAAATAAAGAAATATCGGATATAATATATTTCTTTTAGCTTCTTCTTACCCTTTTCCAGCTCCTTTTTCCGAGCACTCTCCAGAGTAGCTATTGCCTTCTTTTTGAGATCCATCTCACGCTTGGCCTCCTTTTCGGGATTGTACCTAACATTGCTATTGGGCGTTACCAGGGCGTAGACTCCTTCGATGTTGACAATCACCGGTTGGGTGTACAGACGTTTCCAGGGGATATTGAGAATAAGTTTGTCTGTTAAATGAATTTAATTAAATATTATTTATTATTATTATTATTGTTCCTCGACTCACCCACATACCCGTAGATAAGTTTCACAGGCAGATCCAGATCCAACTCGTCCAGGGCATTCTCCCGAATCTTGAGGTTCTGCAAGACCACATCGCCTGCCGAAATAAGTATAAAATTGTTTTCATTAGAGTCTCATCATATTAATTAGCCAATCATAGCTTGTTTACCTCCCCAAATCCCAATTTTTAGCTGCTTCCGATCCAAATTCTCGATGTAGTCGCCCAGGAACTTGTTCAGCACATCCGCCACCACCGCCTCAAAAACCATCTTGTCCTAGCGTCCTAGCGGAGGTTCAATTCTTCAATTGATTTTTTGCGGTGTATTCCAATCGCTTGAAAGTTTAATTTTTTCAGAGATATATACTTGTGGTCGCTAAGATTTTTTTTAATTTATGCAAACACAGAAACAAAAGTGATGTAACGGTGAGAAAATATAATAATATATTGATTGGAAAGTGTACGCGGAGTCAAAAATTGTCAATAATTTGTATATATTTATTCAAAAATACAACATATTTGGAGTATTGTGTCAAGATAACCAAGATGTGTTTTTTATAAGATTCCTACTCGGAGACACAAACAAACTTTAAACTACAAGTATTATAAATTGTATAGTTTTCTAATTTGTTTACTTTTCAAATTTTAATTTTGTGTAAACATTTTAAATTTCTTTTATTTTGCGGACCAGAAAAGTCAACAGTCATGGTAAGAACTCTCATAAAAACTTAACAAAAACTAAAAACAGTTTATTGTACAGACACCCGTTAACCGTTTCATTCCATATTATTCTTTAATTTAAATTAATACAAAAATATAAACAAATTTCCTTAGCTAACAGCACCATAACAGCTGAACTTAACATGCTTCTGTTGTTCGCTGTTAGATGGAAAAACATCAAAAGCGGCGGAAAATCAACTGCCCCCCATGGCAAGCTGGCCACCCATCCCATTCCGTCTGCCTTGTAGATTTTCTTGCCCAAGTTCTGGGTCACTTGGGCATTTGTGCTGGCATTTTTCTTAAAGGTTTTTCCCCGTCTTCTTGTCGCTCGAATCGTTTTTCATCCATTCTGGGAAATGGGGGGCCACGTGCGGCTCATCCATTGACCTATTGTTGTTGTTTTTGCCGGTCCATTGTTCCCAATTTCCTCGTTTGTTTTGCTGTGGTTTTTGTTAAGAAAAAAGGTTTATTTCCAGAGGCGCCTACAGAAAGGTGTTTTTGTTGTCTGTTTATAGCGAAAAAAGCTGGGATTTTATGTTGAATTGTTGCAATTTTTATTGGTCTGCAAAATATTTGAGATTTGCTAATTGGTTGCTTGATAAGAGCTTGTAAATATATCTCTTGAAATCGTTTAACATTTAGTCAACAATTTTTATAGATAACTGTATCTGTTTCGAAATGTTCCTCTTGTTGCAAATACCAATAAGAATAACATAGAATATCTTTTTTTTAACAAATTTACTGCCTCATTAACTTCAACAAACTTCTTATTAAAACATTAAAAATAATAATGTAAATTCAAGCCCCTTCCATAGAACCTATACACACATGTGAGGTTAAAATTACATAATTTTTCCTGCAATGAACCGAAACCACAAGCCTGGCAATCACTCACTCATTTTGCATTTGCCCCGCGCTTCATTTGATTTGATTTATGCAAAATTCGCTTCCTTCTTGGTGATGGGAGGGGGTGGTGGCGGTGGAAAATGAAAATGTTCAGTCAATAAACGTGAGCCAGCCGCAAAATGATGACCCCCAGAGGTCGTCGGGAGAGTACCCCTATTATAACAGGGGGTAAAGCAGGCACTGGCTTTGGTGTTTTTCCGAAAATTTCGGTCAGGAAAATGCAATTTCACTGATGCTGCCGTTTTTCGTCTCTAATAATGCCAGTGCTCTTGCATTAGACAGATTTTCCTCTTGCACTTTCTGCCAATTTTCACGCATAATCAGATGGAAGGCTGATTTTCCACCAGAGTTTTAGAGTCTCTTTTTGATGGGAAATTTGTGGAAAGCTTCTGATGTCGGTTAGAAATGTGTACTATATTTATTTATGAGCTGTGAAACTATTTAATGTAGAATATATTTAATTTTTTTATTTATTATTTATTTTCTCTAATTTTCTAATAATTTTTCATCTTTGTTGCGTGCCAACATTACAGTTTGAGAGCCATAAATGTTGTTATGTTAGATCTTAAGATGTTGCCAGTCAGTTACTTCATGTTGAGAAGCGATTTATGAGCCGGCTTCTCCATGGCGGCAACTTTGGCCGCTGGTGCAACATGTAATGTGTACGACACGCCCCCTGAATCCTCAGCCACTCACCGCCCACCGCTTTCATAACGGTCACTAAGAAAAAAGAAAGTATTCCCAGATTAAATTCATATTTGTTTTTATTAATTATTATTTATTATTTATTTAAAATTAATAAGAAAATATGTCTTCCATATATTTATTTTGGGTTTTAACTAATTTCACAAAAAGGTAGAAGCTTTTGACAATCGGAAAATGGTTTCAAAAATGTACTAATTTAATTTACACTGATTTAAGTGTTTTAAACCCCTTTTTCCAGTGTGTTCACATTGGGTGGCAAAGCTATAGGAAAAAACACAATAGCAGCAGCAGACGAGCGAATAATAAATAACAACCAGCAGCTCGGGTAGTTTGAAGAGGAAAATATGGTAAAAAAAAAAAGGTATGTGAGGGTGCTAAGTGAAGTGCAGCTGCAGAGGATCACCTTCCAGTTAACAAATTAACATTTAAATAAATAAATTTATAAATAAACTCTAAACTATGTATATATAAAGCAAAATAAATTCTAATTAAAATCTCTATTATGATAAAATAGTCCAGATATTGTTTAAGACATGTGATTATAAATTACAAATATTAGTCAGAAAATAAAGTATGCCCTTTAAAATCTTTTAAATTATTATTTATTTATATGTTTCTAAATTCCCAGTTACCCAAATTAAGCTTCTTAATACTTGACTTACAAATTAGCCAAAAATACTGACTAAATATTTGCATACTTAACCCGAAACTCCTGTTTTTTCTTTGCCACCAACTGATTTGTTGATGTTATTTGAAAAACTTATGATCTGTGAATAATTACATTGGCCTTCCGCCCCCTGGCAATGGTAAAAACAATCACCAAAGCTTCATTTAGGCTGAAGGATTGCGGATCAGTTGCAGTTGTTCAGCAAAGCAGAAAAATGGCAAAGAAAAAACAACATTAAAACAAGGCGCTGGCGAGTGAAAGTCCAATGTTCGGACGCTTCGTTCACATCTCACTAACCTCGTGATTTATATTTACTTTTTTTTTTTGGCTCAAACCGGCTGTCGGCTGTCGGTTGTCTGTGACTGCTCCGAGCCCTCCTCCTCCTGCTCCTCCTCTTCTCCCCCTAGGTAACAGACAGTTGGACATAGGGGCGTGGCATGCGTTGCCTGCATAATGAAAACGTTTGGACACAACGGCAGCCGAGAAATAAATTTGCATACTTGGGCGAAGAAGCAGAGGAAAGTGAAAATTGCATAAAATTTTCTGTATTTTTCCAGGCCAAAATAACCGAAAGCGATCGCAAAAAGGAGCGGAAAAGTGTGCAAAAAAAATAGTGACGATGAACAGGAAATGCATTTCAAAGCGTTGGCCAATTCGCAATGCTTGCCAAACTGCAACGATATTTGATATTCAAATTGTGTTTTACTTTTTCTTCTCCATTTTTTTAAGGTATTTATGTAACTGGCTTATGATTGAACTACTTAAAGCGAAGATTTTGTAAATTATAGTTGGGGTGGTGCTTTGAAAATATTTTGGTATTTGCCAGGCAGTTGAAAACTATAATTAAATAGTGGTTAAGTGAATAATGCTTAGGCTGATTAACGAGTTTGATTCAAGACAAGTAGTTTTAGTTGGAGTTAGGTGGCTGCCATAAATATTTGTAATAAAGTAGGCGGCTTTGGAAATGGTTTTAAGCACTTCAGATATTTTTAATAATTCGTAATATGTGTTTAATGGTTTTTTAATATGTTTTAATAATAAGTTAAAGTTGTGTCACTAACTATAGTGATACATATTTTCAATAGAAAAATAAGGCTTTGAAAATGTTTAATATGTCTTTAATTGATTTTATAATAAATTAATTCCTAATATTGATTATAAGCTTAAAAAACCCTTAAAAAATATACAAACCTTCTAGCCAAGCCCAAGAGCTTTAAATTTAATAAATAATTAAGTGATTTCTCCCAAGATAGCTTTTTTAAGAACCATATTTTTTTGTATTCCTTTAAAACTCTAATCAGTTAATGAGAAATTTATGCAAAATATTCCTAGACAGCGAGCAGCATCAGCCCGAAAAGGAGATTAAGCAATAAATTTATGTTAAGCAGCCAACTGAAAGCTGTAAACTGTCGTCGCCCGCTGGCCAGGAGTAACCTTCCTGGCTCTTCTGCCGCTTCTGCCGCTCCTTTATTATTTTTTTGCTATTTCAGCACTTACACGAATTACGCGACCTGAGAAAATTGTAATTCATAATATTCCAGAGCAAGTAATTCCTGGGGGACTGGCAGCCAGGCAGGCATCCTTGCTCTTGCCTTGGGATCTGCTTTTGTTATTGCTAAAAATAGCACATGGTGAATGCCTCAAGGTTGGTTAAGGGGGATGATGCTGCTTGCCTCATTCCATACTTTGTCCCTGTTCTTGTTTTTGTTGCTGGTCTCTGACGTGTCAAAAGTTTTGGCCAAGGCAGCTCCCCCAAGACGACGACAGCCAGAAGATGGAATACTAAGGAATACAGGAACGGGGACAGGTGAGAGCTGCTTGGTAAAAGAACAAAGAACAATAAGGTGAAAACAGATTGCTTGGAGTATTCTGGTGGCATTTCTTGGATTATTTTTAGAAATATAGAGGTTTCTTTATTTAATTTCAAAGAATTTACAAAAAAATATTTACCTTTATTTAGAGTAATTTTTTCTTTAAGTTCATAACCCTTTTCTTAATTTTTATTTATTTGGAAACAATGTTTATATTTTATGATTTTAATACAAATTTCTTGGGAATATATTTTAGCCTTCCAATATTTTTATTAACCTTATATAGATAATTCACTTTTTGGTGTTGGCCACCTCAGGAATGTTCCACTACGTCACATCACATGAACTATTCAAAAAGTCAAACACATCAGCCAACTGTAGGTGGAAATGGATATCTATAAATGGATATCAAAACCAGATCAGAGGCATTAGCATTTTATGCATCACGTGACTGCGAGGTAGTGGCCAACTCCCGAAACGTTTGTTGTTAAGAAAAATTTGATGGAGAAAGGAAGAAAATCCAGGTAAAAGTATTAAAAATATATTCAAATAAATATAAAAAATTAATTCAATTTTAAAATACCTATTTTAAGGACCTTTTAAGGTAGCTAAGAATTTAAACTACCAAAAAATAAAGTTCAAAAAGCAATAGTATCTCGTCCTTGCACTTTTTCACTGCCTGGCCCAATCAATTTCGGCATAATCAGATGGTTGCCTGGATGCTCAGGCTCCTGTTCCTCTGCTCCTCCTTATTTCCCTACGAATGCTTGCCCTGGAAAAATATTGAGAGTGTCAGACACACATTGAATAAAAAGGAAGCGAGATAAAATGGGTGGAAAATGAAGGAAAATGGTTAGGTGGTGGTGGCTCATGGCAGATGGCAGCAGGTGGAGCACAGAGTCCCGCGGTATTGCAATGTAAGTGGCATTCGCTATTTTCCTGCCCCCGCCTTTCGCCACTGCACTTTCACATCATTTGCATGTTATTAAGCGCCATTTGATGAGGGGGGGGAAATGGTGAGGAAAATGTGAGTGGGCGGCGGCTTTGAAACCCTAAACTATCAGCGCTGGCCCGATGATTCCTGCTCTCACTCTCATTTTCCGTTTTCCCAGGGGAATGGGTATGCATTGCAAAATCAGAAGTACCGGGTTTTCGTTTTCCCTGCTCTCTGTTTTTCTTTTTTTCGGACAGCTTTTCGCTCGAATACCCGCGCTTATTAGTATTTGTGCAAGGGATTTTGCGTCAGAAGAAGGATTTGCGGTCTTTTTTACTTGAATACTAAAATTTTCTAAAGGATGCTAAAGAGGGGAAAAGCAGGGAAAGGATATCTGTAAACCTAAAAAGAGACAGAATTTGACGAAAGGATTGGAGTTTAAGGAGGGAGTTTAAGCTGGAAGTTTAGGCTAAGGATTACGGTTTTGAAGGTACTAGAGGAGATTGGAAGTTTGAGAGGAACTGGAAATATAGATGAACTGCTGATAAGTGAGATATATACATATTTCTCTATAAATAAATATATTATTCTCTTTAAAATACAAAATAACAAATTATAATAATACAGCTAATCTCCCATGACCCCAAAATAGTTTAACCTGGTTAACACAAGCCACCAAAAGTTAACAAAAAATATACATGGCAAAAAAATAACAAATATTCGGCTAAACACAAAATAATAATAATAAGCCATAAACAAAAACGCACATGGGGCCTTATGCTGGTAGCCAGCCTAGTGGGTTTCTGGTCCAACAAATTGCCACAAATTAAGACCAGATCGCGAAAAAAGGCATAAACAAAATGCACCCGGCAGGTGGTAAGCGAAGCGAAACTGCATCTGCAACTGCAACTGCATTTCCATTTCCATTTGCAACCAGCAGCCAAGCTAAAGACATTTTTAAATCAAATTCGATTTGGGTCTTGGCATTTGTGCGATTTACGAGAGTCTGGGAATTGCCCAGGCTTTCCACATTATTTTCCAATTGCGTAAGCCGGCGACGCTTGGGAATTGATCAGGAATTTGTACAAAAAAGTACCCAGAATCTGGTGGGGTAATTTACTAGATTTTTAAAGGTTTTAAATCTTGCTTTAATCATTTTTATATTAATTGAGAAGCAGCCTCTCAAATGTTGAGTATATTTTAGAATTGCATTAAATCCAGTTTATTAATTTGGAATATAATCAGGCTTTAAATGGAAATATACTTTTCCCAGAGAAGTTAAAAGTTTAATGGGAGTATTTTGGAGTTTATTTTTAATATTTAGAAAATATTTTAGAAATGTCAAAGAAAAAAAAACTTGTTGCTAACTTGTTTTATTTTCATATCACTTTAATTAAATCACCCGATTGCTTATTATCCTCATAGATCACTTCACATCACTGGGTTTATATCTCTACTCGATCAGTCACTGATCACGTTTGTCACATTACTAAAGTCCCAAGAAATCGAAAAAGCCTGCATTACCCTTGACGACTCACAAAATCAGAGATATACATATTTATCTTTATATAGCTGGAACACTGTCAAACTGTACATAAAGTGCAATTAAATATACATCACTTACACCAATGCAACTAACAAAATATGAAATACAACAAAAAACAAAGTCCCGAACACAATGTTCTTTGGCTTTTTAGCGAGCAATTCAGTTGACAATTTGCTGAGTGGCCAAAAAGGGTAATTAACCCAAGAAAGGCAAGTGAATTTGATAAATAAAAGAATATTAGGTACTAATTATAACTATAAATTAATATATATTATTACTATTATGTTTATAGCTGGCACTCAGAAATATCAATATATAATTAATAAAAAAATATATTAAAATATTTGTTGATGAATTTTTTTTAAATGAAAACAAGAAAGAAAGCTAACGTAGGCCAGCCAAAGTTTGTATACCCTTGCAGGTAACAATTAAAATATATCATAACTAAGCCAAAAATGCATTAATTTCGGTTCGGAAAGCAGTTTTGTGTTAGTTTTTATTAATTTAAAAAAACTGCATACCAAATTTAAAATTTTAAGAAATCAAAATTTTTGGCCATTTTTGCTAATTTTAATGATGTAACCCCTTATCATATTTCGCAAAATTTGCCAAAAAATCGATTTCCTCCGGACATGTCTAGAAAGATTCGCATGTTAATGCTGATCAAGAATATATATGGTTTATGGGGTCGGAAATGATTCCTTGACTTAGAAAAATATTATTTTGTGTTATAAAATCTGATTTTGTATATTAAAAAACTTCTTGATTTTTTTTTAATTAAAAATATCATAACTCGGCCAAAAGAGCATTAATTTTAAATCGGAAAACTGTTCTGTGCAAGATTTTCTACAGTTAATAGATCTGCATACTTCATTTAAAAATTTTGAAAATTCAATTTTTTATCAAAATCAAAAATTTTAATGATGTAACCCCTTATAAAATTTTGCAAAAATGGCCAAAAAATCGATTTCTTCCTGACATATCTAGACAGATTCCCCTGTTGATGCTGATCAAGAATATATATACTTTATAGGGTCGGAAACGTCTCCTTCACTGCGTTGCAAACTTCTGACTGAAATTATAATACCCTGCAAGGGTATAAAAACTCAAACTTTCCAAGTATTACTCTATTTAAATTTAAATTAATTCCTAATATTTAATCTTCACTATTTATTTTTATTTTATCCTATTTTATTTTTCTAAAAATTATTACAAAATAATTTTTATAAATAATAATGGGTTAATTTGAACTATATAAAATAAAACAAGGCATCGCATTTATCAGGAAAATCACATACCTACATAATGCTTATCCATGTGTCTCCATGGAGCGAGCTTCAATGAAATCTTAGCTCTTTTCGACAACTCCTATGGCTAAAATGCAATTCTAAGCAAAATTATGCGCCATCAGCGCCACAGTTTGACAGGAACTGGTCCGTCCTCGAAGTGCAACAGCCGTGTAAACGTCTGCTCTGCCTATATAATCTCAGCCCTGCTCCCGGACAAGCTTCTCCTTTCGAAAGCAACGCACTTTGGGGCAGAAAAATCCACCAAAGCTTCCATGGAATTGCAGACATTGGCTTTGTGATTTCTCACGCCGCGCTTCCTGTTCTCTGATTGCCATAAGCAAAGATATATACATAAGATATATAAAGGTAACCCAAAACCATACCTGGACAGACCTGGAATTCGCACAAGTGTGCAAACGAATTCCCAGAACTTGCATTTAGAATATTTGCTTTATGAATAAGATTAAATTGTAATTCTTTTATTTTATTGAAATAAAACTCTCAATTAATTAACGCTTTGATAAATCCAAACTTAATCCTACTTCTCTTAACATATTTACATAGATATCCTTATTACTATAATCCTACTTCTTGATCTGCGTTGGAGTAGCTGGTGTTGTCGCCTCCACTTTCGTCGCCGCTGTCGCCATTGTGGGCTGCAGTTTGATGACCTTGGAGTCCGGGCCAGTTGGTCCCGTGGCCAGCTTGGAAACGGTGCCAATGTTGACCACTCGGCGCATACCACCAGCTCCTCCTGGCTGAGCAGAAACTGATGATGACGGCAAGCGATTTCCAAGCATCTGTACTGGCACCTGCTTGAGTCCGGCAGCGGATTTAAAGTATACATTCCTTATCGGAGCCTTGCCATCGCCAGAAACAGCAGTGGACGTGACCGGTGTGCCAGGGTTTATCACTTGGAACTGGGAATAGGCCTTGGTGGTGGAGCCCACCTGGCGTATAGCAGAAGCTGTGGGCTTAATGGTCTGCACATTGACGGCCTTAACGCCGGGCACTAAAGATCCTGTGGCAGGATCCACCACCAGAGGACTACTCGAAGTCACTGCTCCCGTTTTTGGGTTACTCAAAATCCGTATGGGCACGCGATGGGCGCCAGTCGTGACCATATTTCCCATGGGTTTCATGGTGTTGCGATTGATGTACAGCACCTTATTCTGGCCACCCACTGTTGGCGATGAGGTGGTGGTGGTGGTAAATAACTGATGCATGCCCTTGTTGAGCACAATGTTGCCTCCGCCTGGCTTGGTGGTGGTGGTGGTGCCGCTGCTGCTGGTGACAATTCCAGGCGGTTTGTTGGCCTCCTTGATGATTTTTTGACTGATGATAAGTGGTTTATTGGCGCTTCTGATGGGAGCTAAAGAGAAGGGAGATGAGGATCTTCTAAAGCAAGAGTTTACAAGTTGATACATACCTGGTTTTATTTCCTTTTCCACCGGCTGTTGCTGCTGCTGCTGATCTGAGATGATGCCTTCGTTGTCGGCAAATACAATGGGCATGTCTATGATGTTGGCAAGATCCACATTACCCGAGGAGCTGCTGCTGCTTGTGGCCGTAGCGGGCTTGGTGAGTTGCAGCATGGTCATGCCGTTGGCATTCTTGAAAACCGTGTACTTCTGCTGTCCCCCAGCTGTAGATGATGAGGAAGTCGAAGAGCTAGAAGGACCTGCTGTTGTAAACTGTGTCGTTTGTCCCATCGGCGCTTTTAGTGTATAGATCTGCTGGCCACCAGATGATGATGATGAGCCCGGTAGAGTCTTTACAATGCCTCCCATGTTGCCGGTTGAAGTGTTGGTTGCTCCACTTGTTGGCTTGTAGTTGATGAGCTTGCTCTGCGGCGGCAGGGATTTGATTTGGACAAACTGGCTGGAGGGTATCATCTTGATTTTGGTGCCAACTGCCAGATTGACCTGCGGCAGCTGTTTGGATATCACGCCACCTGGTTTCATAACCTTTGGTAGAAAAGCTCCACTGGATCCTGCTAAAGTTCCTGTTGCTGCTGCTGCATCCTCGTAGCCCTCGCCCTCATCTAGTATGAATTCAATGGATTGGTTAAGTTCTTCGCTGCTCAAATTTGACTTGTCTTGATGAGGTGCTTCTTTTTGGTTAGCCACCGAGCCACCAACTTTTGCCAGGGGTCTTGTTCGGGGTCTTCCAACTAAGGGGGTGGGATGTGGGGTAGAACAGTTAGTGGAAAGGATAGCCACAGGTGGCACTAATAACGACCCCCTTTTTGGGCGGATGACTTTACCCTTTCGCTTGACAGCAAACGGATCAATGAGTCGAGGTGGCTTCGGCTTGTGAGGGCGATCTTGAGGCAATGGATTAGTTCGTTTGGGAATGGTTATTGGTTAGGTGATGGTGGTGATTAGTGGTTAAATTACATGCGGGGTGAAAAGGTGGAAAAGGTTGGAAAAGGTGATTGGGAAAAATAACACAAAACGCTGGTACTCACTGTGCGCCACAATCTTGGTCTTAACCGGCTGACCCGCCAGATCCTCCTGGCCATCATTGAGCTTTCTTTTGCGCATCTGCTGCACCGCCTTGTTGGCATTGCCATCGGCCAGGACGTGGGTTAATTGCTTTACCTGACGCTGGTAACCCGGCTGATGCATTAGAGATGTGGGCATCCGAGGTCCTGGCGGATTGTTCAAGGTCCTACTAACAAAATCGAAGACCTCCTCCTGGTAAAGCAATTAAGAAATTACATAAATGTTTCAAATGGAAGAAATTTAACAAAACTTACAACCACCATGTAGTCCACCATGGCCTGTGTAACGCCCTCGATGCGCCGCTTGCTCTTAGGCACCCTCAACGCATCATCTGCACTGCCCACCACCACCAACGAGGACTCAGATTGCATGCGCTCGCGCAGCCCCTCCATCTCCTCCTGACTGGTGCGGGCAGAGTTCTGGCCAATGACAAACAGTATGGGCGCCTTAATGTCCAGCATTCGGTCATCCGGCATTCCGCGAGGACCGCGTATGGTGTTGTAGGCAAAGCCCATGCAAACCACACAGGCCACACTCTCCGACAGGGCAACCTGCAAAGCCAAAGCTGCTCCTGCATTAAAGCCGACAAGGATAATGCCACGGCTAGGATTATCAGTGCGCAATTCATGAATTCTGACGCGTGTCAAGGACACAATGGTTTCGGCCACCTGATCAAGGTTTTGATTACCAATTCTGTTGTCTAAGGGATTAAAAATACAGTTAAATCCGAGTAAATATGAAATGTATGTAATAAAAACTCACTCGAATTGGGCAGAGTAATCTGCACGACCTGTGTGATGGTGGCCAAAGCCTGATACCACTTCTGCATGCGATCCGTGACAACGCTACTGGTGGGCATGGTTGGCAGCACCACTATAATAGCGTTGTGCGATAGCTGACGCCCCTTGGGCAATATATTTGGTTCCCAGCGTTTTTTCATCACCGGAGCCAACAGTTCCTGGGTATGATTAAGCGGACGACTGAATAGCATCTTATCCACCAGCGTAGGCAGCTTAGTTTTAAGCGTCTGCAACATGTCTAGGTAGGAGGCCATGTACGAGGGCGACAGATGCTCCATGAGCAGCGAGTGCAGCCACTGGGTGATGCGGGGCTCCCAGGAAACGCCAGCTAGAGCCTTGCGCAGACGGGAGGCGGACTTATCAACGCTCACTCGGCGATGAATAGCTTCATGCTGGCGCTTGTCGTTGGCCAAACGCGCCAGCTGATCCTGGTCAAGAATGGAGCTCACCTTCTCGAATAGCATCTGCTGCATGGGTGTCCAACCAAATCTGTTGAGAATTTGAATGATTTTAGTCATAGTTTAAAGGAATACCAATAGAAGTACTTACTGATTGACTCGCGCCACCCAATCCTGCTCATCGGCATTGTTGTTCTTCACGTATTTGGCAATGCGAGCGCATTCGTTCATTGCCTCCTTGGCGGCTATGTCGTCGTAGGGCGGCACATGGACCTGCTGCGTCTCCGTCAGATCCTCGTGTTGCGGATATGTGTGGCAACTGGGACACTGCGGAGGATGGCGGACTAGTATGTTCCTTGCGGGTGCAAGGCCATTATTAACTTCGTTGCGTGTAACTGGATCACGGATATAGCTGTGCTCCATTTTCTCCCCAAACGACGATTCACTGGGCGCCGAAATGGTGCTGGACTAAGGGAGAAAAAGGGGAAAGAAGGCGTTAATATAGGGATCCATATATACAAGATTCTAAAAGAAGGATGTGCGATGGACTGTGTCAATATAGAGATCTTTGGGGGCGCATGCAGTGCAGGTTAGTGGGTGAACACGATGTTGCTTCTGGCTTATCATTACACTCTCTGTCGGCGTGGACGACGATGTGATGACCAGCGTGGGCGACTTGGTCGCGGACCCAGCCTTTGGCGGACTGCTGACTTTGATCGAGCCCGTCATGGAGGCAGCGCTGCCCAGGGAGCCGGCCTTTACCACAAAATACGACGCGAAACCTCCGCCAGCAGGATTTTTATTTGTTTTTGTTGTTACGCTTGCCGTCGCAGTCGCTCCCGTTGCCGTCGCCCCTGCTGCGCTTGCACTGGTGTGAGTGTGGCTGTGTGTGGTGTGTGTGTTGTCGCCTGGGCCAACGCGCGTGAGGAATTTGCTCGGGCTGTAGGTGATTATGGAGGAGGACCCGGCGGCGGAAACCTCCGGAGACTGCGGCTTGCTGCCGCTTTTCCCGGCTATTTGTTTCATCATTTTTTGGTTTCTGTCACTTCGTTTCTACACTAGCTGTCTGACTGCTTCTCGCTCTTCCTCTTCTACGCCGTTGTTGTGCACTTGCGGCGCTGGGCAAACACCTGGAATTCCCAGAACCCCTCGACTGCCGGTAGTCCCTATCAGTTAACACTCCTCGCCCTGATTTTGAAGGATTTTACGAGCAGCTCCTATTGTTTTTCGGCCGTGTTCCGCAACAGTAACCGATTTTCGCAATTGCTTTTGTAAAATATGGCGTGCCCCGCGGCGTTGCCACTTCGTTGGCACTTTGACCGTGTGGCAACTCCAGGGACAGCTCGACAGGCCCAGTACAAAAATATTTTTGGAATTTCACAACAAATGGGCAAAATGGGCGTCTGTCAGGACAGCAACCCGTACGGGCAGCCCTGCCCCGTCAAGGACGCGTGACTTACACTCTCGCTGGGCGTGGGGGTGGTGGGCTTCGCCAGTTCTGTGTCGGGGACCAGCGGCAGGGCCGCCCCAGCGATCTGTTCCTCCTGCTCCTGCTTCTGCACTCCGGTGCCTCCGCTCTGCAGGAAATTGTTGAAGCACTCGAAAAACGATGCCATGTTTGGGCGGGCACAGATTTGAACGAGAACTAAATTATTCACAATCTCAAAAACAAAATAACAATCAAAGGCAAGCGTCAAACCGAGCAAGGGTAGTGTTGGAACTGGGTGGCGTTGCCCAACACTGGCCCCATAAACAGCTGATTGCCTGGCGTGCATTTTGTTTGGAGTTGTGGAAAATCGCGTTAATTGGTGAAATTTGTTTAAATAGCTCCAAAAACCGACCGGAGGAGGCATGGAGGAGCTGCAGCAGTTGGAGTACCTCTCGCTGGTCTCAAAGATCTGCACGGAGCTGGACAACCATCTGGGCATCAACGACAAAGACCTGGCCGAGTTCATCATCGATTTGGAGAACAAGAATCGCTCGTACGACTCATTTCGCAAGGCCCTGCTGGAGAATGGCGCCGAGTTTCCGGACTCCCTGGTCCAGAATCTGCAGCGCATCATCAACCTGATGCGTCCCAGTCGTCCTGGTGGAGCCAGCGAGGAGAAGAAATTCTCGGGCGACGCGAAGGAGGACAAGAAGTCGCAGCTGATGAAATTATTTCCCGGCCTGGCTTTGCCCAATGATAAGTACAGCAAGAAGGAGGGCAGCGACGATGACGAGGAGGAGGCAAAGGAGAAGAAGGATGTTAAAGAGAAGAATGGGCACCACAAGATCTCCGACATGAGCGACGTGGATGCTGCCATGCTGGAGCTGGAAGCTCTGTGTCCTGGAGAAGGCAAGGCAGAGGTGAAGCCGACCAAGGAAACCAGTTCCAGGGATCGCCACAAGCGCCGGGAACGCAGCAGAAGCAGGGAGCGGGACGGGGACAGATACAGCCGTCGTCGCAGCAGATCCCGGGAAGATCGGGATAGGGATCGCCGAGAAGATAGAGACAGGGATCGCCGCCGTAGCAGATCGCGGGACAAGGACAGTCGCCGTCGTGAGAATCGCCGCAGAAGCAGGTCTCGGGAGGATCGAGACCGCGACAGAGACCGTCGTCGCCGCCGATCCAGTTCCCGAGACCGTCACGAACGTCGACGACGAAGCCGCTCTCGTTCCGGTGACCGCCGGGATCGTAAAGATCGCTCCAGGGACCAGGAACGCAGCGAAAAGATGCCACCGCCCGCAGCAGCAGCCGCAATGACCGATGATCCCGAGGCTGGAAAGATCTACTCCGGCAAGGTGGCCAACATCGTTCCCTTCGGTTGCTTTGTGCAGCTCTTTGGGCTTCGCAAGCGCTGGGAAGGATTGGTACACATCTCGCAGCTGCGAGCCGAAGGTCGAGTTACCGACGTAACCGAAGTCGTGAGCCGGAATCAGACGGTCAAAGTGAAGGTGATGTCCGTAACCGGCCAAAAGGTATCGCTGTCCATGAAGGAGGCGGATCAGGAGACTGGAAGGGATCTCAATCCGCTGTCACATGCCCCCGAGGATGACGATTCACTGCGAGATCGCAACCCCGATGGGCCTTTTAGCAGCAGCACGTCCATGTTGAATTTGCAAGGCAACGGCCTGGATGGCGATGAGCATGAGTCCCGGAAGCGTGTGACCAGGATCTCTAGCCCCGAGCGCTGGGAAATCAAGCAGATGATCAGCTCGGGTGTGCTGGACAGAAGCGAGATGCCCGATTTTGACGAGGAAACTGGCTTGCTGCCTAAAGACGAGGATGATGAGGCGGATATCGAAATTGAGATTGTGGAGGAGGAGCCACCCTTTCTCTCCGGCCATGGCAGAGCCCTGCACGACCTGTCGCCGGTGAGAATTGTGAAGAATCCCGACGGATCCCTGGCCCAGGCAGCCATGATGCAGTCAGCCCTGTCCAAGGAGCGTCGCGAGCAGAAGATGCTGCAGCGAGAGCAGGAGATGGAGGCTCTACCCACGAGCCTAAACAAGAACTGGATAGATCCCCTGCCCGAGGAGGACAGCTCTCGCAGTCTGGCGGCCAATATGCGAGGAATGGGAGCGGCTCCAGCTGAAGTTCCCGAGTGGAAGAAGCATGTGATTGGCGGCAAGAAGTCCTCGTTTGGCAAGAAGACCGATCTCACGCTGGTGGAACAGCGCCAGTCCCTGCCCATTTACAAGCTGCGCGATGATCTGATCAAGGCGGTTACCGACAACCAAATCCTCATCGTTATTGGAGAAACTGGCTCCGGAAAGACCACACAGATCACCCAGTACCTGGGCGAGTGTGGTTTCACGGCCAGAGGAAAGATCGGATGCACTCAGCCCAGGCGAGTGGCGGCCATGTCCGTGGCCAAGCGAGTGGCGGAGGAATATGGTTGTCGTCTGGGCCAGGAGGTGGGCTACACCATCCGTTTCGAGGACTGCACCAGCCCCGAGACCATCGTTAAGTACATGACGGACGGTATGTTGCTCCGCGAATGCCTGATGGAGGCGGAACTCAAGAGTTATTCCGTGATTATGTTGGACGAAGCCCACGAGCGGACAATTCACACTGATGTCCTGTTTGGTCTGCTGAAGACAGCTGTGCAGAAGCGACCGGAACTAAAGCTCATTGTCACATCTGCCACGTTGGATGCGGTAAAGTTCTCGCAGTACTTCTTCAAGGCTCCCATTTTCACCATTCCCGGCAGGACCTTCCCCGTCGAGGTTTTGTACACAAAGGAGCCGGAGACGGACTATCTGGATGCCTCGCTCATCACCGTCATGCAGATTCATCTGCGTGAGCCACCTGGCGACATTCTCCTCTTCCTCACGGGTCAGGAGGAGATCGACACTGCCTGCGAGATTCTGTATGAGCGCATGAAGAGCTTGGGTCCCGATGTACCCGAGTTAATCATCCTCCCGGTGTACTCTGCCCTGCCCTCCGAGATGCAAACCCGTATCTTTGACCCAGCGCCAGCGGGTAGTCGCAAGGTTGTCATAGCCACCAATATCGCAGAGACTTCCCTCACCATTGACGGCATATTCTATGTGGTAGATCCCGGTTTCGTCAAGCAGAAGGTGTACAACTCCAAGACTGGCATGGACTCACTGGTGGTCACCCCCATTTCGCAAGCGGCTGCCAAGCAGAGAGCAGGCAGAGCCGGGCGTACGGGTCCGGGCAAGTGCTATCGCCTCTACACGGAGCGCGCCTATCGGGATGAAATGTTGCCCACGCCAGTTCCAGAGATTCAGCGCACCAATCTGGCCACCACAGTGCTGCAGCTGAAAACCATGGGAATTAACGATCTGCTGCACTTTGATTTCATGGACGCACCTCCAGTGGAATCACTGGTAATGGCGCTGGAGCAACTGCACTCGCTGTCGGCCCTCGACGACGAAGGTCTGCTAACGCGTCTGGGCAGAAGAATGGCAGAGTTTCCCCTGGAACCGAATCTCTCCAAGATGCTGATCATGTCGGTGGCCCTGCAGTGCTCCGATGAGATCCTCACCATTGTGTCGATGCTGAGTGTGCAGAATGTGTTCTACAGGCCCAAGGACAAGCAGGCCCTAGCGGATCAGAAGAAGGCCAAGTTTAACCAGGCGGAAGGTGAGTTTGCAACCTCTAATTCCCGATTCCTTGCTAATCTCCTCTCTTTACAGGCGACCATTTAACCCTGCTGGCCGTGTACAATAGCTGGAAGAATAACAAATTCTCGAATGCCTGGTGCTACGAGAACTTTGTACAGATTCGAACCCTCAAGCGGAGCCAGGACGTGAGAAAGCAGCTGCTGGGCATCATGGACAGGCACAAATTGGACGTGGTTTCAGCTGGAAAGAACTCGGTTCGCATCCAGAAGGCCATCTGCTCGGGCTTCTTTAGGAATGCGGCCAAGAAGGATCCTCAGGAGGGTTACCGCACCCTAGTAGACTCCCAGGTGGTCTACATCCATCCATCGAGTGCTCTCTTCAACCGTCAGCCGGAGTGGGTCATCTACCATGAACTGGTGCAGACCACCAAGGAGTATATGCGCGAGGTGACCACCATCGATCCCAAGTGGCTGGTGGAGTTTGCTCCTTCGTTCTTCCGCTTCTCGGATCCCACGAAGCTCAGCAAATTCAAGAAGAACCAGCGTCTGGAGCCGCTGTACAACAAGTACGAGGAGCCCAACGCATGGCGTATTTCACGCGTTCGACGACGTCGCAATTAATGGACTAACTCTTAACCTTTATGATTGTAATTTTTTGTATTTTAAACGCTTAGAAATATATTTTAAGTTTAAACTTCAATAGCCTTTGCGACCGCGAAAGCGCTGCCGGTTGTCCAGCTGAAAAAGGTGGAGCTAATATGATGAAAGGAGTGGGATTACATACTTCCAATGTACTCACCAAGGAGCGCTTGCACTCGTAGAAGGTGTTGCGGAGCACCTGGCATTCGGGGGGAACATTGTTGTCCTGGAGGCACTGACGCGGTGTCTTACCCATGCGGCAGCACTCGCTCTCCAGGAGGCACATCTTCAGGTCAGCCCTCACACCCGCACAGGCCGTCTCGTCCGCCAATCTTTCGTTGCCCTCGTAGCGCATCATTTTTAGGTTTTTTAAGCTTTTTTAATGTTTATTTCCAATAACTTAAGGAATTCAGTTACAAAACCAAAGACCGGGCAAGTATTGGGAAACGTTTGAATACGCACAGCTGACAGCAAAAAGCAGGGGCGGAACATAAATAAGGGGGTCCAAAATCGCCCTCTGTGGGAAATAAACTAAACTTTTTAATTGTGAAATAAATGCATAACTTAATTGTTAATTATTAATATTTTTCTTTTTCTCAAATCAGTTGTATTTTATTTTTAAATGTTTGCTTTGTCATGGTGCACTTCTCTGGAGCATTCTCACATTTTCCAACACTGCAATAGCTGCATTTGTTGACCAACCGCACAAAAACATTGTTGCTCGAATTTGTTTAAATGTAGTATTTAATACAATCAATTATAAACGAAATGGCCTACGATGAGCGCAGTAGTGATGGCAGCAGCTCCAGCGAGACGCCGGATACCTACGCCCACTTGCTGTCCCCAAAACCAGGCCAGTCCTCCCAGACGCCGGCAACTGCCATGCCCAAGCACATTCCCTTCCCCGAGCACGCCACCACATCCGAATGGCTGAGTGAACTGATTATGTGCGCCTTTACCATGGGTTCGGCCATTGTCCAGTTCATAAACATTTACAGGACCAACTGGTGGCTACCACAGGCCCACACAAGGCATATGGTGGTGGGTTTGGTCATGTTTTTGACGGATCAACTGTTTCGAATTTAATGGAATCTCTGAATTTACAGAACATAGAGCTAATTGATCCGTATCTCCGCTATCTGATGCTCATACTAAACACGCGAAGACTGATTTACTGCTTGCTCCTGGTAAAGCTAAGAAGGGGCAATGAGAAGAGTCAGCGGTGGATCCGCCTGGGAATCAAGTACGGATTTGGAGGCCTCGTTCAGCTGGCCTTGGGTTTTTGTGCCATGAAGCTGTACCAGCAGCACTCCTACATAATACTGCTCTTCCTATCCTATCCGTAAGTAATTTAGTTACTAAATATCCAGGAGACTCTTGAATCCTTAACTTCCCTTCCCTAGAGTTGTCATCTACTTGCTGATCTTTGGCTTCCAACTGGAGCCCTTCCTGCGAACCAGATTCGAGCTGCCCGGAGTTTATATTAACGATTTGCCCGTCCACAGCTGCACTACGAATGCCGTGCACATCCGGGACGAGGTTGAGACACTGCGTCATGACTTTAACAAACGCTTTAAGCAACTCATTTTCACCTCCATGCTAAATGCCTATTACAGTGGCTTAATGCCCTGCTGCCTGGCGGTCAGTGTCCAATATAATGTACTCCGGGCAGCCCAGCACTGCATCATTGTTTGCCTGGGCGCTTTTAGTTTGTGTGCGGTGTTCCTTTACCCGGCCAAGTACAGCGATACGTTGCATCGGGCCACTCTGCATTTGGGCTGCTGGCAGCGAATTGACCGAGAGCCAGCGCCCTCGCAACTAATTGTGGCGGCCAGTGCTTTGTCCTGGTCGAAATATTCATCCTATGGCCATGGAACTGTGGTGAAGCACAACGGGGGTCTGTACCGGAGCCAGGGAGTAGTCACAGTGGCCACGCCGGGAAATGCCAGTCATGCGCGATTCTATGTGAGTATTTGTATTCGTTTCCTAGTTTTTCAATGTCTTATGCAATATTTCCTTTTGTAGAAACTCTTCCACAATCCCACCATCATTTACTCCACGCTGGCCACTCTCCAGGCGGCCGTGCTGCTGGTGGAAATTGGTTCCCTAAGCGCCGAGAGCGTAGAGTGGCACTTTGTGCTATCCATCAGCTTTGTGGCCTTCACTAGCATGGGCGCCTTCTTCAAGCTGGTGCGTGACTATTTCATCACCAAAGATCTGTACAAGACTGAGCACGCCGTGGCCTCCGATCAGCCCTTCCGCCTACGCATGAGAGATGCATTTATTTAATAAAGTAATAAAAATAACACATTAGCTTTTATTAGGCCTAGTTTTGGCTTTTGTCACCGGGCGAGGAACAGGATACAGCGAAAACCCAGGAGCTGCCCTGCTTGTGGTCCCGCACCTGGATACCGTGCTGCTGCAGCAGATTTCTCAGCTCGTCACAGGCGGCCAGCAGCTGAGAGTTCTTCGTTTTTCCGGAGATGGCCTCTTCCCGCATTCTTCCTCGAACAGAAAGGACATCGTCCACCAGCAGAGAGGGGTCGATGTTGTGCTCCTGGGATGAGATCTTCTCCTGAAGCGATTCGCTTTGTGTCAGCTCAGAGACTCCGAACGTGACCATGGCCCTGTTGATGAAATTCCCAGCTGCCATAAGGAGATCCATGCAGAAGGCCGGCTCATTCTCAGCGTTCACCTGCTGCTCGTTGATGCAGCGACTGATGCTGCTCATCTGGTCAATCAGAACGCTGATCGCTCGCGCCGTATCGAAGTCATCCCGTAGGCTGTTATCAAACTCGTTGACAGTGTGGGCCAGTTGGGCCTTCAGGGCACCCTCATCCAGCAGGTGGATCGGCTTGAGGAACTGTGTGTAGGCGCTGAGGTCCGCCTGGAAGTTCTTGAAGCGCTGCAGCGTCTGGCGGGCAGTCAGCATTAGCTGCTCGCTGTAGGACATGGCATTTCGATAGTTCGACAAAAGACAGGCCATGCGGAACTCGTCGGCAGAATAGTTCTTCAGCATCTCCGAAACCGAGATCGTGTTGCCCAGCGACTTGGACATTTTGTTCTGGTCACCCGCCATGCTGAGCTGGCCCGTGTGGAGCCAATAGTTGACCCACTGGTCTGTTTTGTAACGTGCACAGGACTGTGCCTCCTCGTTCTCGTGATGCGGAAAGCGCAGGTCCAAGCCGCCGGCATGGAAGTCCAACTGGTTGCCAAAGAAGAGACCAGCAATGGCACTGCACTCAATGTGCCAGCCTGGACGTCCTTCCCCGCCCCAAGGAGCCTCCCATGTGGGCTCGTTGCTCGATGCCTGGCGCGACTTCCACAGGGCAAAATCTGCGCTATTTTTCTTAGCCGGATCCGACTTCTCCTCCTCGCTCTGTCCCAGCCTCTGTAGTTTCCCATAGTTCTGGCTCTTGGACACATCAAAGTAGACGGATTTGTCCGGCGTAACGTAGGCATGCTCGTTTGCTATTAGCTCCTGGATAAACTGCACAATGCTCGGCATTGTGGTGGTCACATTGCAGCGCACATCAGGCGGTCTGACATTGAGGCGGAGCATGTCCTGCCTGAACTCTGTCTCGTAGGCGCGTGCCATTTTGAGCCAGTCAATGCCCGACAGCCGGGCTCGCTTGATAATCTTATCGTCCACGTCCGTGATATTCATGGCCGTCACCAGGTTGATCTTGAAGTGATCCCGCAAAATGCGCTGCAGGATGTCCACCTTGACATAGGTGCTGGCATGGCCCAGGTGTGCGGAATCGTAGACTGTTGGACCGCAGGTGTACCAAGTGACCATCTGCGGGTTGCGCAGCACCAGCGGCACCTTCTCCCGCATTCCATTGTTGTAGATATTAATGCCGGTGTACTGACCCAGCGGTTTGCGCCACTTGAACGCCGGCTGTTGATTCAGCGGCGCTCCGTCATCCGAGAAGCTCCGCCGGCAGATCCGCGCGGATTCAAGCCGCGCGCTCCCAAAGATCCGGAACGTTTCTTTGCTGTAAGTGTGTAAGGATATGGGGATGAGATCCTGACTATCTGAAGCTGCGGTATACTCACAGAATAAGCATAGCCCAAATTTCTAAGAATTTTGAATTGGTTCATGTAAACAAAAACATATGACATATGTGAAGTCTGCCAGATAGTTTTTCTATCGCCAGTATTTAGTAGGGTGTGTCGGTTAGAGAAATAAATATTAATAATTAAAAAACAACAGAAACTTGATATTAATCAAATTAATTAGATTCTAAAATTGTAAATTTAAATGTATACCAAAAGCTTATGATTTAGCTTTAAAAAAAGTGAAGCACCCTACTGCCCAGGGTTGCCAAGCTTTACAGAAAAGCGAAGCCGGCAGAATGCAGTGGCTTAAACTGAAGCTCCAATTTATTTTCATAATTTGTATATTAATAAGCTCAGCATGGGGGCAATTAGGACGCGATCCCAACGGCTACCTCACCTACTGTCCCTGCATGGGTAAGTCCGGCTTTACATCCTTTAAGCGCTCTTAGAAAAACCCTTCTACTTGGCAGGACGCTTTGGTAACCAGGCCGACCATTTTCTGGGCTCATTGGCCTTTGCCAAGGCTTTAAATCGCACCCTGATCCTGCCGCCATGGGTGGAGTACCGCAAGGGAGAGCTGCGCTCCCGCCAGGTGCCCTTTAACACGTACTTTGAGGTGGAACCGCTGCAGGAGTATCATCGCGTCATCACCATGGCGGACTTCATGTGGCACTTGGCCGACGACGTGTGGCCGGAGTCGGAACGTGTGTCCTTCTGCTACATGGAGCGAAAGAGCCTGCAGGTGGAGAAGAACGATCCGGAAAAGCCCAATTGCCATGCTAAGGATGGGAATCCGTTCGGCCCCTTTTGGGATACTTTTCACATTGATTTCGTGAGATCAGAGTTCTATGGGCCACTGCACTTTGATGTCCACCACAGTGCCATCGCTGCCAAGTGGCAAGCCAAATATCCGCCGGAAACATGGCCCGTTCTCGCCTTCACCGGAGCACCGGCCAGTTTTCCCGTTCAGCTGGAGAACTGCCAACTGCAGCAGTACATGCACTGGAGTCAGAGGTACAGGGATGGGGCCAGGGAGTTCATCCGGGAACAGCTGCCACGAGGAGCCTTTCTGGGCATTCACCTGCGCAACGGCATCGATTGGGTGAGAGCCTGCGAGCATGTCAAGGACAGCCAACACCTGTTCGCCTCGCCCCAGTGCTTGGGCTATAAAAACGAACGCGGTCCCCTCTATCCGGAGCTCTGTATGCCGTCCAAGGAAGCCATTGTACGCCAGATAAAGAGGACCATCAAGAATGTGCGACAAACCCAGCCCAATAATGAGATCAAGTCCGTTTTCGTGGCCTCAGATTCGAACCACATGATAGGGGAACTCAGCACGGCGCTCACGCGGATGGGAATCAGTGTTCACAAGCTGCCCGAGGATGACCCCTACCTGGATCTGGCCATTCTGGGACAGTCGAACCACTTTATTGGCAACTGCATTTCATCGTACTCGGCTTTTGTGAAGCGGGAGCGGGACTCGCATGGTTTTCCCTCATATTTCTGGGGATTCCCCAAGGAGAAGGAACGCCAACAGGCCAAGGCGCACGAGGAGCTGTAAACGGGAATCAGTAATTAACTACTTAAATACTCTAATTGGCCATTTTTCGGATTTAACATTCACATTTTATACTTTAGAATATTTTTTCAATTATTTTAAAGTTTCTTTAAAAACTTGGAACATTGCTGAAGCTTAATTTTTAATTGAAAAGAATGAATGAAAACCGAAAAAGCCTTTGAAGACACTGTTTAGTTGTAAGCTAGAAAAGTATTCCTCGCATTTAACAAGCATTTTGGATCTACACATTCGATTTTACTTATAAATTTATTCAAGTTATCCACGCACGCTCTCTTGAAAATAATTTAGATCGTAATTCAATTGCCCCGAAGCTTGCATTTGTTGTTCCTTGTCCCTCAACAGGTTAGTTGTTGGGCGTTCCTAGTGTATCAGCTTCTGGGTGCGGGCCAGATCCAGTTGCGCCGAGGAGACGCTCGTGAGGCCCTCGCGCACTGAGCTAAGGTTCTCCTTCCAGGCCTGCAGCAGATCGCGCAGCTGCTCCCACTGCGGAGCTCCAAAGGTGCGGTGCATGGTGGACGAGATGTGAACCTTGCGATTGGCCTGATCCAGACGGGCGCGAACCAGCTTCGTTTTCAGAACTTCGATAACGAAGGGCTCCACCTCATCCTCGTTGATCTGCAGCTCCTTGGTCAGCGTTTCGAAGGTCATCTCGGGACTGCTCTCTGCCAGCTGCATGAAGGTCAGCAGACGCATCTTCTTCATGTTCTGCTCATGGTTCAAGCCCTGCGAGGTGACAAACTCCCTGTGGTCCTCGTAGAACTGCACATACGCGGGCAGCTTCTCTGAGACGAAAATGGACAGGAGGTCGTGGATGAGGTCGCCTTCCAAGAAACGGACCGGCTTCAGCGACAGCAGGGGATCCAGCAGGAATGTATTGGGGTCGGCCAAAGCGGTCACTATGCACTTCATGGCATCCTCGCGGGCGACACAGGCATTATCAGCGGTATAGGTTCCCAGCAGCTCGATCATCACCTTGGAAGACAGTTCGAGGTTGGTGTCCTTGGTCACGTCGTGCAGCAGGCGGTAGAGCTTCTGCATCTGTTCCGACGAGGGCGGGCAGTTGGCAAACTGGGTCTTAAGCTGATCTACGCCGGTAAAGACCTCCAGCACCTGGTCGCACTGCTTGGCCACCTGCACGAGATGGTAGTAGACATGGTACCGCAAGGGCGAGGCGGTGTCCAGGTTGTTGAACAAACGCCACAGCGACTGGAGGCACACTTTGGCCAGAGGCTGATGCGGGGCCTTGGTCATTTTCTCGCAGTATGCCAGCACAATGTTCTCGCCCCGATCCAGGGGAATCTAAAATAGGAAACATTAGCAGGGAAGCTTTGATGTTTTCATGGATTACTCACCGTGATCATGATGGACACAATGCTGTTGAGGATGCCGTCAATCTGCAAGGGCTCGCCGTCTTTGAAGCAAACGTCGCAGACGCCAATAATCTTGTGCAAATCATCCTCCACACCCTTGTTGGACTTCTCCGATGAGATTTCGGCGCCCAGCTTCTTGAAATACTTGCGCAGCTCTTGTACCTAGTCGGAGAAATGGGAAATTTCGCAAAATATTAGTATTGTTTTGCAGGAAGAGGAAGACATAACCTCAATTTCGGGTGAACAGCCGCCTGAAAACATGGTTTAGGCTGGATAGCGGCGCTTTACCTGCTCGTCCAGGGACAGGTCTATGAATACCGGATGCGAAGTCATGGTTTTATAAATGTTATTTCAATTATTTAAACAAATGTAGTTGAAAATAACACGCACACGTCTTCGGCGCTGTGACAGCTCGAAAAAGGAAAGAGAGCGAGCAGGACTGGCGCTCTGGCTATTTTGTAGCTAGCGGAGCTACGTATAAGCAATTGAGAGGTTTATATTGGTAAATTCATTTATTTATATTTAAAAATTTAATTTTAATTAAAAAGTATTAAATAAAATCACAAATACTATTATGACTAGTAGAAAAAAGTTATAAACTTAAATAGATTGTAATTTTGTTTGGCGAATTTATAGCCAGAAAACGAGCTGATACGAGATACCTTCTTTGTAGAGTGAACAGATCTTTAGTTGTTTTTCCTCTTCACTATCCCGTCTGGTCATACTAAAACTAGAACAAAATATTCCTCATAACAACGTTTTATTATATTTATTTAACGGGCTGGGGGGCACTCCGTGCTTGCTAATTAGGGCAGGAAATTATGAAATACTCGAGATCAGCACAGCGCTTGGCTTCTTAGAGGCCACAGGGTCCCGCGGCAGGCGGCACAACAGTTTCTAGTCAATATCAGCCCGCTCCTCGGAGAAGCAACTCGTGATTACATCGCACCTACACATGGCCACCTCGGATTTCGTGCTGGGAGGCCTGGCCTCGGTGGGCGCCACCTTCTTCACCAACCCCATTGAGGTGATCAAGACCCGGATCCAGCTGCAGGGCGAGTTGGCGGCCCGGGGAACGTATGTGGAGCCGTACAAGGGCATTGCCAATGCCTTCTACACGGTGGCCAAAAACGACGGACTGCTGGGCCTGCAGAAGGGTCTTTCGCCTGCGTTGTACTTCCAGTTCATCATCAATTCCTTCCGGTGGGTATTGGCTTTGGTTTTGTAAACGCAGGATTAAGTGATATCCTTTTTTGAACCCTTTACAGACTCAGCATTTACTCGGAGGCCATGGAGCGGGGTTGGATGCACAACCAGCAGGGCGAGGTATCCTACGGCTTGGGCCTGATGTGGGGCGCTATAGGCGGCGTGGTGGGCTCCTATTGCTCCAGTCCCTTTTTCCTGGTACGTTCCCCCTGCCGCTGCCTGATCGGGAGGGGTTACATAAACAAACAAGCTTATCTATCCGATTTGGTTGGAGCCGCATGCTCATCACATTTTTCGGACTTTGTCAAAGATAAGAGACAATGATATGAAGAGAATATTGTTTATTAATTGATAAACAAATTAAGAGTTACGATAGAGTTTAAGAGTTAGTTAAGTATGTTTATGTTTATTTTATTTATTTATTTTTATTACTTGACAATTTCAGATCAAAACTCAATTGCAATCGCAGGCCGCCAAGCAAATCGCCGTTGGCTTTCAGCACTCGCACACTTCCATGAGCGATGCCCTCAGGCAGATTTACAATAAAAATGGCATTGCTGGCCTCTGGCGCGGATCGGTGGCTGCTTTACCCAGGGCTGCCCTGGGATCGGGTGCCCAGATAGCCACCTTTGGAAAGACCAAAGCCATGCTGGTCCACTACGACTTGGTAACGCAGCCCACGTTTAACTCTTTTACGGCGGGATTAATCGCGGGCTCTATTATGTCGGTGGCCATAACGCCACCAGATGTAATCACCACAAGGTTGTACAACCAGGGCGTGGATGCCGAGGGCCGTGGCCTGCTCTACCGGGGATGGGTCGATTGCTTCGTTAAGATCCTGCGCTCCGAGGGTGTCTACGGTATGTACAAGGGCTTCTGGGCCAATTACCTACGAATTGCCCCCCATTCGACGTTGGTGTTGCTCTTCTTTGACGAGCTGATCGCCCTGCGCAACAAGTACGGCCCCAAATAGAGCTCCCAGGAGTTGTGTCTAGCCTTACTTTAAGTACAAAAATTGTTTTCACATCTGATTGTTTTGTTAGGCAGTGTAGTGAGTAGCTTAGAATTCCTAGATCAAATCTCCTATGCTTAGCATATAGATAACTATAACCAAAATGTGCCTTCAGTTAGCTAAAAATTAACTTTAAATGGGAGCTGTTCCTCCTAGCTAGTAATTGTGCAATAAAACCCCGTTCATTTGTTACTTTTTACACACGCCTTGTCTCAGTTTCTCCCTTATCATAAGGAGGTTGTTGGGCTACGGTTAGTGATCGCCAGATTGTGAGCAAGAACGCACGATGGCTACGTCGGATTTTGTGCTGGGTGGTGTGGCTGCCATGGGAGCTGGAGTGTTTACCAATCCTGTGGAGGTGATCAAAACTCGCATCCAACTGCAGGGAGAGCTGGCCGCCCGAGGATCGCATGCCCAGCCCTACAAGAGCGTCTTTCAGGCCTTTGTTACTGTGGCCAAAAATGATGGCATCCTGGGCTTGCAAAAAGGTTTGGCCCCAGCTTTATGCTTTCAGTTTGTCATTAACTCTTTCAGGTGAGTTGTAGGATATTAGCCTTAAAAGAAATCTTCATTGTAAACTGTTTTCCATGCAGGTTGAGTATTTACACCCATGCTGTGGAGAAGGGTTGGGTGCACAACAGCAGGGGCGAGATCTCCTTTGCCCGCGGCATGTTCTGGGGCGCCTTGGGCGGAGTTGTCGGCTCCTATTGCGCCAGCCCCTTTTTCCTGGTAAGCGATTATGTAAATCAAACCTCAGAGGTGTCTGCCGACGCCTGACAATGTCTGGCGGAGATAAGATAAGCTCCTAGTTCGCTTGACCGCTGATAGCCAACTTTTCCGTTCCAGATCAAGACGCAACTTCAGGCGCAGGCCGCCAAGCAAATCGCCGTCGGCTATCAGCATCCGCACACCTCGATGAGTGATGCAATAAGGCAGATATACCGGAAGAACGGCGTCTTTGGACTCTGGCGGGGATCCATGGCCAATGTGGGCAGGGCCACCACGGCCTCGGCCGTGCAAATCGCCACCTTTGGTCAGGCCAAGTCGCTTTTGAAGGAGAGTGGAGTAATCACTCATCCCACCTGCCTGTCCTTCTGCTCGGGCCTAGCGGCAGGGTCATTTGTGTCGGTGGCCATCACACCTTTGGATGTGATTACCACGCGGCTGTATAACCAGGGTGTGGATGCCCATGGGCGGGGGCTTTACTACAATGGTTGGCTGGACTGTGTCCTTAAGATCCTCAGATCGGAGGGAGTGCATGGCTTGTACAAGGGCTTTTGGCCCATTTACCTGCGTAGTGCTCCGTACTCCACCTTGGTGCTTTTGTTTTTCGATGAATTGATTGCTCTGCGTGAGAGGTATAATCTTAAATAATAATAATAATAATTTAATAATACACCTATTAAAGATTTATATATAGGGAAAAGTGGCATTTTTCATAGCAGACGGGAATTTATTTTTTAGTAAAGTAGGGTGAGTAAGATTATAAATATTTGAGATTTTATTTATAATTATTATTTTTTATTGCAATTTTTTTTTATTTTAAAACTTCCCGCTCTTTAACTAACGATACATTTTTACTGATAAAAAACCGATTTAAATTATAACTGATTATTCGATTTTTACTGTATTCGATTTAAAAAATTTATTTAAAATTAAGCTTTGCCTAGGTTATTGATTTTATTATTAATAGTAAATACACATCTAAAATCCATTAATTAATTTTTTATAAATTAATAACAACAAGGACCCCTAAATCTATACTAAGGTTCCTCAATTTTTTCACCATTTTCCTGATTATTTCACAAAAACCCGAATTTTTTCTTAATTTAAATTTCACAGCCGGACCTACCTATCGATATTATTTTACCTACCATCATTTTTTAGATTAAAAACCAATAATAAAACTTAATTAATGAAAAGTACCTTTAAATCCTCCATTAATCACAACTAAGCTATATAATTTTAAAATCGATGTAATTTTTTAGTTATGCAACCATTCGATATACTTACCGATGACTTTACAGCTCTGTTTATCTGCTCAAACAAAACAGTAAACAAGATGTTAACGTAACATTAACTAAATTCAAAATTAAAAGTCTCAGTTAACGTTGAACATGGTCAAGTCGGACCTCGTTCTAGGCGGCATGGCTGCCATGGGGGCGGTGATGTTCACCAATCCCATTGACGTGGTTAAGACTCGGATGCAGCTGCAGGGCGAACTGGCCGCACGTGGAACTTACGTGAAGCCCTACAGGCATCTGCCTCAGGCCATGCTGCAAATTATCCGGAACGATGGACTCCTGGCCTTGGAGAAGGGTCTGCTGCCGGCGCTACACTACCAGTTTATACTGAACTCCATCAGGTAAGAACACTTGGTATTACATGGGGCAGAAATGAATTGCCAGCCCTAGAAGTGCTATGTGTAACTCAGAGCATACTTAGCCGGCGAGTCCCTTAAATCGGATTTAGTTTTAAAAATGGTTTAAATAGGTGTTGAATTAATATTTTTTATATAAATGTTGATTGATTCATAGTTAAATAATGAACCTTGGAAAGACAGTTTCCTAGATAACAACCAAGTAATACCCTAAAGTCATGTGCCTCTTATCTAAAGAGATCTTCAGTCAAGAAATTACACTGTGATAATGTTTTTTCTGTTAAATATATTTTAAAATAAGTTATCTCCTTTGGCAGGCTAAGCGTTTACTCGAATGCCTTGGAATACGGCTACTTGCAGGACAAGGATGGAAACATTGCCTTCTACAGGGGCATGTTTTTTGGAGCCCTGGGCGGAGGTACCGGCACATTTTTGGCCAGTCCATTTTATATGGTGAGTGAAGGCTGTCAATTCCCCCATAAATACTCCCATAATTACCTTAATCCTTTTTGCAGATAAAATCACAACAACATGCGCAGGCTGTCGAGGCGATAGCGGTGGGTTTCCAGCACAAGCACACCTCGATGTATGATGCCATGCAGAAAATCTACAGGGCGCACGGCTTTAGGGGATTCTGGCGCGGATCCACGACTAGCCTAATCCGAGCTTTCACGGCTTCCAGTGTCCAAATCGGCACCTTCCCCAAGGCAAAGGCTTGGCTTCAGGACAACGGCTGGATCAAGCACCCAGTGCTCCTCTCCTTTTGCTCAGGCCTGATCTCGGGTTCCATGGTGTCCATTGCCAATGCACCCTTCGACGTGGTCACAACAAGGATGTATAACCAGCCGGTGGATGCCAATGGCCGTGGCCTCGTCTACCGGGGGTTGTTGGACTGCTTCATAAAGATCCTGCGAAAGGAGGGACTACACGGCATGTACAAAGGCTTTTGGCCAATATATTTTCGGAGTGCGCCCCATATCACCTTAACGTTTGTGTTTTTTGACAAGTTGATGCTTTTGCGCAACCGTTATTTGTATAAGGAGGCAGCCTAAAACAGAGCAGATTCCGCCAAGCATTTTTGTTATCGTTTTCATGTGAATAAATAGTTTTACATTCAAAATACGCGCTCTTAGTGCAACCCCCGGAACCCCTGGTCACTCCTAAAACGAGTACTTTTGGCCCTGCATCCCGGTATTATTTGCCAAAAGAACCACGGTCACACTGTCGTCGAAATTGGAATTTCTAAAGTCGGCGTCGCATTTTTCCGTTTGACAGCTTACCAAATCACCCACTATGGCCGCCCAAATTGCACAGGTGCAACAGTTTTTCAACGGCTACAAGCAGAACGTGGAAAGGTCGCTGCGCGATGGCAACAAGCCCTGGTCAAAGGCCTTCGACACCTTGGAGGAGAAGACCGGCGTAGACCGCGTTAATATATTCTTTGGTGAGTTGTCCCTCTGTCCTTGTGGCGACGTCATCCTGCCTGACCCTGACTCCCCAAAACGCACACCCATTACCCCCACCTGACCCCTGGCGAAGTGGCTGCGTAACTCATCGAGATGCAGTGGAATTTTTCACGACATTTATAAATAGCAACCTGTTATATATAGTCAGGCGCTGGCTGATGGGGGTTTGGGGCCTTCAGCCGTCTGCTGCCCGGTGGCCAATTAGACGGTAATCACTCCGTTTAAGTTGGAATTAAATTCGGTTTGTGTTTTATCGCCAAGCGCGCTCTGGCACACACCGACACACTCCCGCGAGAGGTGAGCATGAGCATGTGATGTGTGCATGTAGGGGGGCAGCCTACGTAGGCAGCTGCCGGGGTGAGTGCGTGTGTGTGTGTGTGCCTGAGCGTTATCCACAAAACTTTTCGTGTTTTTGTGCTTTTCTTTGTTTACTTTATCGAAAGTACATTTTCTCTGTACGCGCGGTGAGCAATCCATCGGTCGGTTGTCTCAGCATTCCATTCCGCGATCTCAACGAAAGTCCAGCGGTGAACGGGGTCAAAAGGTTGCCATTGAGACGTGGCGCTTTGACACACACGTGGATAGAAATTAGCTGGGCAGGTGTTAGCGCTTCAGTGTGTGTGTGTGCTGACTGCATAGATCAAATCCATAGAGAGCTTTTGGATCCAGCTCCCCCGACAGAGTCACCGATGTGGCTCTGGGAGTATATTATGCTAATCAGACAGCGACAGGCGGCGCGACGCAATGTCAGGGTTCCCCTCGTTTACCTAGGCACAGGTGAGTCCTCCTGATGCTCCTCCTCCTCCTTCTCAGACAAAGTACAATACGTTCATAAGTATAATTAGCCTCGGGTCTAGCGTGAATGACATCACGCATACGTTCGGGGCAACGAGTCCGATCATCTGGGCGGGCAAACTGCAACTGGCCGGGATCAGAAGCAGGTCGAGACAACATCCCAGTGACAACAGCTAAGGGTTTATAATTAGCCCAACCATGGGGCGGTTTAGGAACCCCAGAGATCCCAGAAGGGGCGCCCTTGAAAAGGGTACAGGTATAGGGTTCTCTAGCTTAGGATAACTTGAATTCAAAACCAAAAAATCAGATACATTTGGTGGCTTAGCTACCCCAGCGCCTAATAGAACCGCTCCTGTCCCCAGATTTCGCCATGGGCCCCAAGGGAAAATCCGCCACAGCCACAGCAGTTGACCAACTAGACGACAAGCATGGCAGTCGAGGGTTTGGAGAGCAAAATAATCGAGCTTTTCGTTGAGAATGCCCTTCTACGCTTTGGTACAGTTTCGGGAGAGGGCCCAAACACCAAGTATTAATTACTTATCGACTTAATCAATGCTAATTTCAGGTGCCGCCGGCTTCTGCGCCCTCTATTTGATCTTTGGCTATGGCGCCCAGCTGCTGTGCAACATCATCGGAGTGCTGTATCCCGCCTACATATCGATCCATGCGATCGAGTCCAGCACAAAGCAGGACGACACCAAGTGGCTCATCTACTGGGTCACCTTTGGCATCTTCACCGTGATTGAGTTCTTCTCGGGACTGCTGACCTCGGTGATTCCATTTTACTGGCTGCTCAAGGTGAGTTCTGGATTACGTGTTTCCCTCACACGGTTTCTTAATTGGTTTCCGCCTTGCAGTGTGCTTTCCTCATCTGGTGCATGCTGCCCACGGAGCAGAATGGCTCCACCATCATCTACCACAAGCTGGTGCGACCCTACTTCCTGAAACACCACGAATGTGAGTCGTATTATAGCTACACAGTCTTTGAAGTTTCCTAATTCCGTTTGGTTTCCCTTACAGCCGTCGACAGGATCATCGATGATGGCATGAAGAAGGCCGCTGGAGTGCTGAAGCACGACTAGGACTAGGGAGCTCCGTCCGCTGCTATCACTTGCTTCCCCATGCATTTGGATTAGGTCACCACCTCACCTCGTATCGGTTACGTTTTGAAATAAATTTTAAATATGTACTCATTTCGTTGTTAATAAGAGCACGCCAGTGGTAAGAATGAAGACTCCGCTTGTTAAACGTAAAACGAAAACGATGGTTTTTATTAACGGCCAAAAAATGCGATCTTTAAGAGTTGGATTCCGCCTTTTCCGCGCTGGCCTCCGCCTCGGCGGCTGCTCTCCGGTTGCGCCAGGCGGACATGTAGGTGCGTGGGTGGATGGGCAGCAGTCCGGCGATTCCCAGTAGCTCCGCCGCCGGTGTGGACAGATGAGCACCTTTTCCCAGCCAGTGGCGGATCCTCTCCGTGTTCAGGGCCACCAGTCGCTCGTTGGAATCGTTGGGCAGGGGATCGTAGGAGCCGACCTGCTCAATCACAGGCTGGTGCTGGTTTTTTCTCCTCTGAATATATAATATTAATAATAATAGATTTTGAAGGCTCAAAAATAACCCACCTCCATGACGACGATGTGGTAGAAGGGGCGATTGGTGCAGCCCAGGCGCACGAAGCGGATGATCTTGGCCGATTTGGCGTAGAAGCGGCCAATGCCACTAGCCGGGGACAGAGGCATGCTTATATTTCCCGGTTTTAATACAGATATTCACTTATTTATTTTTTTATTTTGCGCTGAGGTTACCGCATATGCTGGCCAAAATCGATAGGTTTCCAGCGGATAGCGATAGTCGCAGAGCTGCCACCCTGGTGCTATATGTACTCCGCGCCGCCGATGGTCCACCGAGACGGCAACCCTCGTCCGCGCACGCCATCTTGTGTGTCAGAGAAACGAACACTAAGGAATTTTAGTGGTATAGTGTCTGTGTGAAATATATTGGAAAAAGAGTGTTTTGTTTATAATTTTAATTGCAAAAACTGCACATAGGCACACGGCGCGTGCACACACCGACGCACCGCACCCGCACGCCCCCCGAGGCCACCACCCGAGAGTGTTATCAGTGGAGCGAACACGGCGCTCCAAACGCCAAAGAAAAAAATGGCGCCCGCAGCAGCGGACTCTGGCTGACTTTCTTTTCGTTCGGAATATAGTCGTTCAGTTCGCCCCAGTCTCGTCGTCGGCGGACGAATGCGGTGATTTTCGTTAGCGTTTTCGTCGCAGTGCGATCCCCTCGAAACACACATTGAAAAGTGCCAATATAACCAAACGAGAGACCAAAACGAAACAAATCGAAATATTATTGTTGTGTTGTATATTGCTCGGCTCGAACACAGCCGCAAATTACCATTACCAATTTCCACTTACTACTACTAGAGAGGAGGCTAGTATTTTGTACGTTTAGAATACATACATACATACCTACATAACCACAAGCAAGCGAGAGTGCAATTACATTTGCGTTTGGAAATTTTGCGCTTTTTTCTCTTCCGCCTCCTTCCACCCTCCACCCCCCAATCTCTCTCTCTCTCTCTGTTCCCCGTTTGCCTCTGCACCGCACTGTGCTAAATAATGTGCGCCGCCCAGAATCCGCCGCCCTTCGGCTATACCTGGGGCTTTGCAGACAACGGCAGCCGCAACGCCGAATCTGTCCTGGAGATATCGCCGAACATCAACTACACGGTCAGCGGGGAGTCGGTGAGTAGTCCACGTCTACATTTTATACGGTTTTTCTTTTTTGTAGCGCCTATTAGTCTTAGCAAGTGCAAGCTGCTAGGATTCTCGCCCCACCCCCACCAAACCTCCTCCTTGCGTGCGTGTGTGTGTGTTGCTGTTGCTTTCCCACACCGAATCGTGTTGTGGCCACCGCATACACACAAACGCACAGCATACACGCACTGTGCGACATACATACACTCGCTCGCTGATGGGCCTCACCAACACTCGCTGGTTTCGCGGCAACGAACTGTGTATGTATACGTGGAGAACGAGCGGGCCGACGTCATACATACAAACATACCTACATGTACGAGACGTATGTACATGAATATACATACGCCACACTTTATGTAACTGCGTTGTCATGCGAATACGGAATGAAGCGAGTGTGTTAGAATTCTTTTACCATACATCCATACGAATTTTTTCCGTTTCCATTTCATTCGTAAACATCATAATTTGGTATTCGTAAGCCCAAATGCGTACACATCCATTCAGCCACATCTCTGTGTGTGCGAGAAATTCCCAAATAAAAACACGCACCAGGAGGATGGGAAAGGTGGTGGCGGTGGCAAGGCGGTGAATAAATAAATATGTAGCTAGCTGCCTCCCCACTCGCAATCCCGCCCAATTAATTAGCAGAGGAAGGTCGTGAAATTTTTCAACAGTCTGGCAGCGGGCAATCGATGCTAATCGATATTTGCTTGATTATATACATATCGCTAACCCAATTTTCAGTTCTATTAATAATTATTTGGCCTTTGCTCTCTGGTCTGGTTCTTGTTGTGTTTATTTTCCCCGTGGAAATTTGAAAAGCAACAATTCTTGTTGTTGTGCAATTGACAGGACGGGCAACCCTGTTTTTGTTGTTTTGTTTCTTTTGCTCGCACTCACACAGAAGCAGACGCGGCGAATTCGCCGCACTTGCGCGCCCGATTCGTCCGCATTTGTGTGCGTCAGTGGCGAATTCGCCGCACTTACTGTGGTGTGTGTATACGCACGCATACACGCCCAGAAATGACGTGTGCTCTTCTGGTGTGAGTTGCGTTTTGCGTGCGTGTGTTTTGATTACTTTTGCGTTCCGTTTTGGCGCCCATCACATCACACACAAACACAACACTCGTGCATTCGCCGATGTCCAATTGCACACACACAGCAAAGAGAGAAAAAGGCGCGCGTTTTTTTTATTTTACCGACCACCCTCCCCCCTTCCACCCCTTTCAACCGTGCTTATCATCTGTTGCCGCACTGCTGCTTGCGCTGCGCAGGTGTAGCGTGGTTATCAATCAGAGCGAGCAAGAAGCAGCATCAGCAGCAATTGCAACAATAACAAGAGCCAAAACAAAAGCGTATTGCGGTTAGAAGCATAAACCGCAACTTAAAGCGGCGCCGCCTGCAGAGAAGCTTAGGATAGCGAGTGGCAACTGTACACACCAAATGGGCTCCAATTTGGAGACCAAAAAAGTGCTTTAAAATATACTTATATCAAAAAACTTCAACAGATATAATATACATATATTTTTTTTTAGTAATATAAAACCAGAGTTAAGTCTTAAAAAATATATTTGTTTAGAATTTATTATAAAAACAAAATAAAACAATTTCAAATTTTTAATTAAATAAATAAACACTGATAAGAAAGTTTTCAAAATATTAAAAAAATCAAAATTAAGTATCTATGACCTATGATTATTTAATTATTAAAAATAATTAAAATATAGGCCAGTAATATAAAACCTTGAACTTTAGACCCTCAAATCAGCACTACATATTTAATGTAATAGTTTTTGTATTGGAAATGATAAACTAATACTATATAAACCCTAAAAGAACTATTTTTAAATGTGCTCTTAAATCCCCTTTATTCTAGATGCCCTATTTGTTATCCACGGATGGATCGTTGGCCGTGCAAAAGGATGTCAAAGGGCTCACAGGTGCCGGCAATAAGAATGTCGTGCGTCGCATGTTTGTGGTAAACGATCCCTCGTTTCCACCAGGGACACAGAGGTGAGTTGCTACGCCCAGTCCAGATTTTCCAATTCTATATCCATTTCCCTTTACAGGGTTATCACTGCCGGAGGATCATCGACGGTGGTGAAGAAGCAGGACGCCAATCAGCAAGTGTTGAGCCTGGACAAGAACTGTAAGTGGAAATTAAATCAAAGATCAAATCGAATCGAATCAGTGTTGCACGCGTTACTGTGTTACTGTGTTTACTGTGTGATTATCTCTATATATTTTTCGGTTTTCTGTTAATCGATTGTTTTTTCTCTCTCTACTCCCGTTTATTTATATAAAAATATATATATATATTTGACTTATTTTGTTGTCTTTTTTTTTTTTTGTTTAATTCTCGCTCGATCTCGCTGCCCTTGAATCCAACCCGAAAAAACCGAACCCCAAAAAAACCCTCCAAAACTCCTCATTGTGCTTGTGTGTGTTTTGCCCGTAATACTGCTATTGCACCCGAAACCCACCATCGATCATCTTTAACTGCACCACACTCATCACAACACCATTCAACCAAACATCACACACCATCGAATCAAACATCACACACCAACTCATCATCACTGCAACACAAAAACCTCATCACTTGGCGGGCGGCGGGCGCGGGCTGATCGATACCAACAACCAAAACTATCAAAATGAAAAAAACCTTCAGATCTGCTTGTGGATCCGGCCACGGCAGCAGCAGCTGCAGCGGCAGCGGGTGGCGATCCTTCGGTGGCCCATCATCACCAGTTGGCGAATGGCAGCATTGTCGATGCCAAGACCGGACAGACGGTGCTAACCGCTGGCTCGGCGGCGGCAGCCAAGTCGCACTTCAGCTCCATTGGAGCGCTGCATCTGACGCAAGAGGAGTGCAACGAGATCCTGATCAAGCGCGCCATCGCTGCCGGCCATCATCAGACGCACACGATCACCACTGCCGATGGGACGCACCATCATGCGTCTGGCGGGACACCAAGTAAGCATCTCAAATCTGTGTTTGTTAACCTCAAGTCCCCACTGCTCCCCCTCCTCCACCTCCTGCTCCTGCTCCTAGTCCTGCTCCACTCTCACACAACCCACGCCGATTCGATGTGTAGTCCCTCCTGGCATATACTCGTCTAATTGGCACATAATCTCGGTTCCGGTTGCTTAAGTTACGTTCTTTAGTTTTTAATCTGTAGTTATTGGTATGTTTTAAGTTTTTAACCCTTTTTTAACCCACCACCGATGATGATTTGTTTGCAAACTTTTTGCGTATATTGCGTTCGTATCTTTGATTTTCTTCCTTTTGTTTTTTCTCGCCCCCCACCGTTCTTTTTTGTATCTTTTTTTGAATTCCATTTGGTTTTTGTTCCGTTGGCGGTGCAACAACACTCTTAGGTGACATACTTCCTGGTATTTCAGTTCAAGTACAGAAAGTAATCCAGGGACTCGAGGATAACGAGGACTCGCAGGGTGAAGCACCCAATTTAAAGTTGGAGCCAGGCACTTTGGAGCTGTCACCGAAGACCGAACTACAGGAATCAATGCATTTCAGCGAAGTGAGTAGAGCTTATCTGTGCCTCCACCTGAGTTCCTTCTCACTTCAATAATTATGGCTTTTACGGGTCTATTCACAGACGGACGCCACCATTAAGAAGGAACGCCCGTACAGTTGCGACGAGTGCGGCAAGTCCTTTCTGCTCAAGCATCATCTGACAACCCACGCACGCGTGCACACAGGTGGTTGTTCTTGTTCCTGGCAGACTACCATTGACCAAGGAGCAGGCCTAATCGTCTCATCTAATCCGCAGGTGAACGTCCCCACATTTGCACCCATTGCGGCAAGAGCTTCGCGCACAAGCACTGTCTCAACACGCATCTGCTGCTGCACTCAACGGAGCGACCGTATCAGTGCCAGGAGTGCAAGAAGAGCTTCACCCTTAAGCATCATCTGCTAACCCATTCGCGTGTCCATAGCCGGGAGCGACCCTTTGTCTGCCAGGAGTGCGGGCGCGCCTTTCCGCTCAAGCGACATCTGGTCACGCACAGCAAGTTTCACGCCGGCGAGCGACCGTACGTTTGCGAGGAATGCGGTGAGAGTTTTGCCCAGGAGAATCACCTGATTATGCACTCGCGGTAAGCAAAGTTACTCGCCAAGCTCCGCCATGCCCCAGCAATGAACCTGACCTTTTGTTCGCTCACAGCTTCCATGGTTCATTGAATCCATTTGTTTGCGCCGAGTGCGGAGCCTCGTTTCCACGCAAGTTCCAGTTGGTTAACCACGGACGTATTCACGGCAAGATCCCCCATTCGTGCACGGTGTGCGGCAAAGAGTTTCTACAAAAGCGAACGCTAGTTTCCCACATGAGGTGAGGAGCAACTCTAATCTTTGATACAGCGTTTCCTAAACCTTTAATTTATATCTCTAAGACGCGTACACACTGGCGAGCAGGCGCATCCCTGCGTCAGCTGCGGCGAGGGTTTCCTCACCAAGGCCGAACTGCATCAGCATGTGAGGACGGCGCATAATGGAGTCAATCCCAATACGAGCAGTGCCACCATCATAGCAAATCAGCAGGTAAGATATTTCATATTCAAGCCATAAATATAGACTGAAGTGTGTCTTTTAATATCCAAAAATCAAGCAGCTGCAACAGGCTCATCATCATCCCGGACAGCCGCATCCACAGACCATTACTGTGGTCAGCAATCCGGCCAACTCCACGCTGCTGACTGTCTCCACTACGGATGCTAATGGCGTGGCCCGGCCGCAGTTTGTGTGCCGGTAAGTAATCACAACAAATATTCTCCAAAACCCGTCATAATCCTCGTATTTTCATTCCCACAGCGAGTGCGGCAGCGCCTTCAATAGCCGAGAGGCCTTAGCTCTTCACTTGCGTCTCCATACTGGCGACAAGAGCCTCATGACCGATCTGTGCGCTTTGACAGCCGCCCTGCCGGGTCACTTCTTGAGCACGGCCAGCTTGAATCCGGGTACTGTGGTCACGGCCAATCCCAATCTGGTTGGCCAGAGTCCAGTGCCCGTGCAGATAATATCGTCAACTGGGCAGGTGATGTCGCAGACCACGCTGGTGCAGGCCGCCAACTCGACCCATCCGCAAGCCGTGGTCACAGCAGTGCCGACCATGCCTGTGCATGGCCAGCAGCAGCACCTTCAGCACGTACAGCAGCAACAGCAGCAACAGCAGCAGCAACAACAGCAACAGCAGCAGCAGCAGCACGTCGTCTCTGTGGCGCCGGCCAACAAGCCCAAATCGCATTTCTGCGCCAGCTGCGGCAAGGGATTCGCCGCCAAGCACGGCTTGATGCAGCACAATCGCCGGCATCCGAACGGCGGCTGTACGGTGCGCACCCATGTGTGTGAATGCGGCAAGGCCTTCTTCCAGAAGAATCACCTGATGCTGCACCAGCGCCAGCATCTGGAGACGAAGCCAGCCATATCGCAGCAACAGGTATGCTAGAGACTCCAGTCCCCAGTGTGTCCAGTGCCTCTCCGATATAGCCCGATAATCAGATAAATCAGATATATACATTACCTGATATCCCGATCCGCTCTGTTCCGTTCTTAATGCTTTTGATTTACAACTAATTAGTTAGTGTTAAGTCTAATTCTAGTTGGGAGTAAGTTAGGCGACGGCCCCTAACGTTAAATGTAATAAAAAAAAGAAACAAAAAAACAAAACAACACTAAGCACCTAAGCAATGTTAATCCAATTCAACAATAAACGATTCTTATTGGCATCCGCAATAGAGGCTTTGTCGGTCGGTTAGTCGGTCAGCGGCGTTCTTAGCTTACTTCTAAGTTAAATGTGTTTCCCCCTTGTTTTGCTTACCCTCCCATCTCTGTCCCATCTTTATCTATACATATTAGGGATGTATATCGAGAGGAGAAACCGATACCACGATACAGTTATATATATTATATGATTGTAACATGTATTCTAGCATCCCTAATATGTATATACCTTTCACTGATTCCCCAATGAATTCGAATCTGAAAACATAATCGCATTACCTTCTCCAATACTTTGCAGCTTGTTGTACCAACTACTTCTTACTAAGAGTTTAAAACGAATCAGAACAGAGAAAAACAGAAACAAGATAAAGATAAACCACAAATGAACATCAAAAGCCTAAAAAAAAGAAAAGAAAACACAACAACAAGCAGCTCGAGGCACACATGCAGCCAAATATCTTGTGGATCTTTTAGATCCCAACCGATCTGAGGTGTTGTGTGTGTCTCCTGTGTGTTGCCACAAAAAAAAACAAAAACAAAAATCAGTATAAAACAACCATAACTCTGCAATGAATATAAACCCAAAAAATTCGTGTCGAAAAGGCTTCAGTTTGCGCGCGGTTTTAGGTGTGTATGAAATATATCCCAAAATTATCGCTAATGTATATGTATATCACGATGTATTATGTATGTCTTTTGTTGTTATTGTTGTTTGTCGTATGCTTAGAGCTCCAATTGTTCCTAATTTGATCCTGCCTGTGTCTCCTCTGTCTACTGTCTCCTCTGTCTCTCTAAATGTATCTCCCCCGTATCTTAATTTTTCCTTCTTGCAAGCGTAATCTTTAGTTTAGTTTGTATTATTTTCGCATATCTCTAGTTTAGTCGTCTATTTCGAGAGGCAATAGAGTCTCTTCCTCCTGGCCTGAGCTAAACCATGTTCCCCCCCACTCTTGCAGGAGGCGTCCTCGGCCCAGCAGCAACAGCAGCAACAGGCGGCTGGGTCGGCCAGCAGCGGACAGCAGCCGGCGCAGGTTCAAGTGCAAATAATGCCCGATGGCCAGATTCATGGCAAGGTGATCAAGTACGAGATCTGTCGCAGTGTCCTGCCCGAGGATCAGCAGCAGCAGCAAGAGCAGGCGGACATGGACGGGGAATAACCGAGAGCGACTGTAAATACGTGGCAAGTGCAACAGCAGTGACAGCAGAAGCAGCAACTTTAGTAGCAGCAACAATAGTAGCAGCAGCACCAGCACACACATGGCATTATCCAGATATATCCCTCCCGAAGAAGAGAAGAAAAGAGAAGTGAATCGGGGCGACAGCATCTACGTCTCGTGTAAGCGATTCCCTTAAGTGTAATAAATTTTAGTTAGAATCTAGGCTAGCGGCTAAGTAATCGCATTGTACACATATATTAATAGTTAACTAGCGTTTACAGATGCATGGAAACACGTATATATATATACATATATATAAAATGTATACACAGACATATATAGGTTTATGTAGAAAGTATCTGTTAATTATGCGATGCGTTGGTCGCATCTAAAAGAACAACCGCCGGTATATGAGTTGCAAAGTTTTAAAGCGTTACGTTCTCTATTGGTTCTACGGATAATACAAAACACGACTTTTAAAATAACAACAACAAAACACAATTTATACACACACACACACACACACACACAAACACACAAACTTATATATTCAAAACTAGATGACAAATATAAATGCTTAAGTGTAAAATGTATACAAAAAAATAACACGAAGAAAAAAAAGAAGAATATACTAGACGACTTTCGGTTAGGTTCTAGAAACTAGACACTAGCAAGCGTTGCACTTGAATACGTAACCAAACAGCGTAAGAAGCGGCTCCCCCAACCGGACTTGGCGTGGGCAATCCTGCCCAGAACTGCGTGGGTTTCCCGCACATTTCGATTGTACATACAGAAACGGGAGCCTGCTGCAAGTTTAATGCGAGTTTGGGGGCGGGCCTGTGGGAGTATGTGAAGTTTATATATATCCAAACACGATCAGCAAAAGATATATCTCTCTCTCTAGCCTGAGGGGAACTGCAACCTTAAAAATTATTCAATGAAATTAGTGACACACAAGGCGAAGAAGCAGCAGCCGTTAAAACAATAACAGACATACTTATATACAAAACCCCGAGTAAAAATCACCCAATCCATGCACGCTTGGCGACGAATATCACACTGTAAAAAATTCTACCTTAAGTCTTAGGAGTGCAGAAGAACATAATTGGTAATTATATATCGTAATCGGATAAAAATGAAACAATAAATAATGAACCTACACACTAAGCATATATTTTAATATGTAAGCCTTAAAAAAAAAAGAAAGAATAAATACAAAAACGGAAAAATATGAATTATAATAAACAAAAAAACAAGTGTGTGTAATTGCATTTAGGGCTGGGAAAGAATGTGCTATCTTTTTAGTTAAGTTAGTTTAGTTTAGTTAAGTATTTCTATGGGGGTCGGGGTCTTATCTAAACTTTTGCAAAAACGCACCGATCATACAATCTGTTGATAAGAAAAAAGCGCCAGAAACAGTGCGTTTCCTGGTAGCTAATTGGTTTTAATCAGCAGTGGGAGTAAAGTTGAAATAGGGAAAAATTTGATGAGACTTCTTTTAAGCAGGAGTGGGCCTTCTCTTGATAGGTTTACCGGAAGAAATATTATGTTTTAGGGTGCAAAAACAAAAACTACACATAACTAAATAAGTGTACATAAATGGCTTTCATTTTTTGTTTTGTTTTGTTTACATATTCCATCTGACTTCAAGGTTGATTATATTTTGTTATGCTTCGATTTTGACCTTCGCTGTCCAAGCCTACTGAAAATTATAGTATTTTTTAGACTAGAAACCCCTAGAACTAAACTGATGTCACGCAGCGTACCTACCAAGGAACTTTCTTTTGTCAAAAAAAATATAAAAAAATGAATGAATAACTTATTTATAGATTTGCTGATTAAACAAACCAAAAGCTAATGTTTTTGCCACTCCAAATGTGAGTCAACGCAACTGCAATTTGTGTTGCCAAGAAAATTGCTTAGACACTTATGGTAATAATTTGAGAGAGGGAAAATATCCAAACTAGAGACAAACCTTGTATGCAAATTCAGAGAATGCCAAGGCGAAAACAAAGCCAGATAAGATAAGAGCTTAAACACAAATTTTTTGTCTAATTGTTGCTAGAGAGATACTATTTAGGCAAAGCTTTTTTGGGTTTTCAGGTGTGCTTCAAAGTGGAAATATAAAATATTAAAAACTTTAATAGACTAGGCTGTTATTTTTCAGTTCCTCCTGCCTCAATTGATGGACCCTCGAGCACGTAGCAAGTGTCCAACATGAGCGAGGTAGTCATTACAATATATTCAGTCGGCGCCGTAACTTTTAATTGTTTTTAATTTTTTGTAGAGATGCGAGCGAATAAATAATATATGTAGGTATACGTCAAGCTACGTGACTGGGACTTCCATGCCCATATGGGCTTGAGGCTTGAGTCAGTTGGATAATAATGTCGCTTGCTGCAGCAGGCCTGCCCTAAAAGTGCATTGCAGTAAAAAAAACACACACATTTTTGGATATTTTGGCATTTCGGCCAACTGCCAAATAAGGGCTGACACGTTACCTTGATGTGCATTTCGCTTTATTTTGTTGAATTAAAATTAATTGAACTTGAGGCGACAGCCGAAACTTGCGCATAAATTTTCGAGAACGCCTCTGTTGTCGTTGCTTCGATTCAATTTCAATTTCCAAGGAAACAAACTGTGAGATGAGCGAGAGATGTGATCATCGCTGAAGCTCTACAGAGAGCTGTGCCTCTAATTAGCCATAGGTTTCCCTTGCACCCAGTGCGTTCTAGTTCCCAATTGCTCTGAATTGCAGTTTGTCCCAGTTGTCTAGTTTGCAGTTTGTTTTTATTTTTATGATCATTAGTATGCTCGGTGAATTGCTAAGCAGGCTTTACTGTGCCTTTTTTATTTTCCACTTTAATTTTGCATTTGTGGCTTACTTCTCTATTTGCGTGATTTTATTTTTTGTGTGTACCCGGGCCAGCAAACAAGTTTTGATTGCTTTTGGCTTCGCATGAAAATGAGTCTCAGTCGCCGATGCCGCCGCCGCTGCCGCTCGTTGCTCATACGCCGCGTATGACGTCAGGCTTGAATTAAGCAAGAATTGGTTTAGCTTTTCTTTGTAGCTTGACAAGCGAACATTTTGGAGGTCAATTGGGTCTCTCTTTTCTTATGCAGGCTGATCTATTGCATTCTATCCCCGTTTTGGGCATAACCACTTGGTTCTGGGTTATATTTTGCACCCACCCAAAGGCCGTTATAAATCAATTGGGCGGCCATTGAGCTTCAGCAGAATTATGGCAAATAAATCTTGATCCCAATGGGGCTTACTCACTGATCGAGCTCCGCCGGAGACGGAGACGGACGCCCACATAGCGCCCCGGCTAGACATTTGCTGACTAATCAGCGTCAGATATTATTCAAATTTAATTGTGCATCCAACAGATACAGCCGTTAGTTTTGGCCAATTTTGGTTTTTGCCAATTTCAGTTTATGGGCTTTGAGTTAATATTGTTTTCAAGAGCTGTTTGTTGTTCGATGTTTGCTCTAGAGGAAGCCAAGACGGCGCATGGCCTGGAAGATCGTGCTTCTCGGTTTTAGGTACCTGAAGCTCAAACAGAAAAGACCGACCAAACATCAGACATCTGTTTATTTTTATGTTTTTATTGGCACTTTCACAAAAGATCGATGCGGTGCGATGCGGTGAGGTGTGCGTGCAGCTTTTATTGGCTTATTGAACTCGGCTTCGTGGCAGCCAAAACTGGGCACATACAGGGAGACGTCTGTATAGTTCGGCCTACGCATCCGTCAGATACTCTGGCACGCATACAGGCGAGACTTGAAACCTACGCTGCCGCCTGGCCTGGCCTGGCTTTTTGCGAAGGCGCTGGCAAAGTCGTTTTCTGTCTCGCTTCCACTTGCTCCGACAAACCCACAAAACGCTGCTGCTGCTGGCGCTTCTGCTGCTCCGCTGGCAGCGCACAGATAGTCGGTTGGTCGCTCGAAAGCGGTTCCAGAGGCGATCAGTACGTTTTGAGTTGTGCTTCGCGACGGTTGGTGATCTTAACAGTGCTCCGAACGAAAAATACGAATCCGAATTAAACGCTGTCTCTCGGTTTTTGGCATCTAAGCAGTCGCCGCCGCCTCTAGCTGTATCTGTATCTGTATCTGAGTATCTGTATCTCTAACTCACTGCATCCGTGCGATCCCCCGTCTCTCGACTCTCTCTCCAAGGTGGTGTGTGTGTGAAGTGAGCGAGACTGCTAAGCTTTTTTTCTGCTCACACGTCTAACTGTCGTCGGTGTGTGTTTTTGGGGCCTCAACTTGAACTATGGCTCGCGTGCTCGTGTGCGTACTATAAATATATTTAAAAATAAGTATTTCGACATTCCGGCGGTGGAAATTATGTGACACACCACAACACAATATATAGCAGTCCAGATCCCCAACAACCACGTCCCATTCATACCGCAAATATTTTTACCGAGTGCCAAAAAGCAACGAAGCGAGTCAATAATTGTGATTAATAACAAACAACAACGAAAAGAGCCAACAGCGTTCATTAATTAGCCCGCAAATAGCCATAGTCCCTCCAGGTGCAATATTCGGTGATTACCTCATCTGTGTCAGCGCGCCGCTCGCTCAAAAAGCAAAATGGTATCAAAAAGCAATAAAAAGAAACAAGTGTCTCAGCAGCAGCAGCAGCAGCAGGCGGCAGCTTCGTCGTCGTCGCAGCCACCAGCAACTTCGAGCACAACCACATCGTCGTCGGCCTCGGCCACGAAGCTCACCAAAAAACTGGGTCCCGATGCGTTTGCCACTCTGACAACGAACCAAAGCTCTTCCTCGATGGAGCACGAATCCGTGTCCTATGGCGGCAATGTGGATCCTGTGGCCAGCACCCCTTCCCTGCCGGCAGCCGGTGTCCGCAGCTATAGCAGCCGTAGCTCCAAGAGCAAGGCCTCCCAGTCGCACTCCTCCTCAACCTACACAGAGCAATCTCAGCTAACCCACGGACAGAGCAGCAAGATCTCCTCCCGGGATTATGCCAACAATGCGAAGATCATCTCCTCGATTGATCTGTTGGAGAGTGAAAAGAAAGAGCCAGTATTCTCGGTGCCCATTGAGGTGGTGGAGATCACAACGCCCACGCTATCCGTCTCCGCCAGCGGGGGCAGTGTCTCGAAAATGTTCGCCGCCTCCTCGTCGTCGCAGCAGCAGCAGGCTAGCAGCAGCAGCTCCTACTTCGAGACCACAACCAGTTCCAGTCGGAGCGCCAACGAAACGCTCATTGCGAGCGAGAGAGCCGACACGGCTACCGGTATGACATCATCCGGGCCGAGGAAACAGGTTGGCTTCGACACCAAGACAGAGACCAACACCAGCAGCAGCAACATGACAAACACAAACATCACCAGCAGCAGCAGCCATGGCGGGGTTATTAATTTGAGCGAATCTCAGAGCGTGCCAAAGCTGCCGCCAGTCCGCGGAACAGCTGATGGGCCCGCATCCGTGACGTCGCAACCGGTTTCCGCGACGTCTGGCGCGACCACAACAAAGGCAACGGCAACGACGTCATCGTCATCCACGCGTCGCAACGATAAACTGGAAGTGGGCACAGACAAACGCACCGCCACCACAGCTGTTCATGGAGCTACGTCATCGTCGTCTGCTTCACTGGTCGACCAGTCGACGCTAAAGTCCAGCAAGGAGGTCAGCGAGAGCACGGTTCTCAAAAGCTCCAGCAGCAGCAAACAGTCCAAGTCGTCGTCCAAAAAAGAGGTCTACGATGTGAAGACCAAGACCTGGACAGAGTACAGCGATGGTAGCGATCCCAATAAGAGCCGTCCCGCCTTTGAGCGGTATGTGAGCAAGGATACCGATGGCAGCTCCAAGGTGACGTACAAGAAGAAAATATACGATAGGCGCAACAATCGGTGGCGGGTGGTGGACGAACGGACAGTGGACAGCAGCGCCGACACGGGCTATCCCGAAATAGTGGATGATGTCATTAATACAACACGGACTACGTACACCACCAAGGTGTACGACACGAAGCTCGGCAGGTGGACGGTCGTCGACGAGAAGTCGTTCACTGATACGAAAGCTTTCGTGCCCAATGACATTGCTCGTGAAATCGAGAAAGATAATACCGATGTTGCAAACATAACGACTACCACGGAGGTAACGAAGGTAAGTCCACATCGAAGATAGTGCGTTAGTGCGTGCGTTCCACAACGGACCATATCCAGGTGTCCGTCCCACTGGGTGTGTTTACCAATTTTCGTAATTAAGGAACTTTCCCTTTTGTTAGATTTTCGATGCAAGCATCAACGACTGGCGCGTTCTGGACGAGAAGGTGCACACGGATGTCATTGAGAAGATTGTAGAGGCTCCCAAGAAGACCATCTATGTGGACGAGTTTGTGGAGATTGAGAAGAACACCTCGATATCGGAGAACAATGAGAACATAACCCTGAACCTCAAAGAGACATCGAAACACAAAAATATTACCGAAAATATTTATGATGAAATCGATTATGTGCGCACTGATAAGCAGCAACGCCTAGACGACTCAAGAACCGTTAGTAGATTAGTTAATAAAGTAAACTTTTACACAAAAAAAATAATAAATATTTTCTTTAATAATTCAACAGCGGGGAGTCGCAAAGAACAAGACAACGACACACAGCGAAAGGTGCATCTGTGAAATCTGCACTTGCGGGTAGGCTTTATTTACTTTTCCCATTAAGGGCCAAAAAATAGACAATTTTCAGGAATTTTTTGTGGACAAAGGAAAAGACATAGAAAGTTCAAACTTGTCATATCTATTTATCATAGTTTAAAGATGATTTAGCAAAAATTTCAAAATTTTTAGAGCATGTCCTGAAGCAGGACACAGGGCGACGTAAGCCCATGACGGTGTTCATGGAATAGACTACAATTACATTGATAGCTTATACATTGGATTTTTAATCAACAAATAGATTAAGAAAAGATTCACGAAAACGAAAAAAATTTGTTGAATCGCCGCCAAAAAAATTCCTAAAGATTGCCTATTTTTTGGCACAACTAACCAGAATGGACCCTTGATATACTTCAAGCTCTAAATTCATTAACTATTTTTCCAGACGACATCATTGCTCAAGCAGCACAACGAAATCAACAGAGAAAACCATTATTGAAACCGATGGTAAGTGCGAGTGTCCCAAGAGTCGAAACAATTTTTCCTAATTAGATTTGAATTACTGCAGATACCTTAGACGAAGCATACACAAGGATACGTACGAATACCTGGTCGAAAAAAGAAAATGGAAACATTCCCAAGCCAAACGAAGACATTCTGGTGGATTACGTAGTCATTAAGAAGCCAGAAGACAATTTAAAACCCGAAGGTGACTTTGTTGTTCCGCCAAAAGAGCCCTATAAGCCCGGAGAGAAACGTGAAAAAATTGTGCATACCGACAACCTACGCACGGAGGGAGAAATGACTTTTGTGGAGCGGGAGGAATATCAGTACACTGTCCGTCCTGGATATGTGAAGCCCACAGACAACCTCAAGCCCGAGGGAGAATTCTACAGTCCAGAAAAGCCAAAGTACCAGCCGGGAGATAGGCCCTCTCAAGTGCGACATCAGGATAATCTGAAACCCGAAGGCGAGTTCTACACTCCTGAGAAGCCGGGCTACACACCAGCAGAAAAACCCGAGAAAATCATTCGCACTGATAATTTGCGAACTGAAGGCGAAATGACCTTTGTGGAGAAGGAGGAGTATCAGTATGTGGTGCGTCCTGGACAAGTCAAGCCCACGGATAACCTGAAACCTGAGGGAGACTTTTATAGTCCTGAGAAGCCGAAATATCGCCCAGGCGAACGTCCCTCTCAGGTCAGACCTGAAGATAATCTTAAGCCAGAAGGTGATTTCTATACTCCCGAAAAGCCAGGATTCCGACCGGCTGAACGTCCCGTGCAGAAGAAACCTCAGGATAACCTGAAGCCGGAGGGTGAATTCACAAAGCCAGAAAAACAAGTATATAAGCCTGCCGATAAAACCGAAAGAATTATTCGAAAAGATAATCTTCACACTGAAGGAGAAATGACTTTTGTCGAAAGGGAAGAATATCAATATGTGGTGCGTCCTGATCAAGTAAGGCCAACTGATAATCTAAAACCAGAGGGAGAGTTTTACAGTCCTGAGAAGCCTGGGTATCGCCCTGGAGAAAGACCTTCTCAGGTTAGACCAGAAGACAACCTCAAGCCTGAGGGAGAATTCTACACTCCAGAAAAGCCCGGCTTCAGACCTGCGGAGAGGCCAGTTCAAAAGAAGCCGGAGGACAATCTAAAACCCGAAGGGGAATTCTACAGCCCAGAGAAACCAAGATACAAGCCAGGCGAAAGACCATCTCAAGTCAGGCCAGAAGATAACCTCAGACCTGAGGGGGAATTCTACACACCCGACAAGCCAGGATTCCGTCCCGCTGAAAGGCCAGTTCAAAAGAAGCCCGAGGACAATCTTAAGCCGGAAGGAGAGTTTTACAGCCCCGAGAAGCCCAAGTACAAGCCAGGGGAAAGACCGTCCCAAGTAAGACCGGAGGATAATCTCAGACCAGAGGGAGAATTCTACACACCGGAGAAGCCTGGCTTCAGGCCTGCCGAACGTCCAGTGCAGAAAAAGCCCCAGGATAACTTAAAGCCGGAGGGTGAATTTACAAAGCCAGAAAAGCAAGTGTACAAACCTGCCGATAAAACCGAAAGAATTATTCGAAAAGATAATCTTCACACGGAAGGAGAAATGACATTTGTGGAGAGGGAAGAGTATCAATATGTGGTGCGTCCTGACCAAGTAAGGCCAACAGATAATCTGAAACCCGAAGGAGAATTCTACAGTCCCGAGAAGCCGAAATACAGACCAGGAGAACGGCCTTCTCAAGTCCGGCCAGAGGATAACCTTCGACCTGAGGGTGAATTCTACACCCCTGAGAAGCCTGGATTCCGCCCCGCTGAGAGGCCAGTCCAGAAGAAACCAGAGGATAATCTTAAGCCAGAGGGAGAATTTTACAGTCCAGATAAGCCCAAGTACAAGCCAGGGGAAAGACCTTCCCAGGTTCGTCCTGAGGATAATCTCAGACCAGAGGGAGAATTCTACACACCGGAGAAGCCTGGCTTCAGGCCTGCCGAACGCCCAGTGCAGAAAAAGCCTCAGGATAACTTAAAGCCGGAGGGTGAATTTACAAAGCCAGAAAAGCAAGTGTACAAACCTGCCGATAAAACCGAAAGAATTATTCGAAAAGATAATCTTCACACGGAAGGAGAAATGACATTTGTGGAGAGGGAAGAGTATCAATATGTGGTGCGTCCTGACCAAGTAAGGCCAACAGATAATCTGAAACCCGAAGGAGAATTCTACAGCCCAGAGAAGCCGAAATACAGACCAGGAGAACGACCTTCTCAAGTCCGGCCAGAGGATAACCTTCGACCTGAGGGAGAATTCTACACTCCAGAGAAGCCTGGATTCCGCCCAGCTGAGAGGCCAGTTCAGAAGAAACCAGAAGACAATCTTAAGCCAGAAGGAGAATTCTACAGCCCAGAGAAGCCCAAGTACAAGCCAGGAGAAAGACCGTCCCAGGTTCGTCCTGAGGATAATCTTAGGCCAGAGGGAGAATTCTATACTCCCGAAAAGCCTGGTTTCCGCCCTGCTGATCGTCCCGATCAAGTTAGGCCGACCGACAATCTGAAGCCCGAGGGAGAATTCTACAGCCCAGAGAAGCAGAAATATAGACCAGGAGAAAGGCCTTCTCAAGTCCGGCCAGAGGATAATCTTCGGTCTGAGGGAGAATTCTACACTCCAGAGAAGCCTGGATTCCGCCCAGCTGAGAGGCCAGTTCAGAAAAAACCAGAAGACAATCTTAAGCCTGAAGGAGAGTTTGTGAAACCTGAGAAGCAGGTCTACAGGCCCGCTGAGAAAACTGAAAAGATTATCAGAAAGGATAACCTTCGCACTGAAGGAGAAATGACTTTTGTTGAAAGGGAGGAATATCAATATGTGGTACGTCCTGATCAAGTAAAGCCTACTGATAATCTGAAACCCGAGGGAGAGTTCTACAGCCCAGAAAAGCCGAAATACAGACCAGGAGAAAGGCCTTCTCAAGTCCGGCCAGAGGATAACCTTCGACCTGAGGGTGATTTCTACACTCCAGAGAAGCCTGGATTCCGCCCCGCTGAGCGGCCAGTTCAGAAGAAACCAGAGGACAATCTTAAGCCAGAAGGAGAATTTTACAGCCCAGAGAAGCCCAAGTACAAGCCAGGAGAAAGACCATCCCAGGTTCGTCCTGAGGATAATCTTAGGCCAGAGGGAGAATTCTATACTCCCGAAAAGCCTGGTTTCCGCCCTGCTGATCGTCCCGATCAAGTTAGGCCGACCGACAATCTGAAGCCCGAGGGAGAATTCTACAGCCCAGAGAAGCCGAAATACAGACCAGGAGAAAGGCCTTCTCAAGTCAGGCCAGAGGATAATCTGCGGCCTGAGGGTGAATTTTACACTCCAGAGAAGCCTGGATTCCGCCCCGCTGAGCGGCCAGTTCAGAAAAAACCAGAGGACAATCTGAAGCCGGAAGGAGAGTTTGTGAAACCTGAGAAGCAAGTCTTCAGGCCCGCTGAGAAAACTGAAAAGATTATCAGGAAGGATAACCTTCGCACTGAAGGCGAAATGACTTTTGTTGAAAGGGAAGAATATCAATATGTGGTACGTCCTGACCAAGTAAAGCCTACTGACAATCTGAAGCCCGAAGGAGAATTCTACAGTCCTGAGAAACCGAAATACAGACCAGGAGAAAGACCTTCTCAAGTCCGGCCAGAGGATAACCTTCGACCTGAGGGTGAATTCTACACTCCAGAGAAGCCTGGATTCCGCCCCGCTGAGCGGCCAGTTCAGAAGAAACCAGAAGACAATCTTAAGCCGGAAGGAGAATTCTACAGCCCAGAGAAGCCCAAGTATAAGCCAGGAGAAAGACCATCCCAGGTTCGTCCTGAGGATAATCTTAGGCCTGAGGGAGAATTCTATACTCCCGAAAAGCCTGGCTTCCGCCCTGCTGATCGTCCCGATCAAGTTAGGCCGACCGACAATCTGAAGCCCGAGGGAGAATTTTACAGTCCGGAGAAGCCAAAATACAGACCAGGAGAAAGGCCTTCTCAAGTCCGGCCAGAGGATAATCTTCGGCCTGAGGGAGAATTCTACACTCCAGAGAAGCCTGGATTCCGCCCCGCTGAGCGGCCAGTTCAGAAGAAACCAGAAGACAATCTTAAGCCTGAAGGAGAGTTTGTGAAACCTGAGAAGCAGGTCTACAGGCCCGCTGAGAAAACTGAAAAGATTATCAGAAAGGACAACCTTCGCACTGAAGGCGAAATGACATTTGTTGAAAGGGAAGAATATCAATATGTGGTACGTCCTGACCAAGTAAAGCCTACTGACAATCTGAAGCCCGAAGGAGAATTCTACAGTCCTGAGAAACCGAAATACAGACCAGGAGAAAGACCTTCTCAAGTCCGGCCAGAGGATAACCTTCGACCTGAGGGTGAATTCTACACTCCAGAGAAGCCTGGATTCCGCCCCGCTGAGCGGCCAGTTCAGAAGAAACCAGAAGACAATCTTAAGCCGGAAGGAGAATTCTACAGCCCAGAGAAGCCCAAGTATAAGCCAGGAGAAAGACCATCCCAGGTTCGTCCTGAGGATAATCTTAGGCCTGAGGGAGAATTCTATACTCCCGAAAAGCCTGGCTTCCGCCCTGCTGATCGTCCCGATCAAGTTAGGCCGACCGACAATCTGAAGCCCGAGGGAGAATTTTACAGTCCGGAGAAGCCAAAATACAGACCAGGAGAAAGGCCTTCTCAAGTCCGGCCAGAGGATAATCTTCGGCCTGAGGGAGAATTCTACACTCCAGAGAAGCCTGGATTCCGCCCCGCTGAGCGGCCAGTTCAGAAGAAACCAGAAGACAATCTTAAGCCTGAAGGAGAGTTTGTGAAACCTGAGAAGCAGGTCTACAGGCCCGCTGAGAAAACTGAAAAGATTATCAGGAAGGATAACCTTCGCACTGAAGGCGAAATGACTTTTGTTGAAAGGAAGGAATATCAATATGTGGTACGTCCTGACCAAGTAAAGCCTACTGACAATCTGAAGCCCGAGGGAGAATTCTACAGCCCCGAAAAGCCGAAGTACAAGCCGGGAGAGAGACCTTCTCAAGTCCGGCCAGAGGATAATCTTCGGCCTGAGGGAGAATTCTATACTCCAGAGAAGCCTGGATTCCGCCCCGCTGAGCGGCCAGTTCAGAAGAAACCAGAGGACAATCTGAAGCCGGAAGGAGAGTTTGTGAAACCTGAGAAGCAAGTCTTCAGGCCCGCTGAGAAAACTGAAAAGATTATCAGGAAGGATAACCTTCGCACTGAAGGCGAAATGACTTTTGTTGAAAGGGAAGAATATCAATATGTGGTACGTCCTGACCAAGTAAAGCCTACTGACAATCTGAAGCCCGAAGGAGAATTCTACAGTCCTGAGAAACCGAAATACAGACCAGGAGAAAGACCTTCTCAAGTCCGGACAGAGGATAACCTTCGACCTGAGGGTGAATTCTACACTCCAGAGAAGCCTGGATTCCGCCCCGCTGAGCGGCCAGTTCAGAAGAAACCAGAAGACAATCTTAAGCCGGAAGGAGAATTCTACAGCCCAGAGAAGCCCAAGTATAAGCCAGGAGAAAGACCATCCCAGGTTCGTCCTGAGGATAATCTTAGGCCAGAGGGAGAATTCTACACTCCCGAAAAGCCTGGATTCCGCCCTGCTGATCGTCCCGATCAAGTTAGGCCGACCGATAATCTGAAGCCCGAGGGAGAATTCTACAGTCCTGAGAAACCGAAATACAGACCAGGAGAAAGACCTTCTCAAGTCCGGCCAGAGGATAATCTTCGGCCTGAGGGAGAATTCTACACGCCAGAGAAGCCTGGATTCCGCCCCGCTGAGCGGCCAGTTCAGAAGAAACCAGAAGACAATCTTAAGCCGGAAGGAGAATTCTACAGCCCAGAGAAGCCCAAGTATAAGCCAGGAGAAAGACCATCCCAGGTTCGTCCTGAGGATAATCTTAGGCCAGAGGGAGAATTCTACACTCCCGAAAAGCCTGGATTCCGCCCTGCTGATCGTCCCGATCAAGTTAGGCCGACCGACAATCTGAAGCCCGAGGGAGAATTCTACAGCCCAGAGAAGCAGAAATATAGACCAGGAGAAAGGCCTTCTCAAGTCCGGCCAGAGGATAATCTTCGGCCTGAGGGAGAATTCTACACTCCAGAGAAGCCTGGATTCCGCCCAGCTGAGAGGCCAGTTCAGAAAAAACCAGAAGACAATCTTAAGCCTGAAGGAGAGTTTGTGAAACCTGAGAAGCAGGTCTACAGGCCCGCTGAGAAAACTGAAAAGATTATCAGAAAGGATAACCTTCGCACTGAAGGAGAAATGACTTTTGTTGAAAGGGAGGAATATCAATATGTGGTACGTCCTGATCAAGTAAAGCCTACTGATAATCTGAAGCCCGAGGGAGAGTTCTACAGCCCAGAAAAGCCGAAATACAGACCAGGAGAAAGGCCTTCTCAAGTCCGGCCAGAGGATAACCTTCGACCTGAGGGTGATTTCTACACTCCAGAGAAGCCTGGATTCCGCCCCGCTGAGCGGCCAGTTCAGAAGAAACCAGAGGACAATCTTAAGCCAGAAGGAGAATTTTACAGCCCAGAGAAGCCCAAGTACAAGCCAGGAGAAAGACCATCCCAGGTTCGTCCTGAGGATAATCTTAGGCCAGAGGGAGAATTCTATACTCCCGAAAAGCCTGGTTTCCGCCCTGCTGATCGTCCCGATCAAGTTAGGCCGACCGACAATCTGAAGCCCGAGGGAGAATTCTACAGCCCAGAGAAGCAGAAATATAGACCAGGAGAAAGGCCTTCTCAAGTCCGGCCAGAGGATAATCTTCGGCCTGAGGGAGAATTCTACACTCCAGAGAAGCCTGGATTCCGCCCCGCTGAGCGGCCAGTTCAGAAGAAACCAGAAGACAATCTTAAGCCGGAAGGAGAATTCTACAGCCCAGAGAAGCCCAAGTATAAGCCAGGAGAAAGACCATCCCAGGTTCGTCCTGAGGATAATCTTAGGCCAGAGGGAGAATTCTACACTCCCGAAAAGCCTGGTTTCCGCCCTGCTGATCGTCCCGATCAAGTTAGGCCGACCGACAATCTGAAGCCCGAGGGAGAATTCTACAGCCCAGAGAAGCAGAAATATAGACCAGGAGAAAGGCCTTCTCAAGTCCGGCCAGAGGATAATCTTCGACCTGAGGGTGAATTCTACACTCCAGAGAAGCCTGGATTCCGCCCTGCTGAGAGACCAGTTCAAAAGAAGCCAGAGGACAATCTAAAACCAGAAGGAGAGTTTGCAAAGCCAGAGAAACAAGTCTACAAGCCGGCTGAGAAGACTGAAAAAATCGTTCAAAGGGATAACCTTCGCACTGAAGGCGAAATGACATTTGTAGAAAAGAAAGAATATCAATATGTGGTACGTCCTGATCAGGTTAAACCAACCGACAATCTGAAGCCCGAGGGGAAATTCTACAGTCCGGAGAAGCCGAAATACAAGCCAGGGGAACGACCGTCTCAAGTAAGACCAGAGGATAATCTCCGCTCAGAGGGAGAGTTTTACGCCCCGGAAAAGCCAGGATTCCGACCTGCCGAGAGGCCCGTCCAGAAGAAGCCTCATGATAACTTGAAACCGGAGGGAGACTTTTACAGTCCAGAAAAGCAACCATATAGGCCAGGCGAGCGACCATCCCAGGTTCGTCATGAGGACAATCTTAAACCTGAAGGCGATTTTTATACACCAGAAAAGGCTGGATATAAGCCAGGGGAGCGACCAGTAGCAAAGAAACCTGTGGATAATCTAAAGCCTGAGGGAGAGTTTGCTAAACCTGAAAAGCAAGTCTTTAAGCCCGCGGATAAAACTAAGAAGATCATTCAGAAGGACAATTTACGTACTGAAGGCGAGATGACATTTGTGGAAAAGAAAGAGTATCAATATGTTGTCAGGCCAGAGCAAGTGAAACCAACTGATAACTTGAAACCCGAGGGTGAATTCTTCAGTCCCGAAAAGCCGAAATATCGACCTGGAGAGCGAGTAACCGTGGTGAGGCATAAAGACAACCTGAAGGTGGAGGGAGAATTCTATGTTCAGGAGAAGGAGGGCTTCCAGCCTGGCGAGAGACCCAAGCAGAAGAAACCTCAAGACAACTTGAAACCAGAGGGTGAGATAGACATCCCAGATAAGGCCAAATACAGGCCTGCTGATAAGGTTACCAAAGTTGTTCATAAGGACAATCTTCGCACTGAAGGAGAAATGACTTTCACGGAAAAAACTGAATACCAGCATGTCGTAAGACCTACTCCGGTAAAACCAGAAGACAATCTGAAGCCTGAAGGCGTTATGTACACCCCCGAAAAGCCAAAATATGAGCCTGGATCTCGCCCCGAGCAAAAGAGGTACGTTGACAATTTGAAACCAGAGGGTAAGATGCACATCCCAGAGAAGGAAGGCTTCAGGCCAGCAGACAGGGTAAAGACGGTAATTCGCAAAGACAATCTGAGAACTGAGGGTGAAATGACATTCACACAGAAGGAGGAATACCATCATGTCAAGCGGCCTGAACAGGTGAAGCCAAGCGATAACCTAAAGGTGGAAGGTGAATTCTACACACCCGATAAGACAGCGTTCAGGCCTGCAGAGCGACCGATCCAAAAGAAGCCCAAGGACAACCTGAAGCCAGAGGGAGAATTCTACAAGAGAACCGACCGAAGCGAGACCGATAGCACGACCCTCACAGAGACAATTAAACGAGAAACGCCCAAGCGACCTGTGGACAACTTAAAGTTGGAAGGTTCGATGACAGTTACCAGAAAGGATGACTACAAAACGACGACCAACAAGACAACCGTGGATAAAGTTCAACGCACTCAAAAATACAAGCACAACAGTTCATCCATCACTTTGGGCAGTGATACGGCAATCCTGAAGACAACCAACCAGATGAACTTCGTATCTGGCAAGGACGCAGTTAAGCAAGTGGATTCCAACAGTCAAAATCCTGTAGACGGTCTCATTGTGGTGTCCACGAAGAAGGTAACCACTGTGATTGGAGGCCGCCACAAGAAGGAACCCGAAACCGAGTATGTCAAGAGGCCAGCCAAGATCAATGTGATCGAGAATGTGGCCAAGAATACAACAACGACAAACATTGAGAATACCCAAAACATTCACAAGGAAACCACCTCGATGCAGAGAAACCACAACCTAGTCCAAACTGATCTATCCACCAGAGCCATCGAAACGAATCAAGGAAATGTCACAAGGAATATCACAGGCGGCGATACTACCTCGAGAGTGGTGTCAGGCGGAACTGTCTCCAATACCGTAACTGGCGACTCTTCATCGACTCGCCTTGTTTCGGGCAGAAATGTGACCAGCAGCGTGACGGAGGACTCAACCACACGAGTAGTGACGGGCAGAAATGTTTCCAGCAACATAACTGGGGAAACTACATCAACATCCCGTGTGGTTACCGGAAGAAATGTCTCCAGCAATATCATTGGTGGTGATGCCACAAGTCGAGTCACCGACGACACAACTAGTCGAGTGGTTTCCGGTGGCAACAGGAATTCCAGCCACAACATTGTGACCGGTAGCTCCAACTCCAACATGACCAGTTCCAAGCACTTCCATCACCGCAAGAGCGAGTTCTCCTCGGAAGCCGACGTCTCGAATACGATATTCCATCGCAAGAATGTCACCAGCGATTCAAACACGGCCAACGGCAGCCTCACCTCCAACGGCAAGATGATGCGAAAGAGTATTCTCAATCTGCACGAGCAACCCTCCAGCAGTGCCCCCCATGGCGGGGAGCAGCGTCAGAGCTACAGCAGCATTCACCGGCAGAATCGGGACTCTGAGCAGAATTCCAGCTTCTCGAGCGAGCGTAGGACCTGTAACGTGCACAAGGAGAACGTCAAGAACTCATCATCGTCGTCCTCGATGTCCCGAATAATTTCTGGTGGTGGTGGCGGAGGAGGAGGTGTTACCGGAACAACAACTGTGACACGCACCCAAGTCTCGGGTGGGGGTGGCATCGATTTTCCATCTCAATCCACACACTCCCATACGACACGTCATCGGGGAAGCCAGCATGTGTCCAGCTCCAGCGGGGGCATCGATTTCCCCTCCTACAGCCACCATGGCCACACCGAGCGCATGATGACAACCACCCGTCGCGGCAATCAGTCCTCGATTAGTCTGGGCAACGACAAGTTCACCGGCTCCAGTCTCTACAAGAGCGAATACATAACTGCCCCGAGCACCACCACCTGTGCGGTGCATAAGATAAACAAAGGTGCATTCCAGCATACCAGGAGTACTCAAGAACACAAGTTCTTCAAGACCTCAAACTAACCCGAAAGCCGAGCTTATACCTTTGCCTCACTAACCCCCAAGACATACATATCCCATAATAACACTAGACGCCTAAGCTTCCATGACAATATATATACTTTACATGTGTTTCTACGCAATTATTATACAAACCAATCCGAGAACGAGAATTAACAATAAAGATAAAATCATATTTTTGGAATTTCGATTTGGACTCTGTGTTATTGGGATCAACTGGAGATGACGTCTTTATTGAGAGTTTAAAAGATGCGCTAGTGTCGTTTTTAAAGGCTATTATGTATAGGTAACTGTATATTTAAACGTTAAAAAAATCCATTCGACTATAATAGGTATATATAAACAATGGGTTCTATCTATAACATACGAGCACGAGTACATTTCGGTTTGTATTTCGTATTTTGTATAATGGTGTACATATGCAGTTTATTGTGTTTCTCTGTTCAATTTCTCTATATCGTATATTTCAATACAATAATTATTCTCTTTTGTATATACTTAACTTACACCTTTTATATATCATCATAAATAGTTATTATTTTGTATTATTTATGTTTGGAAGACATTTTTTCGCTTGTTTGGAAGACTTGCGTTGCGTTTTTCTTACAGACTAAACATTATTGTTTTCAATTTCGATATTCTTTCGCTTGTATGGTATATATATATATAACTGAATCCTTGGCCTCTCGGACCTGGCCAAATGATGCCAAAGCACCTGGAAGACTTGCCAGGCCCGAAGGGATCAAGAAATCACAAAGAAAATTCAAGACTTAGAAGGGAAGACCGATTTCGAATGCATTTATCAGGGCATTTCCGGAATCATAGATTCCAATCACGCCGAAGAGCACGCCAAGCCCAATGATGAGGTAGTCTTTGGCTATTTCCTTCTGGTCGAGCAGGTGGCCCTTGATCTTGATGTGGAAATAGCACGGCCAGATAAAGCTGAGCATGGTGCCCGTGAAGCTACCAATAAAACCCATCAGAATGGAGAAGTGGGGTATAAAGATGGCCATCAGTATGGTTGACACAATGACGCCCACGCGGAAGCCCAGGCCCCAGACCTTCAGCTCTCCGTCCAGATTCCAGATGGTGGGAAACTTGGTCTTTGGCGGACCCCGAAAGAAGTTCCTCTCGAGCAGCTCGCAGGCAGCATAGTAGGGCAAGGGATAGCTAAGGATGGCCTTGATCACCAGGAAGAAATTCACCATGCCCTTGAAGCCCTGCGAGTGCAGATTGTTGGTGATCACCTGCTGGGTATCATTCTGGAAGGTCAGGAAGCATATGTACCCAAAGCCGGCCTTGAACACGGCAGCCGCAATGTGAGACCAGTCCAGCATCCAGTTGAACTTGGAGCGGTCGGTCATGTTGCCCTCGAGCGTGGGCAGAAAGATCTGGGAGGTGTACGAGAACACAATCACGCCGAGGGAAATGGGAAAGTTCTCCATGTCGATGCTGAAGCGCACCTTGGACCAGCCCCAGTCTCCGATCTGCAGCAGGCAATAGCCCAGAATCACGGCGTTAATCACGATATGGGACATGGTGCACCAAAACGACAAAGTCGAGACCATTTTCAGGGACTTCAGGAAGCCCATGGGTAGCAGGAAGATGCCTATGAACAGCATCCAGGAGCGCGAGTCAAAGGAACCCTGCGGATAGGTTCCGGCCAGCAGGTCGCCGCACACCACCACATACAGGATGCACGTCATCAGAAGCTCAATCAACTGGGCAATGCTCACGGCCCGAGCACCCAGCTTGGGTCCAAAACATACCTTGGCAATGGCCACGTAGCTGTCCCGCACTCGCACCATCTGCCCAGTGGTGGGATCTGGTTCGTAGAGGCACTGCACCAGCACCTTGCCCGTGTAGCAGCAGATGTGCGCTATGCCGACCATGGCCACGATGGCCCAGTATCCGCCATGGAGCACGGCGAAGGGCAGTGAGACAATGAACATGCCCTGGATGGCATTGGTCACATTCCAGGCCGCCTGGAATTCGTCAATCTTGCAGCCGCCGCCACCTTCTCCCTCGCAGACGAAGGAACTGCCCTCCGAGGCAATGCTGCCTTGCCTGGAGAAAAAGAGATACAAGGTTAATTGGGGTAAGGATTAACTAGCAGTAAAACCCACCTAAATCCGTCCGTTTGCTGATACCTCCCGTCGTACTCATTGAAGGATGTGCTCTGGTACTCGCCCTTGTACTCGCCATCGCCCTCGCCATCGTTCTCTGTCCAGTTGCCAGCATTCCGAAAGGGATTCGAGCTCATCTCTGTGTTCTCCTCCATGCCAGAGGGCTGTGGCTGGTGGGGATGCTGCTGCGGCTGCTGCTGCTGGTGATGCGTGCTGCCCGGCGGTTGCTCGTAGTCCTTGCGCTCTGGAATTGTCTGTCGGGCCGTTTGCACGGCCACATTCAGTATGTTTCGCAGGGGCGGCAATGGCGTGGCCTTCAATTTGGCTATGAATGACATTTTGGATGCTGGCTACGAACGATGGTGGAATGTCGATGTCGATGGCGATGGCGATGACGGTGGTATGGTTAGGTGGTGTTTAAGGTGGTGGATTCGGATGGCGGCGGCCGCAAGCGGTGGTGGTGTCAAGAAGGCGTGCGACGCTTGGCTCGAATGTGCTGAGGCTGAGGCTTATCGATTTTGCCGATGGCCAGAATTATGTTGCAGTGACAATTTGCGGTACACTCGCCGCAGCTTCCGTTTCCGGTTTGCTCAAATTCGGTCGAAGATCTAGAGATCTAGAAAATAAACTTGGAATTTTGTCTCAAATTTCGTTTTGGTGGAATGGATGAGGGACTCCTCGTCTTGGCGCCCAGCGTGGTGTGCGTTTCATGCGTTTCTCGGATACTTGCACATCCTGCGCTCACTTGGAGGTTTCGAAATCAAGTCACGAATTAAAGTTGAAGCAGCTTGTGGCCAGGAAATGGTTTTTATAAGCAAAAGTCTGTTTGAAAATTTATGTAACTTGAGGAAAAATTATTTGGCCGTGTGTTCGAATGAGAAAAGAAAAATCTTTGCACTCCACACACAACCTGATGGAACCTGGACACTGCGCAGACTCCCAACGTCGTGTATATATCGGGTGGCTGTGTCATATGGTCACGGCCTGGACCCGCGTTCCACCCCAAGGAGTAGCTGTAGCTGTCACTGGGAGATGCCTTCCACACCAGAGTCTCTTTCGATTCGATTACTTTCTTAGGCTTTACTTTATTTCGTTTGTTTATATTTTGTTCTTTTTTGTGTTTTTCATAAATTTCTAAAACATTTTACATTACAAAGGGTTTGGGGGGGAGGGGACTGGAAGAAGGCTTAAGTCTACCTATAACCACGCTCTCTAAGATCTCTCTTTAATTTAGTTATCAAAATTGCAAATGTCTTCGCTTGGGAGTCAGTTGCTGTAGCAGGTCTTCCGCACTCCGGCCAGAATGTTGCTAATCTCATCGTCCTTGCGCTGCTGCTGCTCGAAGAGCATCTCTCCTACTCCCACGCCCACGCCCACGCCCACCATGCCGGGTCCTGGGGCAAAATGGTGATGATGATGCTGCTGCATGGCTGCAGATGCTGCAGCTGCTGAAGCGCCGGAATGGGAGGTCACAGTCTGAGGAGGAGGAGCTGCTGTCAAGGCTGGAGGGGCCGAGTGCGAAGATTGCTGTTGCTGCTGCTGATGTTGCTGCTGCTGCTGCTGTTGTTGTTGCTGCGGCATGCTCTCATAACCCCCATAGTTTCCATAATGCAGGTAACCACTCTGCATTGGTTGCCCACCATAGCCACCTGTTGTGGCCTGCTGGAAGGGCACCGCCAGCTGCAGGGGAAAGGCAGCCAGCGAGGTGGGCGCATAGGGTAACTGTGTGTAATAGCTGGCCGCTGTTGCCGGCAGCATGGCATTGCTGTAGGCCTCCGCCTCGTAGTCATCATAGTTCTGATTTGTGTCCGGGTACTTGAGGCTCTTCTGGACTCCCTCTGGCGAGGGATCTTTGTGCTCCAACGCCGCCGACGAGGAGGTGGAGTAATCCAAATCATTGGATTGATAGCGCAGGAAGTCCTCGTACTGCATCCCGTAAGCATTAGCACTTGGCAGATACTCCTGGGCGGACAACTCATTCATGCTGAGCCTAAGATTTCCGCAATTATCCGCCATGGAGACCGTATAGCTGCTCATATCGCTGGCCGTTAGGGGTCCCGAGGAGCTGGAGGGCGTCACTGTGCCCAGATTGCAGTGTTGCTGCAGGACACTCACACTGTTCCTCATCGAGGAGCTGCCCTCGTCCTCTGACACGGAGACAGGCGGGTAAAAGGTGCCCTTGACGGAGTGACCATGGTCGAGGAGACCCCGATTATTGCAGGTCACATACATGCCCCGGGCAGCCACCACGGCCACGGATGTGGGCGCCAGCGGATACGAGGTGGTGGCATAGATTCCCTGCTGATGGGCCTGCTGCTGCGCCTGCACCTTGCCTTTGTCCTCGGCCTTGGACAGCTTATTATCCTGGCGGGATTTGGCCGTCCGGCCACTTGGCGCCTTTGTTAGCTTCTTGAGCAGCAGGGAGCTGTCGTAGCTGCCGCCGCCACCCGTCGGCGAAGGCGCACAATTGGAGGCTAGGGACTCTATCTGCTCTGAGCTGTCCGCATTGCTGTAACAGTCCACGGAGCTGGGTGAGTATGTGGGCTTCAGGGGCTGCTCATAGAGGCCACCGCCGCCTCCGCTAGAGACCTGGCTCTGGTTCAGATTCTGGTTTGTGGAATTGCAGGTGCTTTCATCGGTGGTGGGCGTGGTGTAGCTAGAGGATCCAGTGGCCAGGGGAGGCGTGGCCAGCTTGGGATTCGCTTTAGAGCCAGCATTGCCCACGGGATTGGGTGAACTTTCGCTTTGATCCTTGCCTCCAGGCTGCATTGCTCGCAGCTTGGACTGCTTGCGTCGCCGAGGTCGGTACTTGTAGTTGGGATGCTCCGTCATGTGAATCACTCGGAGACGCTCGGCCTCCTCTACATAAGGTCTTCGATCTTGAGGTGTCAGGGAGCGCCATTTCTTGCCTGAGAGTTGAAGAGAAGAGAATAGAAGAAGGAGGAAAGGATTATGGTTAAGATACAGAAATCTAAAGAAGCCTTTTTTAAAATCCCGAGGTTATAATCCCTTAATATTTTTCCCCAAAATCCAACCATACTCACCCAACATCTTGCTGAGATCCGCATTATGCAGGTCAGGATTCTCATCGGCCAGCTTCTTGCGCTCGATCTTGGCCCAGACCATGAATGCATTCATTGGCCGCCGGATGCGCGATTCTTTGGCACTTTTTGACTGGGTTCCGCCGGGTCGGTACTTGAGGTCGGCGGGCAGCGGCTTGTGCCGCTCCAGGTAGCCACAATTGGGGGCACACAGGTCGCCCTTGTAGTCGTAGCTCCACATGGACGATGGCTCGATGGGCGAGTGAGAGGCACAGTCCTCCATGGGCCCAGATCCCCCACCTCCTCCTCCACCTCCTTGGCCCACCATTCCTGCATGCGGATGCGATAGAAATTTGTTCAAGACCGAATTACCACCGCCGCCACCGCTCAACAAGTTAATATTGCTGTTGATAAGGGAACCCGATGCACTGCCTCCGGTCACATAGGCACTGGACACCATAGGCATGGGTGAGTGACTGTGACTGTGGCTGTGCGCCGCCAGCACCGCCTCGTTGAGGGAATGCTCATTCTCGTAGCCGGCGCTCTGTATGGCTGGGGAGTGGAGGCTGGGCGAGGAGTGTTCACTGCCTTGTCGCACATGGTAGATACCGGCATCGCTGGTCGTCTCGTGCATCAGCCGGCCATCCGTGGTGAGGTAGCCGCCGTGATCCGGATAATCACTGCCCGTGGAGTGGCTGTATTCCGGAGTTCTCGAGACGTGCGGGTACTTCTTTGAACTGGAATGGATCAGAGAGGGAGGAGGAGATGGTAAGGTCAGCAGAATAAGGTAGGTGAGTTACTAACTAAGAAGAAACTAAAACTATTTAAAGTCCCTAGAATGCTTCTTTTTGAGGAATTCTTTTAGGCATATCTTGGCCAAAAAGCATATAATGGCCAAATGTCACACATTTATGAAATCAGCATAAAAACCATAATTAATTATAATAAAATTTTGAAAGATTACGAAAAACAAATTTTTTGTCAATTTTTCAAAATTTTAAAAGGGGTTACATCATTAAAATTGTAAAAAACTAAAAAAAAAATAATTTTTTATTATCTTAAAATTAAATAAGCAGATTTATTATTCTCATAAAAACTAGCACAGAAAAACTTTCCGAATTGAAATTAAAGCTGTTTTAGATGAGTTATGATTAATTTTCTATTGCAAGGGTAATTAAACGTTTGCCTGCCGATACTACATCCCTTAATTTTACTTTTAATTAATAAAAACAATAAACAATTTAATAAAAATATAACAATTAACACTTTAAGTTATAGATTATTATTTAAATGAAGGTTTTCATGTCCTATTTTTACTTGATATTAATACATTTTAAAAATTATAAATGCATAAAAATGTACTAGGTACGTTTTTCCATCAAATCTCATCTCATTTTAAAAGCTCTTCTTAAGCTCTGTAAAAAAACTCTATAATTAATGTTAGCTAATGCTTTAATGAAACTAAATGTAAAGGAAATATAGCAGACTAAATAAGAATAATATTTATAATATATTCTTATTATAATTTAATCTAAGAAATAAAAGAAAACACGCTTAAAATTCTTTTAAAAAATATAAAAAAGGAAAGCCCTATTTAAAAGATGAAAATCTCTTTACTAATTATTACTAATTACGCATTACTTATTAAGTTAAACGCCTTAACCCAAGATGGCATCTATGGCACCCAACAAAGATGGAGTTATACCCCAAGTTCCACTTCAAAATCCAAATCCCAATCCCCCGCCCCGTATCACATTCATGATCGTTGTTAATCGCTCTCCCAAGGGGCTACTGCTGGGAATTACGTACCGCCGGCAAAAATGCACCGCCGCCGTCGCAATGTTTCTTTATAATGATATTTAAAAGGGCTGCTAAATACGTTGACAATTTTCGCGTTGCCGGGCACGCACATGAATCCAGGTTTCGGTTGGAAGGGAGGAGTATCAGCAGAGCTTTGCATTTATCAGACACCAGAGAGACACAAACTGGATCTCTCGGCCTGGATCGGAACGGATCGGAACGGATAGCTCCCTGCGATGGCCGGCTGGCTGCCTGCATCGGTGCGCTCCTTAATGTCAGCGGACATAAATGTAAATTGGGCGCGTGCAGCTATTGTATTATCAAAGGAGACCGCCCCAACTCCGACAAGCCACCGTCGCGGAGTCGTCCCAGTCGGAGTCGGCGGAGTAAGCAAAGAAGCTGGAGCAGAAGCTGGAATGGAGCAAGATCCCCCAACCCACAGCCAGAGTCAGACCCAGAGCCAGAGCCAGAGCCAGATCAGACCCAGGCCGCGTTTCGCAAAGGAGTCTCGAGACTGAGAATGAGAACGAGCAGTCTGGCTTGCCTTGCCTTTGCCTTGGCCGGACCTTTATGCATAACTTTTAAAACTTGCGACATATCGACACATTTCAAAGTAATTCGCCTTCCAAGAATTCAGGCAGCATTGGGAGCACGGAGCATGGAGCATGGACAAGTTTAAATATTGCCAAAGCTCCCGCTAGTGGATAGCCGAGATCCCGACTGCGATCCTTTGGGGATTCTCGGCTGCCGCCGCCGCCGCTGTTGCTCCTGATGCTGCTGCTGCTGCTGCTATTCTGGGCCTCCTTCTCTTTTCGCTCTTGATACCGTTTGAATTTATTGCTGCCCACTACACTTTTGGTCTATTGTGTTTCTCGTTTTGCCTACCTTAAGTCTGCCCCGGCAACCTGGGCCTAATTGTTGGTCGAGCTTGGAACTGGACTCTACACTGGTCTGCCGCGAGTTCTAATTCTCTGGGTGAGTTCTGACTTTGAGGAGTTTGAGGTACAAAGACTGGAAGAATCTGAGACTTGAAGGATTAAAGATTGTAGGACTGAGAAGATCCTAAGACTTGAAGTGTGAAATACCTTTAGATTATAGGAGTGAAACAGTCCAGGACTTTATGACTTAGAAGTGAAATTTAAAGACTTAAAGACAAAGATTTTAAAACTACAAGACTCTAGGAAGAACTAAGAACCTAGGACACTAAGTCTCAAAAAATCCAAAGACCTTTAAGTGCCTGGTCTCTTAGTCTTTTGTCTTAAAATACTCCAGCTTCCAGTCACCAGCTTGCCCATGCCCCCGTTTCCCATTCTTCTCCTAATTCTATGGTCTGCCCAAGACTTGGAATATTTTTCTTAAAAGAAGCCCACCTCTCCTAGTCTCTTTGCCTTGCATATACTCCACATTCCCCTTCCCCCTCTGCCTCCAGCTAGGCGCTCTAGTTCCGGCGACTTTCTTCCTTGACAATGCCGCCAAAGTTGCAAATTTTAGTTGCCCCAGTACCCGGTACCCTTAGCGAATAAGCTGGGTACCCGCTTCCCCATCTTCACCCTTCTCTTCCCTTTTATATTCCAAAGCAACGACCGGCAGCCCCGGCTGAAGTCTTGATAATTTATTGAGGGTTTTCGGTGACGTCGTTACGTTTTTGATATTCGGTTGCGGCTGCCGCTGCTAAATACTTCGCCTGGCCAAAAAGGGGTACACAAAATTATACCGTCCCGAGTTGGTCTGTCCGTTTGTCCGTCTGTCCGCTGTGTCCGCCGCTGTCCAACCTGTCCCAACTGTCGGCTGTCTGGTCGCAGTCGGTCTGGCTTTATCCTAAGCGCGCTCACGATCCAAGCTCCGCGCTGCTCCTGCAGATGCGGCTAAGCCAGCTTCAGTCTGAGCTTCATCTTTTGGTTTGGCTTTAGCTTTGGCTTTGGTATTGGCTTTGGCTTTGGCTGTGGCTTCAGTGTATCAGCTTCAGTTTTGTGGCTTAGCCATGGCCCTGATTTTAAAATAGGACACATACAGTGGCCGGTAAGTTGGCATTTTTATGCGCGCAAAATGTCAACATCTTTGCAAAATGCCACATATTCCACATTGCGGCCAGCCAGCCGCTGTAGCAGCCTGTCCTCGTCCTCTTCATCCTCCTCTCCCTCCCTCCCCTGTTCAGTGTCCCCCTGTCCCAGAGTACTCGATGTCCGCCGCCGACTTGGGGACCATGGAACGTTTTGTTTACGAGCACAGCAACTTCTCTGGTGGTGGCTGCCACAGAGAGTCCAGCGAGAAAAGATGGAAGGGGTAAGTAAGAAGCTGAGGGTACTCCCTCCTGTGGCTGCCACAAAAGTAGGCAACTCCTCCCTTTTAACAAGCCCCGGAGCAGCAGCAGGAGCATCGGCTTCATTCAGGAGCCGCCGCATTGATCTGGAGAGTGTCAGGCGCTTTAGCATATTGTGATTCATGTGACGCTCTGCCGCGCTGCTGAAGACAGCCTTTTAAGTTGGTTCTCGAAACCGAAGCCGAAGCCAAACCCGATCTGATCCCCATTCCCCTTTTTGGAAGACAATTGTCAGAAGTAGAAGTCGGGTAATAAAGAGTTCCCCCTTTTCCCACCCAAACTATACTATATTTTCCATATTCCAGGCTAATTTTAGAAAGCGTTTCGGGGGCCGCATAACTTTGGCCTGACAAGCTGACATTCCAGCAAATAGGACAGTAATTAAGACAGATCCAACTGCTGTGGTGAGCTGTCAATACCATTGTCTAGCCTCTGTTGACTTTTTGGAGGAATGGCCTGGCGGTTAGGGGATTCTCCGCGCTGGAGTTGGACAGGTATGTGACAACGATTGGGCAGATTTGTCTCTTGGCTTCCAAAACCATCGCGGTGGCCCCAGCAGGCAGGCTATTGGGACAATGGTTAGCTGGTGTTTCTGGCATTATTTCGATGGATTTGGGAAGCGAAAGAGGTTTTACAAGTGAGTCAAAGAAGAGTCTTTATCGGGGAGTTGAAGAAATTTGATTAAATTAAATTAAAATAATTTAGTGGGATTTATTACTGATTGAATAATGATGAGGAATTGATTTTTATTTGCATTTTAAAGGGTTTCAATGAAAGAAGAAGCACAACATGGCTTTAATAATTAAAAGGTAGCAGTAGTAAGTTAAAAAGGAATAGAAATTATGTTGTTATTGCTTCAGTAGTAAAAAAAAATCTTTAAAATATATATGACAATCTATTGTTGCAAATAAAAACATTGAAAATATAATTACTGGCTTGGGATGCAAGCGAAAGTTAAGCCAAAGAAAAGCCTTTTCACAACCATTTTAAATTGTTTCCTAACAGGGTAATGTAGTGAAAGCCTCAGAATATATATATTAAATAAATAGTTTAATTAGCTTTATACCTAATTACAAATAAATTAAATAATATGCTATAGTTTTCCACTTTTTAATGACACCCTTTTTCCAAGTTCTCTGAAGTTTTAAAAACCCCTTCGATTATAGTCAACTCTCCTGTAGCAAATGCTTCTAACACTCTCATATATTAGAAAGCTTCTCCCGTGAGATATGCTAATTAGCAACCTTGATTTATAATTCATATAGAAACTGACACAGACCTGCACTTAAAACTAATTAGAGTGCACGGCTCGGACTCCAGCTTAGCGCCTCCAAAGAGTCAACCAGAAGTTCTGGTCCAGAACGAAACCTGCTGCCTGCCGCCTGTTTAGAATGGCAAATCATTTGGCGCCTCGACGGGGAGCGATGGAGCTTCAACTTCATCTTCTGCCTGGGCAAGTGGTGCGGCAAGGTAATAAAAGCCATTTTGGTTTTTTGGCTGGCCAAGAGGACGAGACGAGGGGACCAGAGGTGGGTGTGGCCAGCAAAGAGGCATCTTCGGCGGCGGCTCTCCATTTGCTCCATTTGCAGTCTATTGGCTGCCTGCTGTGTGGCTGCAGGCGCCCCAACCCGAACGACAAAAAAAAAAAACACAACAGATTTCAGAGGCTTACAAGAGGCCGGAAAACGAGTTTGGCCCAAGCAACTCGACGGCACGACCTGGGCCGAGTTCCAGTTGCAGCAGCAGCAGCAGCAGCTCTCGGAGCTGTATCTCTGCGAGGCGACGGCGACGGCGGCGGCCCAGGTGTGATGTACTTGAATAACTTAACGACGCAGGCCCACAGTTGTCGACCGACGACGATCGGATCGCATCGCATCGGCCATTTACGCATACATATGCATGCCAAGGCAGCAGCGTGTACATATGGCCGCCAGCCTGTATGTAGATGCCGCCTGACCAATAAGCATAAACAGCCCAGCATCCGGGCCAGCAGAGCCGCCATCTTAGCTTTAATGAACATGAACGTGAATGCGGACGCGGATGAAGCGAACGCGCTACCTGGGCGAATGAGATCGACGCGGCACGCACAATGGAGGAGGAGAAGATGTGCACTGGGAAAATTAAGGTATACTAGGTGGTTTGGGAATCGGTGAGGGAGATATATGAAAAAGGTTCTTGAAGAATGGAATATAATGAAGATTAAGAAATACAGAGATTCCATTTAGAATTCATATCCGGTTTAAAGCAAAGATTTAAAAACTGATTTCAAAGGATGAAAGATGAGTATATTTCGAGATCTTAAGATTTAATTGTTTAAATTTAAATAGGCCTCCATGATAATAATAATGTTTTTCTTCAATTTAAAAAAAACACCATTAAAATCCAAGTTTTTTATAAAATTTAAAAGAATTTTAAAGAAAATATAGGGAGTTTATAGTGATTATATTTATTTATATTAAATATTGTTGTTGATTTTATTTAGAACTTTTTTAGCATAGACAACATCCTAATTAAGGTAAGTGCACTCAATTTAAAAAGCAAAGAGTTGGTGGCTTAAATCCTAAATCGATTCCCACATTCATTTTGAAATAAAGAAGAAATACCTTTAGCATAATCCCAACATAAAATATCTCAATTCCAAATTATATTTATAAAAACTAAGCTAGTTTTTTGTACGTGTATAAATCTTCTCTTCTTGTTTTGCAAGGTAGCCCCAATATATATGGTATAGGTAGTATATGTATATGCCGGCTATATACCCAGGGCACATAATTAAACTAATGAAGCAAGCGAAGCATCATCATCATCATCTTCATCTTCATCGTCGCCATCATCACCATCACTCTTCGAGGGCCGAGCAAGCGAAGCTGACTTCGGATTCGTTCGGCTAATGAGGTTTATTGCGGCCTGTCGTCGCCCGATCTCCACCCCGGCCACCTCTGGCACCACCATCCGCCTCCATTTTCCGCCAAGAAGAAACGGCGAAGACCCAGTTCTCACACAAGCGATTTTAAGAGCATAAAAAAGATACAAAAACTTAATGGATTTTAGCACGCACATACACATAGACTATACGACGACGACTCCCTCGCAGGTGGGGGAGGGATCGACGATCGGGGTCCGGGCCCTAAATTATATGGATTGCATGGAAATGGAGGCAGTGCTGCCTCGTACATGCGCGTACCACCAGTAACTAGAGTAATTGCATGTGGAGGATCTCTGTACTTAGCTAGTTGGTTGATGTTGATTTCGAACAAAAATACGAGTACAAATTTAAATGGCAGGGAACTAACCAGCCGGACCCGGAGTTTTCGATAATGGGCTTTAGGGGGAGTTTCGCCACATTTTCAGGCAGTCCTGATTTACAGGGGTTATAATGGGGGTTATAGGGTGCCGACAGATTTGAATGTCTGGAAAACCACTAATTGGGGTTATTAAAATTAATTAACTTGAAACGTTTATACGGCTCATGCTTGAATTTGTGATCGTTAATTGGTCATAACGTATCCGAGGTTCGGAGAGGTACTTAAAAATAGAATGTTCTGAAGGTAAAGGTTTAGTCTTGGTGAGGGAGAACTTAGTAGTTTTTTATGAAGATCCTTGGGGATACTTTTGTGATTTTATATTTATTTAAAATGTTTTAAATTGTTAGCTAACGAAAATATACAGTTTTGAGTGCTCTGTTAACTTCTAAATTTCGAATTTAAATCAGGAATTTTTTGAAATACAAGTGAAGCCAAAATAAAGCTAAAGGAAAATATTAAACATTATTTTTAGCATCCTTTTTAATATATTGGATTATTTTCTACGGATCATTTAATCTTCAATAAGAATTTTAAGACAACAATCTCTTTTTACATTAAAGTATTTTATTTTATATTTTAATTTTTAATTTACTTGATTTAAGGAGCATATCGACCCATTTATTCACTTTCCAAGAGACATATGACCTTATAATCCCTTAAAATATTTGAAAATATATTCTTGTCTTACTAATTTCAATAATTTAATGTAGGTTTAAGTTAATTTAAAGAAAAATGCTCTATTTCTTCAAATAATTGTCACCCTTCGTAATAAGAACCCAAAAACTCACACCAAAGAAATTTTCTGCATTCTATTCTCTCTTAAAAAAAACTTTCCAAACTTCACCTTTTTTTTATACTTTTCCCTGACATACCCTGGCGCAGATTCATCAATACAATTAACCAATTAACCTGTCGACACGCGATTTATACAAAGATTTACTAAAGATTTATCTCTGTCTCTTCCAAGAAGTCACAACTGCTTGGAATCTCCTTCTACGTCAATGCCAAGTTTTAGTTCCTGCTTGAAGCAAAAAGGGGAACCGATCTTTATCACTATGCATATATTGAGCAACCAGGAACTATGGTTATTATACTATATATCTTTGAAGCCATAACAGATTTCCTTTGCCAGCTTAGTCACAATGAAATCTTAATTAATTGCCAAACTTGATTGGAAATCCACATATACAGATCGCTGGTTTATTGGTCATTGAATTTTATTTTTAAGTGGAAAACTATTTAGATTAAAGCCTTGACTTGATTTATGTTTGAAACCATAAAAGATCAAACTGAATGGAGTTGATTTGTGAGCCAAACCCAGCAGGAAGATTTCGAAAAATGTGACGAAAAATGTGACAAGCTTTCGCTTGGAATAAAGGTCTCTAGAGGTTTTTTCAGATTCCCCGAAATCCCTTGAATATTTTTATTTTTTCAAATTTCTTTTTGTTGATTTATCAAAGCTTTTTCATCTGTACTTAATTCAATTTCATGGCTACATTTCCATTCATAATTTCCTAGCCAATTTGTAGACGGGAATTTCCCGTCGGAAACTACGAAAGTCAGAGGCATAAACTGTGGGGGAGTATATGTATATAGGTATACTATATAGACGGATATCAAAACCTCATGCGTAGCTATCAAGCTGTTTAGATCTGTTCAGCTAAATCTTTTTAATGGCTGAAACAGCTTGACCTCTGGCCGAAATATATACGGAAATTAAAACCTCTTTTCGGGGCTTTTCTCCTCGCCCGCTTGCCCTGTGCCCTGTGCTCGTTCCCAGGCTCTACACCCCCAAGACCCGAGACCCGGGCCCGGAGTCTTGGTTTACTTTCCACTTGACCAATTTCGAGCCGCAGTCCAAAGACGAAAGACGTTCTTAAGTTATACGCGGCCGTCCATTTACATATTCAGAGGGAAGAGATGGAGGGGAGAATGCTCACACACTGCGAAGCGAGAAGCGGATACGAACACAAGTGCAAGTGTGTTGTGGGTCTGGAAAAAAATAAGTAAAAATAAAACCGAAACTGGGGCCACACTAAGGAAAATCTAAGCAAAATTCCCAGGTATTAGGTATGAGTATATACCCCGTATATACCCCCTATATACCCCCATATATACACCCGTTTTTATGGCATCCCCGACGGTGTTTCTTGCTGTCGTGCCAGTATCTTTAGTATCTCAGTACGAGTATCTCAGTGTTTGTATCTCGTCTCTCTCTCTCTTTGCTCCTCTCTCTTTCTGTGACTAAGTCTTGAAAAGTCCCCAGTCATCAGGGGCTATATATACACCCTCTAACTCGGGCTTACTCCGGCATAATATACATACACACGATCTAGAGAATTTCTTCACCACTACACGGACAGCTTTTCCATTTTTCATTATGGTTATTATCTTGAAGATATGTATCTTCGCTTCGCTTGGATATAATTAAACAGCGAGGAAAAAAAATTTTTAGCATGGGAAAAATGTAAATATTACTTGTAATTTGTTAGCAGATGATGTGGATGTTCGTGATCATATGAGGGTTCCATTTTTATACGGCAACGGCGGTGTTCGTGGTAACGGTGACGCTGATGTTGATGTTGTTGTTGCTGTTGCTGTTGCTGTTGCAGTTGTCGGTGGCAGGTTGAGATTTTTGTGGCTGTTGTTGTTGCTGTTGTTGTTTGTGTTTGGGGCTTTGCTTTAGCAGGGCCAGCAGCATTTTGCTTAATGTTGCATTATTCCGTTAGCTTTTTTCCCTTCGTCGGTGGGGGCAGGTGGTCTGCTAGTACTACTACTGCCTTGCCGGTCCCAACATTTTCGCCCCGTTACAGTTCCAACCATAAATCTATGCACTCCGGCATGTGTGAATTTGCGTCCATTTGTTGTCAGATTTTGGTGTTGTTTTTTGTTTCGTTGGTGGTGGTGCTGCTACTGCTAGACCCTAACCCACATTTTTCGGTTACGATTTTGCAATCGTCTAATGATGTGGATACTTTTATTTTGCACTCTATCAGAGGGTTTTTCACGGGGTTTTCCACTTGGTTTTTTCTACCGATTTGCTGATACCTCTTGAAATTTAAACTCTTTTGGGTCTTGGGTCACTTGGCACTTTGATTCGATTGTTCTTTTAAGGGTTTAGTTAGTTGGCACTTGGTTTGGGGGCTGATCTTCAGGAAGATGTGGTGGTAGAATCCAAAACGTTCCGAAAAAGTTTGATTTGAAGAGAATTAAATACACTTTTTAGTTAGTTTTTAAGTAAATTTTCAGGTTCTTTTAAATCTTTTATTAATGAAGTGGATTTTGAAATCCCTTTTTTAGGTTTTTAAGATGGATTTTGGCTTTATAAATACACTTTTTTAAAGGGTTTTGAGAAGGATTTCAGCACTTTTTGAACCTTGTTTCTAGGCTACTGAAAAACACTTTCTAAAACGTTTTTTAAGAAGGATAATGGCTTTAAGAAAACACTTTCCAATTATATTTTCTAGTTTCCAAAGAATATCTTGTATGTAGCTTTGTAGATCGCTTTAGGTAACACTTTTTAGAACGTTTTCCAGCTTAATTTTCCACTCTTTTTCTAGTTAGATTTTCCAAGCTCTTGGCAAACACTTTTCCGCTCTCAGTGAACACGCTTTTCCGATTCGCGAGAGTCTGGACGGGGGGACCACCACTAATGAGCGTATCGACTGCCTAAAATCAAGGGCTTCGACGACATTTCACAAGAGACTCAAAACACAAACCGCTCGAGGGAGCGGACGCTGTGACAGCGGCAACAACACTCTTGGGAAAATGAAAATGCACAGCCAGCAGCCAAGAGACTAACTAAGTAAGTAACTGGGCCTATGTACGGCGGCCAGTCAGTAGTCGGTCGCTGTATGTAGATATATTTATGATTATAACCGGGGAGACGCAGATGGCGATGTCAATGGAGAGGCGAAGCCAAAGCTAAAGCTAAAGCCCGATATCGAGGGTCCAAGACCGAGTCGGAGCCGCATGAACCACGCTGATGACGAACCGCAAGCCAACTGATCGACGCGACGCTCTCTGGGGGCTCGGAGATTGTGAACTGAACCTGAGAGGTGTCTCTGCCTGTGCCGCTGCCTCTGCCTCAGTCAGTGCCTCAGCCTCGGAGACCGAGACCCGATCTGCGATCTATAAGGCCAAAAAGCGAAAAGCACCAGCGAAACCTTTCGCGCAACTCGCAGTCTTGGGCCAGAGCGGCCAGAGAGCGGCAGCTGCTCAGCAAAGCGGAACGAGCAAGTGGCCCAGGTGACTTGGCTCCCAGGCCAGGCCAGGCAGGCCAGCCAAGCCGAGACCCCGAGCAGCTAGCGCGGCGGGTTCTTTGAATCTAATGAAACAAGCCTTATTTAATATTCGTTCTCTCTCACACTCTCCGGTTCTCTCGTGCCGCAGAGTCTCACTTTCGGACAGGGAAAACCTGTTCCCCGACTCATTTGTTGTGGGAGAGACGACTTTGCATTTGGTTTGTTTCAATTGGTTGGAGGCCCCAATGTCGCTGGGGTCTACTCTACGCCACATGCCACTGTGTGAGTGCCGGGGCCACAAATACTTATGAGCAGGCTCCAAACAGGGGGTCTTTACTCATACCAACAGATCGTATGCAAATAAACGCGAAGAGGTATGGTAATGTGTGCGGCGGAACCATCTGGGAAAGGGTGTTATGTGGATCAAATGGGGCACAGAAGAGTTGCAACAGAGATATTTGAAGGGAAAATGTATTTAAATCTAAACAGAAAAGTTTTTAATTAAAGGGTGTTAAGGGGTTTAAGCAAGGGTTCTTTAAATGTAACAATCTAGAAAGATTATGATACCAAAATGGATTGTTTTATAACAAGAAATTAAACTAGAATAAAGGTTAATGGATTAAGCACAGTCTTTAGAATATAAAAAATGAATAATCTATAAATACACCATATAGAAAATATTATAATTAAATAATTTATATTAATATATCATTTAAAAGATTATTGTTTTATTCATTATTAACTCCAATAAGTTTTCATTCTAACTAACCCTTAAGTACTTAGGATCAATGTATGAGATCATAATTACCTTCCCCTACCTACCTACCTTATAAAATATATAGCTCCCCTTCCCACACCTATACCTTCACCTTATATACAAACCCAACTAATCTCAAGTAAATTTCAATTGCAAACTAATGCTTAAACTATTACTATAACGTAAACCTAGCCGTACTATATAAGAACCTAATGTATTCCGTCAGGATAAATCAATAAATCAAATGGCTTTTCCCATGCCAATTCAATTGCCTTTCAGAGAATCATTCTCCCTACCCCCCCAACTACACTTTGGCCCCATTACGCATACGCCCCGTGTGGCTGTAAAAAGCTGGGAATATTCAAATAGAGCCATATTTAATTTTTATTTCACTCTCCACCCACCCAGCGAGAGAGGGGCCAAGCTGTGATTGGTATCCATTGGGAGATAAGCACCCAAATTGCATATTGCAACAACTGCTGGCAGCGGCGAGCAGCCAAGAGCCAAGCCAAGCCCAAAAGATCGGCGAACCTCCCAGAAGACGAGTCAAGTACGTCGGCAGGTAACAGTGCAGGGCATTTAATATACTCGTACTTGTGAGCTTGGGGGGAAAGCAGTGAGGCGGAGGAGGAGGAGGAGGCCGCCGACCAAACAGAGTTCATAATTAAGCGCCAGAATGCCGGGAAAGCCTTCGCTTCTTACCTTAGATGCAAAATATTTGTTTATCACATCGCGATAATTGCCGCCGGCGAACTGAAGCCGCAGTCGAAGTCGAAGCCAAAGTCGTGGATTTATGTGCGGAGGGGCCAAAGTCAGGCAAAAGGTTCCAGCATCGGTCAGACCAAAAGAAAGAAAAGCCCAAAAGATACTAAGCAAGCGTGTGCCGACCGCAGACCCAAGACGGAAGACTGAAGACTGAAGAGGACCGAAAGATCGAAAGACTGAAAGACCAAAGACTAAAGACCGAGAAGGGGGCTGGGATAAGGATTGCGAATGGGAATGGGAATGGGAACTGGGTATGGGGATCGGATCAAAGCGTGCCTCGGTGGTGGGTACAAGTTTATTGGCGTGGCGTATGTGCAAATAGCCGCTCGCTCGGCTCCATCGACTGCTCCAAAAATGTGGGCGTGTGACACTTGAGCGGCTATCGCCAGCGCATCTCGGCCTAAACGCAGCAAAAGAAATAAAAAAAAAAAAAAACAAATTATTGATAAGCAGATCGGGGGTCTCCCCAGCAGCACTGCAAGAAATCAGCCACTGCCCTCGAATCGAACCAGTTTCCAGCTGCGAGTCTTGGCCGCCTTGATTTCTCCCAGTGCCCCGCCAGGTAGGAGGTGCAGTTTGCGAGTCCTTATCGCTGATTGAAGCTCGGCACACGTTGGTCCAAGTCCCGGGCTCATGCATTGATGATGGCTGTCTCAGTTTTCTGAGGCTCTCTTGCCGTTCTGTTATGTAAGCAGCCGCCACTGCGGTAGGTACAACTGCCATGGAGGCACTGCAGCGCTGCTTTTCCCCAAAGAGGGTGTGTTCCAGCATTGCACAATGAGGCTAAGGAAATAGTTGACAATGAAGTTATTAGTGGTTTAGGATTTGTTTTTAATTAAAAGGATTTAAGTTGTGGTTTTAAGTTGAGTTAAATTTAAGCTGCAGGTGATTTTGAATTGGGAATAGCGCGGCAAACAGTGTTGCAGGGTATGGTCAGCTCAGCGTTGTGGAACACTGTCCGTGTTGCCAGATTGTTTCAACAAATATTTGTTATTGTTTGTTTAATTCTGTTTATAAGGTTCAAGAATTTTTAAAGCTTGCTTAATAACTAAATTTTATCTAGATGTAAAAGTTGTTTTAGCTAAAACCAAAACCACAAATTTCTGCATCCTCAAAAATCCCTTTATCCAGCTATATATGTACATATAATAAAAGTAATGCCTAATTCATATTTCTTAGACATAAACAAATACTTTCAGAACATTACTATGTATTTACATAAATACAAATCAATTCCCTAAATATTTATAGGCCTTGCTTAGCCGGCAAAACCATCTCTTCAATTTTACAAAACCTTTGCTCTTGGCAAACAAAAAACGTTGATAACCAAATGGGGTTTTAAACAAAAATCACATTTAATTGAAACATTCACATTATTTTGTTTCTTTTCTTTTTTATTTAGTTTTGTAAAACCCTAACTCTGCTTGTCTGGAAAAAGATTAGATGCATGGACATCTAAGATCTTGGGCGTTCCTTCTTCTCCTTGTAGAGAGCCAACAGAGAGACGTTGGCCACCTTGACAACCTTGAAACGGACACCGGGAATATCACCGACGGCGTGACCCTTACGACCGAAACCGGCGACCAGAACCTCGTCGTTCTCCTCAATGTAGTTCAAGCTACCGTCACGGGGCACGAAGGCGGTGATCTTCTTGCCGTTCTTGATCAGCTGCACCCTCACGCACTTGCGGATGGCAGAGTTGGGCTGTTTGGCTTCAACGCCGCTGTGGAAAGAAAGAGAATGCAGATTAGAAACTGGTCACAATAGGGAGACTATA